ACAAAGCTGTGTTAAGGAATAGATCAGGAATAAGGTATACAAACTTTTAAAAGACCTTAATATTTCTTTGAGTTAAGTTCATCACCAAAAAGTGGAAGGCACTCAGATACTACCTAGATCAGGCGTAACTTCAAACTGAGGGGGCAGGCCAAGAGGAAAGTGTTTAAGGATGCCAACTTGAGGCCAGTTCCATCTTTGACAGAGTCTGTGGGTCAACAATATTCCAGTCCAGAATATAGTCACTACAGAAAAGGGGCTTGTTTGGAACTGGAAAAAGCATTCATGGGATATTACAAACATGTGACAAAAAGTTTTAAAGTTTTGATCTAAATGCTAAGCGTTCCTGTTAATGTCAATGATAGGAACATAGATGGGGCAAAATACTGGCAAATCTTAGCAGAAAATCTGCTTTAGATTTACTGTAAAACTGGGACAAAATGTTACCTTTCAGCCAGGTAATGACCCAAAGCGGAAAGTTAAAGCTACGCTTGAGTGGCTTAAGAATATGCCCTTGGGTCACAATCGTAAACCCCTCCTCTTGAGGACGCTCCAGCCCTTCCTTGTTTTATACTCATCTCCTGCACCTGCCACCGGTTCAAGCCCCCCGTGCTATATAAGCCAGACGTTCCTGCCTATTGGGGGCTCAGCTTTGGAAGATGGATGCCCAGAAGCCCGCCTATCCGCGAGTCCAGGACCGACTCGACGGCATAGGCTTCATCACGGTGTCCTGACCTTCTGAGTCCGGGATTAGGGAGCGTCTGGTCCCGTTACCCCCTTTTTATTCCCTCGACCCTTCACCGGATCCCGCTCCGGCTTTTAACTCTGTTTGTCTGTCAGGATTTATTACCCGGTCTTGGACATTTGCTACACTCATGGATTTGCCTTGGACTCCCTTGGACTGTTTGCCTCGGCCACACCTCCCCCGAACACCAGTGCACCATGGACACGCCCCCTGTTTTCCTTCCAGCTCCTAGCATGCCTCTTTCCCCATGTTTTCTTCACTCCCCCCCCCCCAGATTGTGTTGTCTGCATAACATTCCCATTGAAAATCTGAGAAAAGACTTAAAAACCACTGTCTGTAAGCAATTTCCAAGAAATTTAGTGAGCTAAGGCAAATTCTGCCAAGAAGTTTTTAGACTTAATGCAAAAGACTTGATTTTGTCATTGCTGCCAAAGGGACTTGCATCAAATATTGAGTTCACAGAGATGAGTGCTTCTGCAACTTGATAAGTCAGTTTTTTTCTTCTTTTTAGTTCCAGCTGATGTTTACTGTAGCTTCTCTTACCCTTAGAATTCTTCAGTTTGAACATTCAGGTTTTTGAATAAGACTTTCAAATTGGACTCCAAAGGAAGGGCCTGTACCTGTGGTAAGTCCATGATAAAGCTGAAGGCATTGGCCTCCTTGGCTGCTCTCACAATGTCTTCCATTGACGCATCTTCCCTCCCGTAGCGAATATTCTCAGCAATGGTGGTGGCAAACAGAACGGGCTCTTGTTCCACTATGCCAATCAGAGAGCGCAGCCACTGGATATTCAGGCTACGTATGTCATGGCCATCCAGAGTCACCTTTCAACAGAGTATTACACAAGCGGTCAAAATTATGTGAATAGATCCATCCACTTTGTAACTCAATTAATAATAATTCAAATATGCAAAGCAATATCAACTAAAATTCACTGGGTGTATAATCTAAAAATTAAACTTAATGAAACTTAAGACAAATACTGTACATCACTCTTCCTGCTTTTACTGTATAATATCTTCTTGCAACAATGAAATTGGTCAAGTTGTATTGCTGAGTTAGGGTTAGAATAACTATGAAATTCTGTTTCAATTTTCATTATGTTTGCACATCAAGTGGCTAAAGAGAGTAAGACAAATAAATTATGGTTTCTTTCAAAATTTTAAATACCCTGTATATTGAGTTATAGCTAATGCAAACCACATTACGATATCAATGAAGAGCTACACTGAAAATGAAATGTACTCATAAACTCAAGATTTCACTCTTCTGGAATTTCTCCTCCTTCCTAAAACACATTCATAACTTAATTGAATGTGTAGCTCTAAGGGAAGATACAACACTGACCCTACCTCAGAGTTTTTTATGTCCTTTTTTCAATGTCTTCAATTATTCAGTTAAATATACATTACTTAACCTTAACATTAACATATGTTTGATACACAGTTTGTTCCATTTTAAACTTTTTCATTTATGTTTTTTTAAGTGTGAGGGAAACTAATTATAGTTCTTGTTAGCTATGTTAAACCATTACAGCTACATGGGAAATGGAGTTCTCTTAAACTAGAGCGTGTAGTGTTCTTCCTTGCTGTTTAACATGTTCATTCTGTGAATAATTCTGTTTCAAAACACTTGTATGAAGGCAAATTGGCCATGTGCCTAATAAACATCTTCATAGGAGCTATTTCAGCCCAACTTCTAGTTCTATCATGAACCACCACAGACGTCTCTTAAATCAGGTATTGAGCCTACACACACTATACTACTACAATAAACCATTCATAAAACTGAAACTGATTTCACTGGGGACAAAAAATACATAAGAATTAAATGCTTTGTGACTGTTTGAAATATGTGGTGGAAAAGGTTTGGCTTAACCTGGTTGGTTAGCGAATAACGACCTGGTAACAGGAGGAAGAAGTTTGAACCCCACTCAAACTGAGTGAACCCAGGGGCAGCTGCAAGGTGGAGATGGGGTGGAGAATGGACGCTTGAGACGAATGCGAAGGGACATGTTTGTGTTCGATACATTTAGCTAATTTCCGTAACGATGGTGATTAGGAACAGCTGAGTCAGATTGTCGCTGTTGACCCTCCCAAGCTTCACTTCTCTTCAAATATTCACCATCATCATCTGATTTTGTTTGAAAGGTACCATAGCTCTTACGCATAAAGTTCTGCAATTGATATACGGACACATGATTTGTATGGGTACAAATTTGTATTTGTGGTAATAACTTAGGTGTCCGCATCTGTGTGCTTATATCGCCATACCATGCCTTCCTTGGGGTCATAAAACCGCTGGATGAGCTGAACAGCCGTGCTTTTACCAGCACCACTAGGTCCCACGAAAGCTGTCGTTTCTCCCGACTTGATGACCATGTTCAGCTGATCTAAAATCTGTGGAAAAACCGCGATACCGTGGTTAAGTGAAATGATCATAGCAGCTGATCATAGCACTGCTAAAGGTGCTTGTTCAAAAAATGGGAAATACATTGCAAGTCTTCAGTATAAACCATACAACAGTTTATAATGTAACGTTTAAAAAGACAAAATGTATGCTTAGCTTCCATACATCTACAGTATAGCCGCATAGCTGGCACATAGAGGAGAAACTGTTGAAATAAACCAAAATAATGCACCTTGACATCAGGTCTTGAGGGGTAGTGGAAAGTGACATTATGGAACTCAATGTCTCCTTTAATTCTGTCTAATTTGTATCCAGCATCTGACATGCAATCAATTTCTGGCTCCTAAAAATCAGACACACAGATCAAATCAAAATGTTACATTTATCTCACAAGAGGATTCATGTCCTAATTGTGAAGTTTTGTATGGCTAGGAGACAGCCTCTTTCCTTCGTGTCTGGGTTAGTGTAGGTGCAGTGCTGTAACCCCTGTGTGTGTTGTTTAGCCCCCTTTCCTGAGTCCTAGACCTGCTCCATTCCTGCTCCATTCCATCCCGAAGCCCACGGTCATTACAGATGTAATTAGCAATTAATAATGTTTTATACACAACGTACTTCACACACTCAAAGCAACAAAAAATAAAAAAGCAAAAAAATAATTACTATTAAAGGGAAATCAAAAAACCACGACTGCATAAGTTTTCAAACTCTTTACTGTAGCTAACATTAATTAATTTTAGGTGCACAAAAATACCTTAAGGAGCCACACAATTAGCTGAGTGGTCTCTGTGTATGATAGAAGTGCATGATTTTGGAACACCTGTCTCTGAGAGTTCCTCGCTCTGGCAGTGAATTTCAAGCAAAGATGTAATCATGAAGACTGTAGCTTTCATAGAAAATCAGGGAACAAAAAAATGTTAGGCTCTCAAAATCCTTGTAAGCACTGTCAACACAGTGAAGAAATTAGAGGCCCATTCTACAGTACCACCCAGACACTACCTAGAAAAGGCAGTCAAGCAAGGAGGAAACTGGTTAGCTCACTCTGTCAATGGTCTCAAAGATAATTGTTGCTGCTCCACGTCCAGAAGCAAAGGCTTCTAAGCATGGGGAAGCCTGTCCCAGGTTTAAGGCCCCAATAAGCACTCCGAAAAACACCTGCAATCACAGCAGAAGAAACACGTTTTTCAAAATGTGGCAGGCATTGGCCATGTTAAAGAACATGAATTAGAAATGAAAAAAGGTTTGATTTGTTCTCTACTGTTGCAATCATTGAATTGCAAACTGATTTGAATATTTCTGGGAGAGTGTTCTGAGTGTTTATAGCAGGAATGAATGACATTGATCCTTGAGAGCCACAATCCAGTAGGTTTAATGATTTACCCTTAATCATCACTTTTTAAACTCTAGGGGCAATTTCATGCTAAAGAAGCTATTGTGTTTTTATTGGAATAGTATGGATTGTCTCAGCAATAAATTGGGGTGGTCAACACTGGACATGTAGATTCACAATCCAGCAGGTCTAAAAGGTCACCCCATGTCATCAGTTTTTAAAGATTTGAAACATTTGACTCTTAAGTAATTTACTTGTTTTGTTAAAATAGTTTGATTAAATAAAGAATGTGTTTTCCTTTCAGATGATCTCCACCCTTTACACAGGGGTAATTGCCTGGTTCGAAGGTGTTGACTGAAAGCAAACATCTCAAAGCACTTTCATAATTGCAACAAATTGCATAAACACGGTCATTTATGCTTAAACTGTGTTCTAACTAGGGATCGAGTGTACAGTTCTGACGAGTTCTGTTACACATGTTAGCACCATGTGTGCGGTCCAGTAAAGAAAATTACTGATATATCCAATGTTACTTGCAAAAGTATTAATTAAGAAGTAAATACCTGCAACAGTGTCCCTGGACTGTATTCTTGAGTGTCCACAACCAAACTGGATCCATACCAGAAAGCTAACGCATAGCAGAGAAAGATAATGAACCACATATAACCTGTGAAGAAGCCCATGATCAAGCCTTTCCGGATCCCCCAGCTCTGGGCGGAGATAAGGTTCCTATCATACCTGCAGAGTGAAGAACACAGAGAAAAGAACAGGCTATTGGCTATTCTTCAGGGGTAAATTGATGGATGGACAAAGTACAATGAAATGTCACAAAGGAAAAGTCAAGACTAGATACCTTTGCATTATTTTTGCAGCCTTTCGGGCATATCTGAATTAAAATCGAGATGATTTTAATGGTGAGTTTTGTGTTGTTGTGAGAACAACAACATGTCCATAAGGACAGCTGTCATAACCACCAATATTAATAGGATGGAAGGTGAATATGGGTGGAGGCAGGGATTCTAAATTATATTATGAGTGATCCTACAGTACCTTACCTCATGTAGTGACACCAATGTTATCATAGAAGAGCAATATGGACATTAATGCAGTTTTGTGAAAAGTGAGTCACACAGACCCAGTAAGTCATACATTGTTCACTGTTCTCTTCTTCTGTTCTCCTTCCTGCTTCACTTTTCTCTTTTTTAAAAAATGCAGCTTCCTGGTCTTTAATTTTCAACTGACCAATTATCTTGGTTCTCATTATAACTGGTCAGGTGACTCATGGCAGTATGACATTCAACCCCCCCACCCCCCCAGCTTTATGGGTAATGTAGTTCATGCCAAAGCAGCCATCTTGCCTTAACCTGCCATTCTCATAATAATAATAATAATAATAATAATAATAATAATAATTGCTACACTTATATAGCGCTTTTCTGGACACTCCACTCAAAGCGCTTTACAGGTAATGGGGACTCCCCTCCACCACCACCAATGTGCAGCATCCACCACTAATGTATTGATCAGAAGCTACAAAAGGTTATGAACCTGATTTAATGCTTTTCTATAGTTTTGAGTAATCTAGTTCAACAAGTCTCATTAATGGGACAGATATGGCAATAATTCTCCTCAACTCCAAGAATAAAATGGGATTCGTTGATGTATTTCAAGTTGCTTACCTTTCAACCTCTTTCTTCTCCCCTCCAAAAGCGGCCACTGTCCTTATGGAAGAGAGAACCTCGTCAGCCACTGATCCTGCTTTAGCATAAGCTTGCAGTTCCCACCCAGTGAGTTTAGCAACAAACTGAAAAAGAAAACACGGTGTGGAAATGGCTGGAAAGTCTTTACATTAATTAAGATGTCTGTTGGTGCGTTTTCATGAGAAACTCGAGCTCTTCTTACCAAAGCCATGAGCGCTGCCCCTACTCCTAGCAGTGGACTGACAGCAAGAATCACTAGCGTGAGCTTCCATCCTCGGACAAACCCCATCAGGAACCCGCAGATAAAAGTAGTAAAGCGCTGAATGAATATCCCGACTTGGTCGGCAATGGCATCATTTATTTTATTGATGTCACTGGAACAAACAGACACAAAAAATAAACTCCAGGGTGCGTATTCGCATAATGTAAAACGAGCTGCTCAACACTATGCACGGACAGTAAGAAACAAAAGCCAATTACAGCGTTTCATGATCAAATAGGGTACAATGTAATACGTAGAAAGTTTTGATTAACACTTCAGTTGATCGAGGGCAGTGAAAGTCCGCAACAGGACACAACACTCAGTATCTCGGGAAAATGTGAATGCAAATATGATTAGCACCTTTGGCTCTTAATTGAGCAAGAAGGCTTTAACAGATCTCTTACTCTGACATCCTTGTGTTAAGCTCTCCCACGGAATTGCAGTCAAACCAGCCAATATCCATTCTCATCACCTTCCTGAAATACAACTTCCTGATTTTCTGAATCTGACGGGCGGCTGCCACGACCCAGAGAGAGATCTGGAAAAGAAATGCCAGTACGTGTCTTCTAGATTCATTATTTCGATTTTTTTTTTAATTCAAATGGGATTTATTTTGCTTTAATCGTGACAAATGTATAACAAAAATCATTTCCAAGATTAATCTTAATTCAATATTCTGGTTATGTAGCAACTGCACATTGCCAATGGGATTTCACTGGGGTTGGAGAAAGTAAATGAATCCATTTGGTGGATTCGTGTTAAAACAAGGGAGGATGGGACAAAGTTTTACTTTGCCTGCTGAGATCTTCTGGAATTGATTGTATTACTATCAGCAAAGCAGAAGAGAAAATCCTTGTGGCTCATTTAATAACACGTGGGCTCGCAAATTTAAAATAACACATTTCTAACTTTTCCTTGTCTTGGGTATTACTGATACTTACTTGACAATATCCCAGGAGGAAGACCCCAGATCCAATGCCAACATAATACAAAGCAAATTTGGTCATTTCTTTTTCAATGTCTAACAGCCTGTAATTAATACAGACAGTTAGGCTTCGATTTTGGAAATTCACCACTGCCAAGTTAACTATTTCTGGGAAAGTGTTTTAGTGTGGAGTGTTTTAGTGTGGAGCTGAGTTAATTTTAAAGTTAACACTTTCATTCTTTCATTGCGCTTTTCAGCATGAAATTCTCCTCCTTCTAGTATTTTTGAGAAAACTACTTTTACAACTACAGAATGTTACAGACTAGTGAACCTGATACAGAAAAAGTACAGTATTGTGCATTGCTAAAAATGTTTTACTTTTATTTAACATAAAAATTCAGTTTTTTTTGGGAAACATAACATAGCATATACTAACATAGCTATAACATAAAACCGAAATTCTACTTCTAGCATTGTTATGTGAAAAATCATTAGTGCAATAAACTATATGTGCCAAGTTTAAAACACAGTAGGGCACTTTCTCAACTACTGCCTCCAGTCCAAATTCAGGTTATGGATCGATAATGCTTATCTTCTATATTACCATCGGCACAGTGTCAACCCAGGGAGACAGAAGTTAACACTAAAGGCACATTTGAATTCTTTGAAGTTGTTCCATACTGCTTGATATACAGAACATCAGGTGGTCACTGGTTAGCCCAGTAGCCCCTGCCAACTCCTTGCACAATTCTGTCGCACAAATGGACATAGCACCGATTTGCGACTTTTAACACAAGAACGACTTAATGTTCATGCTTTTAAATATATATCCTAGAATTGTGTCGTTTTTATTGATTTCCCCACGTTGTCTAGAAAATATATTAATGATGTGTCAAAATATACACCTCAGCATACAGTACATGCGGAGATGTACAAATCAATGACCTCCTCTGAAATAGTCTGCAATACTGTTTGTTTGTCTTTTGGATCAGAGGCAACAAACTGTGAAGTGATGAACTCCAAGAGCTCTCCTACAGATGGCTTGTGACTATTTCTGATCAGATCACAACTGTTATTTCTTATTGCCACTGAAAAATATTAAGGTGTATTATTTGTACACAATGTGATATGCATAGGTGCTGATAAATCCATGTCTGTGAAGGCTACAGAGTTTTTTTTTTTAATAATTAGTTCTGTAATCGATTTAATAATTGTTTGATAATTTTGCCTTAAATTTTGGACCAAACACATAAAACAATTTAACTCATTACAGTGCATTCATTTGTACATAGTTCCCAGAATGTTTTATTATTTTTCTGTTGCACTTTTCCAGTGTGAAATATAATATAGAAAATCTACATTTAGTGTAAATACAAGGATTTTGAAATGTTTCTCTATACCATCAGCATCATATGCATTAACAATGATTTTTCCATATTGAGTCCATATCGAATATTTCTTTAATCAAATAAAAATCACTTTGTTTCAGTGTGTGATTAGTAGGGCATTTTTGGACTAGAATTACAGGTAATTATGGTATATTTTTGTCCATGTTCTTATAAACAAAGAAAGATCAACTTACCCACAGGATTTAGTCATGTTCATGTCCATGTTATATTCAAATGTCTGATTTTTCCAAAGTATTGTATTATTAATGCAGTGCTTGTTAGGGTTTACAAGTTCCTGCAGTTCAATGTCATATTCAATGAAAGTGTCAGTCAGCATTCCAAACACCAGCAACATCAAAGGCTGTGCTGAACCATGTACAACTGCACACAAACTCCCCATAACCATCATAAATGTTTCTTTGCAGGTGGCAAACCGAAACTGAAAAGAATAAGAGAAACTTAAGAGCATAAAGATAAAATGTTTGTTCTTCTGGATGCTTGTAACTTAATAAAGCATCTTCAAAAATGAAATAAACATTGTATTTTACAATTAATCTTTAATTAGCTGTGGTTGACAAATGCTCTTCTGAAACACTTAATATGCACAAGAATATTTTTAGATTCATATCCTGCATTTTTTTTCAAGGCCTAGCATGCAAAACTATTTTCAGTATATGTACCATCCAGTTGGATAATAATCTTGTTTTGCATTGTCTATAAGGTACCCTCACAAACCAAATGTACTTGAATTCAGATCTAGAGAACAAGAGGGGCTGAATAAGAACCAGGAACCTCTATTTGAAATCACTGTGTCATCAAAAGGTTTAAATTTGTACTACACATAGGAAAATGTTGCATTTACAGTACTATTCTAATTATATCAAGCCCACAGTTGTTAGAGCAGCTCTGTGAATTTGATAAATCGAATGATGCAAGTCCTTTCTTGAAGACAATGCACTCCAAAGATGTTCTCTCCAAATGTGCTAGACTGAAGAGGCAAAGAAATAAACAGAACATTTCATGAACTGTCCTTGAATCCCTTACAAACGAACATTTTTCAAGAGAAGTGAGAAAATACATTATTCCAATTACATACTGTATAAAACTGATATTTTTGATTTGCAAATACTGAAAGCTGCAGACTTTACCAACTGAAAGAAGCCAATCCTAATGGCTGCCTCTTCTTTCTTATTGTTTGACCTACAAAAAAAAGTAAATCAATCAAAATAGAAATAATGTTAAGGCTATGAGGAAAATGTTAAGGAACATTTGTTTACTTACCTGCTTTCATCTTTTGAGGATTTCTCATCCCTATAACGCAAATATAAAAATGTGATTGAATTGCTTAAATTCAGTTCCTAATATTTGTTAATATATAAATATGTATGTTGTAAATCTTGAACACTTACATATAATCCCTTTTGCTGTCAACTGATAAAGAAAACAAAACAACAACATTAACAAGTACACATGTGTAGCTTCGGTGTAGTGCTATTTGTTTTAGAAAAGTTAAAAGATGATTTTGTTTTTTGGTAGCCAACCAAATTTTTATTTGCTGTTTTCTGTGGGCATTTACTTCTGTTTTTTATTGTATCCTATAATATGTTAAAAAAGTGATCAACCTGAGACACTTTCTATTACCGGTATTGTTTGTCTTACTGATATGTTTTTCCTGTTACGATACAGTTATTATTAATTACTGTTATAGTAAACTTTGCAGTGTAATCAGGGCCTGATTATGCAGATTTTTTCAAATAAATGGACATTTATTTTAAAATATCTTGTATTCTGCAAGATATCCTTACATGGATCAGAGAATTCATAGGCGTTGTTCTCGTGTCCTATTTTTTTTATGCTGCGTAGTTTAACAGAACCAGGCATTGTCTAGTCTTGACTCGATCAGCTCAGGATTCTGGGAAAAAAACAAAACAAGGCAAGAATACAGAATAAAATTCACAAAGTTATCCCTGATAAATACTAAAACTTAAAAGTTGCTTCCTAAATGGAAAATTTCAATTTTGTAAGAACTAGGTCTTGCTGGCACTGCCTTGTTTTACACTTCCATCCACTGAGAGTCTTGTTTAGTAAGTGTGGTCTGCTCACAAGTTAATCAAAGACACAATTTTATTTTTTCCGGTAGTTTGGGCAAAAGTTGAATTTATCCAAACAGATATACAGTAGAAAAGAAAAAATGAAGGATTACAGCTTAGAGGTAAAGACTGAATTTAAGTAGGTAGCTGTGTCAGCATGCGTAGGCTGTAAAGGAACAAACAGAGGTTTATTCAATACTGAAAAGAGAAGAAAAGGAACACAACATTTCAGCTGTGGAGCCCTTTTCAGGTGTGAATACTGAATTTTTGTTTACCTTCACCATGATAATCATAACAAGGCACCAAACAAATATAAGATGAGTAGTTATCTAGCTTCCTGGCATTTGTATCAAACCAATTTTCTGTATTCTACAAAACCTTATTAGCGCCACTGAGAAAATAATATTTTTTTAGTTTAAATGAGATGGAATTACGTTTAAACAAGAAACATGTTGCATGTATACAATATAGTATTGCATTTAAACACATTAGTTAATTTGTGAACAATATTGCTGAATATATTCATATATTGTATTATAAGGGAGCTTATTGGCACCACAGAGAAAAAAACATTTTTTCAGCTAATATGGCTCCGTAGTATTCATCTTAATTTACCTACTGAGGAACAAAGTCAAACAAACTTGAAATTAAATCAAATCTGTTGAAATTAAAGCAGATTTGGGACAATCTCTTTCTTTCATTTATCCATGCTGTCATCAAAAGGCATCATTCAATCCAAATTATTATTAGACATGATATAGGTGATTTTCAAAGAAAAGACACATTTATTTACATAAATTGTATTCCATATGACAGACATCAAACAGAGAAAAACAAAAAAATATGAATGACTTGTTTTGTATTAGCCTATTAGTCTTCTGTAGGTTTATCACACTTGTCTTGCCTGTGACTGGAGATACTGTGCTGTTAGAGGTGCCTATGGGGGTGATTTTACTAGGAGTGAACAATTCACGACTGCTGTCCTGGAGGTCCTGTCAGTTTTTGGACTTCTTTATACCTGACTTCCACCTAACCTATGTGAACTCATTATTTCGGACAATTTGAAGACTTAAGAAGCTACAAAACCTGCTGAGCAGCAGCTCTTTTGAAGACCAGAGTTGAGAACTCCTGCCTTAATTCAAGGTCACGACTACATGGTCATGAATGATCCTGTGGCAGTTTTTAAAAGACTAATCCCGGTGTTAATCCCAATGTCGGGCTAAAATCCACTCTGTGTTAGTGTGATCTGGCCTCCCTAAAGTTCCTCCTTAGCAGAATTGGTGAAAAAAACGTCTCACTTCTCTGCTTGGTCTTTGGTGCACTCAATGGCCCCAGAGTGTCACCCAGACTTCCGTGATGAATAAAATACTGTAGGTCGTGCCTATACTGTATGTAACACACCCTGGGGCCTTTTGGCATAAAAGTACTACATAACACCAAGAAATTATTATGTCTATTGTTTTTTCCTAATATTTGCTTTAAATTCCTGTTCCTTAACGCAATTGGTTTTGTTTCCTGAATTAGTTTTCAGTATCACGGTGTCTATCTAATATTACCTGATAAAATATTGGTATTTTAGCAGGTATTGGGAGCTGATTTGAAATGTTGTTGTGGCTCATTATTAAAGCAAGACACTCGTCAGGTAATTGAAAAGGGTTGTGAGCAATTAGGAAAACTCATTTAAAAACTAGAAAAGAATCCTATTGAAAACATCACAATTCAGTTAATTGCAGAAAGTTCTTCACACCTCTGCTGAGTTCAAGTAATGACATTATCAGTCTGTCATTAAAACAATCAACAACAATATATTTTTGTTCTCAATTCCTACACAGACAGTTTTTTTTTTGTAGTGGATAATCACAGAACACCAGGATAATCTCAGAACACACCACACACATTCTTAATGGTTCCAAAAAAGAAATACATTAAACAAGGTTTCAACAGTTGACAAAATTTGCTTACCAAATACTTGTCCTCTGAAGATGTTAGTAAAATCCAAGGAAAATCCACATCATATATGACCTCAGGTAAATAATATTGTTTTTACTTCAGTGCTTTTCTGGCAGTTTTGAAGGAAAGGCACTTTTTTTGAAAACCAACCGAAACAAATAAAAGACTGGTATCAGAAATGCCAGAGTAAAAAAATAATCCACCTTGTTATAGCTGAGCAGCTTTCTGTCTTTGCTGAATACAGACAGAACAGGAACGTTAATTTAACCTCAGAGGTACGTGTCCTGTTGGTCAGTGACGTGTAGGGGTCAATGGCCCATACAGTATTGTATATTCAAGAAGCAAGAATTGCACTGAAGCATGAACACCAGGGGACATGGGTATTTAGGAGAAAACAAATAGGATTTTATTTATAAATAAGAGGAAAATAGAAATGCGTTGGTCTTGAAAGAGCATTTTATTGTTGTTTCTTCTAATACCATGCTGGATGATTATTACATCATAAAGCTATAAAGGCTTTTCCAACCTACTGTAAATGAGAGGAAAGACAGAGATAAAATAATTCACCACTGCACATAATTCAGAGGGCTTTTTGTTCTGGTATGAGGGCAATTCACTTTTACCCATACACTTCTTTACCACAGCACTCAATTTACTCTCACTAATACTATTATTGCTGTTGAATAATTTCATTATGGCTACTAGTCATGAAAGCAATGGTTCAAAGCAAAACCAGCACAACACGTACAAAATAATAACACTTTACTGCTTTCAAAATCACAACCAAGGCTATACATTATAGTCCTCAAGCACCATGATCTTCAAGGCTCATGATCCTCATGTGTCACAGATCATTCTGAGTGAAACTCCTATGCACACACTTTGGAGTGCTGTGAGCCACATCCAATGAACATTTGGATCCAAACCCTATTAAAAAGACAACATCTGTCATACGGGGTCCACGTCACATGCCTTCTGGCACTCCAATGCCATTCATTCTGAGTGTTACAGCAAGCAACAACTCGTTTTTGTACAGTTTTCACATACTGTACAGTAGCAGTGAAGTCAAAAGAGCTCACTTTGATATGTTAATTTCACCATGATGTCAATAGGGTGACACAGTGGCTAGCACTTCTGCCTTGCAGTGCTGAGGTGCTATGTATTTGAAGTTTGTATGTTCTCCCTGTGTTCGTGTCGGTTCCCTCTGGGTGCTCCTTTTTCATCCCATAGTCCAAAAACTTACTGGTACTGTAGGTTAATCTGGGTCTGGTAAAATTGACCCTAAGTGTGGGTGTGTGTCTACAGTATGTGTCTGTCCTGTGATGGACTGGTGTCTCGCACAGGGTATACCCTTTCTTGTGTCCATTGTTTACTGGGATAGGTTCCAGCTCCACTTTGACCATGAACTGGAAACGGTCAGAAAATAGATGGGTCAGCTACTGTATCAATAGCCAGTGGAGAAAAAATAAATTAACAAGGTTTCAACAGTTGACAAAATTTGCTTACCAAATACTTGTATCCAAATACACATTCTAAGGATTCCAAAGCTTGAAAGAATCATACAATGCTTTTAGAAGAAATTGTTTTATTTCAGGCTTTGCAAATAATAATTTGGAGTGAATCTCAAGTCCTGTTCATTGAAGACTTACAGTATTAGGCTTATTACTAGAAATAAACCACAGTCCTTTCTAATGGCTTTTGCAGAGCTTGAGAATGGGCTTTTGCTAGATGAGTCTTTGCTAGATGAGTTTGTCAGACACACACTAAGATGGGAAAAAAAGGTGATGCACTTTATTTTATTTTTTTCTCATTAATAGTTTTTCATCATATTAAGCTTTTGTTTTCATTTGTGATTTTAGTGTTTTCACTACATATACCTTAAACAGGTTGAGACTTGACAAACATCAAACATTTTAACTTTAATTAATCACACATTGGTATACAGTATGCAGTGGAAACAAGAAATTAAATACTCAAAATATTTTAAAGAGGAAGTTATAATTTTTCACCAAAAATACCTATGTTTGATACTAAAAGTGACTTTGATAAATAAGTAATAAAACTATTTAGATACATTCTAAAAAGAAACAAATTCCAGCAATATGCAAAACTGTGATGTTTCATACTTGAGTACCATGTTTCAGATCTGTATAGGCTTTCACCTCAGTTACTTTTTCTCAGTCCTACAGAGACGTCTTTCAAAAATAAATAGTAATGAGGTGAAGTATCAGTTGTTCACAAAATAACTTGGCTTATTCCTACTACCCAATAAGTGCAGGTGTTAAAAAACGTTAATAAACCTGCAAGACACAAGTGAATGATCAGCTGGTGGAAGCCCCTGTTGTTATCAGTCTATAGTATGCTGATTTCTTGTCCATGAGTTCGTCATGTGTCCCCTTCTCAACGATAACACCATGAGACATAACGGCTATGATGTCAGCGTTCTGGATTGTAGACAGGCGGTGGGCGATGACGATGCAAGTACGTCCCTGCCGAGCTTCATCCAGTGCTGTCTGGACAATCTGAATTCATTTTGTTTTTCAAAAAAGACATGCTTTGAGTGAATATTTGGGAAAAAAAGAAATGCACAAGCCTGAACTGACAAGCATGGAATGTCTTAAGTAAGAAGGTCAGCAGTTATTGATTCGTGTAGGGTCAAAATACATTTGAATGAATTCATTTTAATTTAGAAATGTTAACGATTCTTTTTTGGTTTGCGGAAATGCACCTTCAAAAGAACAGAATTTAAAAAGATGTGGAAATTGAACCATTTCTGTACCTTTTCACTTTCTGTGTCTAATGCAGATGTGGCTTCATCCAGTAAAAGGACTCTTGGGTTCCTGATGATGGCTCGTGCCAAAGCTATTTTCTGCTTCTGTCCCCGAGACAGCTGGGAACCCTGAGCACCCACTTGTGTTTCATATTTCTGAGGAAACAATATATATATATATGCTTATATAAACATGTATTTGAAGTTACTGTGTGTCTGGAAAACAGGTATTTAGTAGCTATATTAGGTTAAAAAAATTACAGGGATTAAATTTCTAAATGAATCTCATAAATGAGCACACACCTGAATCTCAATCTGTCTCTGATTTTTATTTCAAATAACATTTCTTATTTTCTTCAGGCACAAGTGATAAAACGGCAATAAAAATAGAACTTACATCAGGCAGTGTCATTACAAAATCATGAAGATAAGCTTTCCTGGCAGCAGTGATTACTTCTTCCATGCTAATTTCCCGCGTGTTGTCCCCATATTTAATATTTTCTGCAATACTATAATGAAACAGCACAGGCTCTTGGGAAACTATGCCAATTTGAGATCTCAGAAATGACACATTTACATTTGGTGATATATGTCCATCTATTAGCTGTAAAGGAAAAGAAATGATTAAGCATGTATACAGTACATAATGGTTGCCTTACATGTTCTCATTAGACCAAAAGACTGGAACAGCTTCTATATGGCAAAACATTTCTTACCCACAATTCTCCTCTCATCTCCCTCTAAGTAAATCCGATGAAATGCCATCATTGTATATATTTAAAAATCCCAATTTGCAATGAGTCACGCTTATTTTGTTTAGGTGTAGTTTGCTTCAGCTTTACCTTCTGAGTGAAGCTGAGGTTCAGAAGATAAGTTGAAAAAGATTAGACGACTTACAACTTTGCCATCTTCTGGGTCATAGAAACGTTCCAGTAGTTGAATACTTGTGCTTTTGCCACATCCACTGCTCCCAACAAGTGCCAGTGTCTGTCCTGGTTTAACAGACACTGAAAGACCTTTTAGCACTTGAATATCAGGACGGGTTGGATAAGTGAACTTGCAGTTGTAGAATTCTAGCTCTCCTCTGAAGTTATCCTGTGAAATGAATGCAACGCATTTAAAAAATCTGATGGGAATAAATCATAAAGGGATTCTTTTCTTTAATGTGCTCGTTTAGTCATAGTTTCATTTAGGTAAGAAGTCTCGTTACTTATAGTTGTCTGCTTCATTGATGAGGAAAGATTAAAACTGACGTCTAATTATTTTTCTGATCATGATGAGCTATACTCATAGCTCCAACTGAAAATAGCACTACAGTAGGTAGGCCAGGTGTGTACCCAAATAGCACAATATCTATTTTTCTCTTAGTTTGATATAGTTAAAGATTTAAGTCCAGATTGACCTTCATACTAACAAGGATCTGTATGACCCAATCTGTGGGAGGGGAGGGTATTTTTAACCCTGTCTCTGTAAATCGAATAATTAAGGACACATTCATATTTGCGGTTTTGTTTATTTTGTTTGGAACATTGGTACGTTTACGATAAAATAAAAATGCTAGTGAATGTTTCTGGAGTAACCCAATATCCATATTTGAATAATGGCCCATGACTCATTTTTATGCAGTACCCTTATGCATCCCGCATTGTGCGCTAAAGTAATAATAATAATATACAAATATTTGAAGGTTCTTCGCCTGATGTACAGTACAGTAAATCAGCTTCAGGATTCAAACAGTGTGTTCAGGATTACTTTTTAACATTAATCCAAGACCACAAAATAAAACAATATCCTCCCTGTAAGTATTTGTGTAAAATTACAGGAAGAGGGTTATGGTAAACCTTCAAATTGTATAGCTTATCTGCAAGTTTTGTAGTTCTTCCAATATGTTATTTGTTTTGTGACATCTCACAAAGAATGTTCAGTCCCATTCTGCCAAAAATGTGTATTGTGTTTGTTTATTTGTATAGAATTACACATTATACAAAATATGTCTTTATTCACATTTTATGTGAATTTGACTCAGAATTACAACATGTTGTCATTCTTTCCCATGGGCATATAGATATAATTCCACTTTTGCAAGTTGAATCTAAGATGGTACAGTGCTGGTAGCATTTTGACTAACAGATCCATGCAAAATGAAGAAAGACGCACAAGGAATGTCTCACCCATTTTTCTCCAACCCATTTTTCTCCAACATCATGGCTTGTCTTTATTCTTGGGACTCGGTCAAAAAGTTTAAAGAGCTGTGCTGCTGCAGTTTTAGCCTTAGCATAGTCTGGAGTGAAGGAGGACACGTCACTAAGAGCAGTTCCACTGAGCATTACTGTTATAATAACCCTATAGGGATAACAACAAAAAAAGTTGAAAAAACTTTTCTATTTTAAACACAAAATGAATTTTTATGAGTAAATACGATTAACAAATAACATTTAATATCCATTAATTTTATACATGTGGATGTTCATATCTGAACAGCTCTCTGTGTTGGCAATCATCAGCGTGAATAATATAATATAATTATAGAGTACAATGTAAATATAATGCTTAGTTATATTTTAAACATTATATTCCATGATGGTTCTTGGAGTAGAAAGCTCTATGAACCATAGCAGCCTCAAACCAAATATTTCTTAAGCTGCTGTTCATTCACTACGAGTCAGAATTCCTAATAAAAGAAATTGTATATAGCCAATAAAGTCAACTATAATTATCATACAAGTAATACAATAATGAAATCCTGTAAAAGAATATGTTATTTATTACATATTCTTCCTGTGACCACATCACCAATCAGCTTTGTAGAATATTTCTTCTTATTACATTGGAAAGATAACATATCTGGAACTGTTAAAAATTACTGTTTTTTCACTCCCTCACTCCCCACTTAGCAGATCAAGCAAACAGGTGAAATAGTTTGGGATTTTTTTTTTTCAATTAAATTGCAGGTGGAACCTTAAGAAGTCCAGATTAGAGTTTCACCAAGGGACCTGAATAAGCACCCTTACTCTTTCAAAAAGCGTAATAGGGTCTGTAATGTCCAGATAGTCTGGTACTTAGACTAACATGTCATCCAAATAACAGGAGCTACAGTACAATGTTCCCCAGTCACTAAATCAAAGCATTTCGTTTTTTAAAAAATTCTGGTCCAGAGGGAACAGTGCCACCTGCTGGATGACCAATATTGCCTGCAGTAGCAATCTGGCCCTCCTTGGAGGTCTCCCATCCCAGCCTTGCTTCCCTGCTGTGATCTGACAAGACCAGGTTACACGGTGGCAGTGCAGCAGAAGAGCAACACATCTAAAGCAGTTCGTAAGGACATTCCCTCTGTCCATGCTTTTCAATGTTGTAACAGACAAAAAAAAGGATAAAAACTACATGTAACATACCTGAAAACTACTATGTAATGCAAACCACCGCTCACGAGAAAGCCACCATATCTAAAAGATGCAGCATTCGACATGAATACTATGGATTGTGTAAATGCAAAGCAAATCCCATAGACAATGGCTTTCTTTTTTGCAACTCGAAACGGGGCTTCAAGCAGCTTCTCGTACAATTTCACAACATTGCTCTCCATACCCAGCCCAGCAATAGTCCTTATGCTGCTTAGTGCTTCACCTGAAACCTGTCAAATAGAGACAATCAATGACATTTCATACTGAGACAAAATGAAAGAGGGAAAATATGCTAAGCCCATGGGAATCTTGCAGCTCTTTTTAAGATAAGCGTGCTTACCTGGCCGGCAGCCTCTAGCGCTTTTCTATCCTCCTTTGCAAAACGTGTTAACATTTTTACCTGGAAAGTTCCAGACAGCCCAATCAATGTCAAAAAGCAAATCACTACCAAGCTTAATTTCCAGCTGAAGTAGAATGCAATCATAATTGATACTCCTATATTGGTTAAGGCATTAACCATCATTCCAATCTGTGTTCCAGTAGCCTGCAAAAGAAATGAAACTTCTGTTCATATGATTGCAAAGAACAAGAGACTGATATACTGTACGTCCTCTAGGACAATTAATTACTTTCCCATTAACTAGTGATAACTAGTGATTATGGGTGCACATGCTGTGTTGATCAATGGGTTTCCTTAACCAACCAAATGTGAAATCCTTTATACTTATAACAACGAAAAGGGATTAAAAACAAAAGTTCATATTTTTTTAGCCTAACCCAGAGCTTATCTCTATTTTAACTTATCTCTATTTTAGTGGTGATATGAATGTTGAAAAAACACAAAACACCTTCTGGATGGTACACTTTTCTATTGTGGGTAAACTAATTTACATACAGTAGCTGGGTTGACAGAAATAATAAGTTTGCACAGGTTTCCTCAAGGACACAACAACAGTATCCCTCTATGCAGTGCTGGTAATTGGGACGGGAACTTAGCTCCTCTCGTTGCTTATTACAGTAAAACAAATTACTGACTTTGGCAAATTGACAAATGCATCACACACACCCCTTGAACCATTGAAGCATCTGATGCAAGCCTTGTAGTAAGAGTTCCTGGGCTGTTCCTGGGATCATCAAACCAGCCAATCTCCTGTCTTAGCATAGCCTGGAATCCCACCTTGCGTAGCCTCCGGGTCAGCAGCTCACCCGATTTACCAAAAGCATATCCCTTCAGTGGGAGGAATGAGAAAGCAAGCAAAACAATTAATTGAAAATACTCGGGTAGGATTATTTGCTTCTAAAGTCAAGAGTGTGTCATTAACATAGGAACTGAATGTCATAGACAAAGACGTACCTGTAAGAACTGTGAGAAGAAACTTAGAACACCAACAAAGACAAAAAGCAGGCTAATTCCATTAACCTGCTCCCTTTGCTCATCCAGGTCTGGTCTGGCAAATGTCTACAGGGCAAGAAGATTTTGTTTTCAGAAGACAGCCAAACCAAGAAAAGGGGAATAAGAGGACGTGTGGCTCATGTTGCTTACCCCAAGAATCTGAGTCATCAAAACTGCATAAAGTGGGTTCACACAACCGTTCAGAGCAGCTGTAAAAGCACCCAACAGCATGTAGGGCCATTCGGGTTTGTTGTACTTCAGAATCCGACTCACTGGTACTGGTTCTGTCTCCTGTCACATAGAAATGAGCAACAGGTACAGGGAGCTGTGTTTTCATTTGCTCAGAAGACATATACCTTTCTTGGAAGTACCGTATGTACTTCAGACTGAAGACTGAATGTAATGATGGAGCCTTTAGACTCTTTAGACCTTTAGACTCTTCAAAAGTTGCATAAGGATGCTTTAGTTTTTCCTGAGCACATGACAATTTTCCTGAGTTTCAGTTTTGCCACATGACTGCATCACTACCATTTGACTGTCTTCTTCTGAATGAAAAATGGTATTCAATACCGGAACAGAAATGATTTTATACCAAAATGTAGATGTATATCATGACAATTTTTTTTTTCTTTAGACATCACAGATATTATGATACATCACAGTAGATGCGTCTGTAGCTTACTGTAACATATTAGTGAGCTGGCTGTCTGTCGCAAAAATGAAATTGTTTTTTATTACTTAATTCTGTTGTTCAGTTCTGAAGAGTAAGGCAAGAAGAGTTCTGAGAAGACTTAAACATTTAATCAACGATATTTGCTTTGATTTATAATAAAGGCAAAGTGTTTTTTATAAAATATCAAAGAAAAGAAAATTCTGTCACATACCCCTTGCATTTCCTGACTCTCCTTTCCGCTACAGTACTCCCCCGACACAGTGATATCCATATTTCCGGATACAGCATTGGGAATCACATTGGTCAGTGAGTGACATCGGAGACGTAGTGATTTTCTTTTAAAAAAAGTATGCAAAAAACAGAATACAATTATTACTGTTTTCACCAGCAATCACAATTTTAGGAGTGGGCTGTTGTAATACAGTATGTCACAGTATATAGAATTCAAATTAAACAAACATATTTCCCTCAGGAAATAAAAAGGCTTGGTTTGAACAGGAAAATGTTCTTCAATCTGGACAGGGCATTTTTATTTTAAACTTCCTGCATTGTTTATTTCATACATTAACAGGTAATTTTTCACAAAAATGTGAGTTGTGATACACCTGCTCCACAGCACAATCACCATATTCATACTGCACATGTAACTTTTCATTAATGCCCTGTCTGATATTTATTCGATCCTTTCTTATGGTAAACACTCAGGCGACTTACCTTCTAGAAGATTCATAACTTGCTTTACGAAGACTTCTACCATTTTCAGCAAGTGGTTCATTTACACTTTCCTGTTTGAGAACTGAAAAACAAAAAGAAATATTTTAGGAAGTTTCTGTTAGTGTCTAATATAAAGAAATGATTTCTAATTAAATATATAAAGTGATAACGTACTTTTATTTGACAGATTGTTAAAGTTTTTGTTCTGCAAGGACACCAAGGTGTAATAAATGCCTTTCTTTGCTAACAGTTCACTGTGGGTGCCTCTCCCCACAGCCCTTCCATGCTCAAATTCATAGATCACATCTGCATTTCTGATGGCTGATAGGCGGTGGGATATGGTGATAGTTGTTCTGCCCATCCGTGCCTGAAACAATACAATTACATAAAAAAAAACACCTGGATCATGCACATAGGCAATGAAAAAGTAAAAACACTAATAAAAAAACATTTCATGAAATTGTGGTTCTGATAGGAATTTCTAAAGACCCAATAAAGAATTTCCCACATATTTTATATGCTACTTAAATGTGAACACAGGAAAAAGGACTGACTTAAAAAAAAATAAAATGCCTGTTCATTGGGTTTGTAAACAAATGGCACTATGTAAATTTGGGAGGAGGTCAAAATTCAAATGTCGCACTTCTGCTCCTATATATATTAAAAACTCCCTGGTTTCACACAACTCTGTGCTAATATCTTCTAGCACCACGCATCCTCCATCACAACCTCACTGTTGTAGCGGCCTCCCTGGTTCATTCCTCTAAAGTGATGGAGGATGTGACAGCACTGATCTTCAGCCAGTGCTGTCATTTTCTCAGCCAGGCACTTTAATGCCAAAGTGATAAGTACACTATCCTTTCATACTCATTTCACTACAATTCCAGATGGGTTGAGCATGTTGGCAATGATACGTTTGCATCAAACTGTATTATCAAGCTGTGTCTTACATGTCTATTTCAAATCGCTACACCATCCCTTCCTGAAATGTTCCTCCCAATAATTTTACATTTTATTGTTTCAAATACAACTAAGTATTAATTTAAAAGCTAACTAAATCAAGCCTGTTGCTCCTGAAGAATGAATGAATGAATGACCTTGTCTAGTGCTTCTTGAACCGCTGCCTCACTCTCGTTGTCGAGCGCAGAGGTGGCCATGTCCAGCAGCAGGATTCTGGGATTCTTCACAAGAGCTCGAGCGATGGCGATTCTCTGCTTCTGGCCCCCACTCATCTGTCCTCCTCCCTCCCCCACCAGGGTGTCAAATTTCTGGGTCATAGAAGTCATTTACGATAAGAATTGATGTTGTATATGTAAGAGTCTCATTTCTCTGACTCAACAGCATTTATTCTAATATGCCACAGGTGAACTGGAGGCAGAGCACCCAGAGGAGTGCTGTACTCTATGTTTTTTTCTGAATTGTGCAGTAGCATTGTGTTTAATAGCACAACGTACACCGCTGCAGAATAATACTGAACATGATTAAATATAATTGTTTTTGAGAATTAGAAATATGTGTAGGGTATTTTTGTTAGTCTAAAACAGCGGTCAGCATAGCTGTCTTGCAGCACTGGAAGAGGGGGAGAGGCTCCTGAGCTGGGGTGCTATCTGGGTGGAGCTTGTATGTTAGTATGTTCTCCCCATCTTTGTGTGGCAAAGACATACTGGTTTATTAATTGGCTTCTGGGAACATAGTCTGTCTGCCCTGAGGTGGGCTGGTGTCCCATCCAGGTTGTACCCTGATTTACCTGTGCTTGCTGGGGCCCCCGTGAACCTGAATTGGAAGAAGGGGTTAAAAATGGCTGAATGGATAAAACAGCTTTAAAATTCCAACTTGAAGGGAATGCCAAATACCAATAGACTAAACCAGTTCTCTTTTTGTTACTTCCAAGGACCGATGTATTCTTTCTGCGTTGATAACTCACCTGTGGTAGATCCATAATAAAATCATAGGCGTTGGCCTCCTTGGCTGCTCTCACAATGTCTTCCATTGACGCATCTTCCCTCCCGTAGCGAATATTCTCAGCAATGGTGGTGGCAAACAGGACGGGCTCTTGTTCCACTATGCCAATCAGAGAGCGCAGCCACTGGATATTCAGGCTACGTATGTCATGGCCATCCAGAGTCACCTGAATGAGAGCAATTCCTTTTGGGTTATCACAGGGCTCTTGGATTCTTTTCTACTTTGAATTTCATGCATTTGTCAGCCTTCAAGATGAGAAAGAAGAATGTGTTTTGATTAAGGCATGCATGCAGTGTGAAGGTGGACTAGTTGGCGTTGCTGCCTTAGAATGCTGGGGTCCTGGGTTCAATTCCTAGACCTGGGGTGCTATCTGTGTAGAGTTTGTTTGTGCAGGTGGGTTTCTTCCAGGTGCTCTTATTTCTTTTCACAGTCCAAAGCATACTGGTAGGTTAATTGGTTTCTAGGAAAGTTAGCCCTAGGTGAAAGTATGTGTGCCCTGTGATGGACTGGCATCCCGTTTAGTGTGTACCCTGCCTTGTGCCTGTGGCTTGCTGGTGTAGGCCCTGGCTCCCCTGTGACTCTGAATTGGAAGAAGCAATTAGAAAGTGAACTGTTGATCAAGTCCATTTGCAGATTCAAATATAATCCACACCTTTTTATCTCCTTTAACTTAAACAAGTAACAATTCATAACAATTCATAACATAACAATTCTAGAATTGCCTTGCATCACATCAGTTTTTTTCTGGGCTACTGATTTAGTACCATTCCTTTACTGGGGTTGTAGAATCTCTGGATGAGCTGAACCATTGTGCTTTTTCCCGCTCCACTTGGGCCCACACATGCAGTAGTTTCTCCATTTTTAACCAGTATGCTTAACTGATCTAAAATCTGAGCAGGAACAGAAGAAACAAAATGTCAGTATTCTGTCAGGGTGTCAGTAAAGTACCTAATCAAAAAATCGAGAACTGCATAACATTCAAAGGGTTATTTTAAAAGGAAATGGATATCCGAATTTTACAAATAAAAAGGAGTAATAAATGCAAAATAAACACCTTTGCTTCTGGTCTAGATGGGTAGTGGAATGTGACTTTATGAAATTGAATGTCACCTTTCACTTTGTCTAATTTGTGCCCTTCTTCTGAGAAACAATCAATCTTCGGTCTCTAGGGGTATAGAAAGGAAAGGCAATGAGAATAAAGACATCAGTTCCAGAATTTACAAAAAGAGGAGATGTACTACATTCTTCTTACCCTGTCAATTGTGTCAAAGATCAGTTTTGCAGCTTCCTGTCCAGCAGCAAAGGCCTCTAAGCATGTTGACGCCTGCCCCATGTTTATCGCTCCGACCATAACACAGAAGAACACCTGGGCATGAGAATTAAGGGGAAAGGTAATTTCTTTGCAATTTTTGAATAACTTATAAAACAAACTACAGAGCACATTTAAACTCGTCAAAGCAAGTTCACCCTCTTATGGATGAAAAGCAAATTGCAGATTAAATGTCAAGCAGGCTCTTTAGCTTTACTTCAGTTCTTCACTGTAATGTAATGCTAAAATATATTAGTAAGAATAATAATTTATGTATAAAACAGTATAGCAGTACAATGCTGAGCTTACAATAGTACAAACGTTTAGGGTATTTTATACCTGAATGAGTCCTCCTGGAGAGAGCTCTCTGGCGTCAATAACAAGTTTTGATCCATACCAAAATGCCAGTGCATAGCAGAAGAAGATAATGCACCACAAATAACCTTGAAATACACCTATAATTGCATTTTTCTTCACACCCCAGTTCTGTGCCTTAATCAGGTTCCTGTCATACCTGTTAAAACACATAAGATCAGAAAGCCAGTCAATGAAAGAAGGCCGTTCAATCCATCATACTCAAGCAGTTGTATTTAAACACCCTTGTCCAACATCTCCCACGCTGACAGGAACAATTTAGAATAGCTCATCAAACCTGTCCAGCATGCCTTTTTAGAGTAAACTGCAGTATCTAGCAGAAACCCACACAGATCCCGGGAAGACCACGCAGACTCCACACAGACAGATGCCATAAGATGGAATTGGACACAGGACACTGCTGCTGTGAATCAGTGGCGCTAAACACCACCTCTTCTTGAAACTGCACGTCCAAATGTATATAAAATACTAAGAAACACTAGAATATTGTACCTGTTCTTTTTTGGCACTGGTTTTAAATACATTGGTTTAAGGTTTCATGCTTTGTCTCTAAACAAAGGGCTCCAAGGAGGGGAATGAAGCCGATAGCACATGGAAGAGAAGGACATTAAAGGCAAGGTTTCATGTACTCCAAACAAAAGCCCAGTCAATATGTCCCCATGCCACTCAATATAGGTCGTGTCGAAAATGTAAAGAACCCCACCTCTCCACTTCTTTCTCCTCGCCCCCGAACGCTGCCACTGTTCTCACAGAAGACAGCACTTCTTCAGCTACTGCTCCAGCTTTGGCATAGGCCTGTAGCTCACGACCAATTAGCCTGCCAGTAACCTACACCACAGATCACCAGAATTAACTCACAGACAGTCACAGTAATGAAAAAGAAATGTTTGTTCATAGGAAAAGCTAGTTTGGCCTTTGTTATCCTGTTAGACACAGACATGGCTTGTGTTTATTTCACATCCTGAAAGAGTCTTGGGATCCACAGCTTTAGTTCAGGATGAAAGTGTAAAAGTAAATGAAAACATTGAATAAAACCTAATATTCTCATGCTGGTACTATTAATTAATAGACCATGCATGTTCACAACACTGTTTATAAACCCAAAACATTAAGCATCAAAAGGTGCACCTTTCACAGAAAACAAATATGAAAGAATGTTTTACCGACAGACATGGTAATGCAAAGGAATATCACGATTTAATGTCAGGAAATAATGGCACACTCTTTAAAGAGCTATTATTAATTTAGGCAGTATTAAAGTGGTCTGAGTTTGACATAGATCAATAAATCAAAAATCCAAAGTTTCACTTGCTAAGCTACAGCAGATGAACTAACCAGCGGAGTGAACTATTTTTATTGTAGTTGATTGATTAGCTTCGTGAATAATTACTCCAGCTTTATTGAAAGAAAGCAAAAATGAACTGATCATTACATGACAAGCATAAAGGCTTAAAAAAGGCCAAGTAAAATTCTCATATCCTAAAATGTATTCATTTCCATTTTAAAAATCCACTGAGAGGTGAGTTATTCTATATTTTAGAAGCCTGGCAAAGTGTGCAAATTTCACCAGCTCTGTCACTATTATCATCTCAGCAACAAACAATGATGTACAGGAAAAAGTCTGTAAAGTCAGGAATTAAAAATAATTACAGTTCTGTCTCTGCCTGATAGAGGAAACACAGGCATACAGTATATCCATAAGAACAGACCTGCAAAGTATGTTTGTATACTGATACAAAAATGTATAAAAAACTGGTGTGTATACAGTGTGGATATAATTCATTTCAAAACAGGCTTACCACTGCCATCAGTCCACCTCCCAAACCAATTAGAGGGCAGACTGCTATGATAACCAGGGTCAGTTTCCAGCTACTGATCAAACCCACCATGAACCCAAAGATGAAGGTGGAGATTCTCTCAATGAAGAAGGACACCTGATCAGCAATAGCAATGTTGATTTTATTGATGTCACTGAAAAAAATAAATACATTGTGAACAGGATAACTTTTTTCAGTCAATTAATACACAATTAGGTTTCCTTTATTGCTACCTTTCTTCCTGTTTTTATATTATTGTTGTATTTATACAGTCTGTTTAGGTACCATGTCTGTCATGACATGATGTGTTCACTATTGCAAATAGTACCATATTCTCTGTTTTTCCTGAAAAAACAATAAACAAATAAAAAAAAACACAAAAAGAATATACAATAATACAAAGCACATGGCGGTTATTTTTGCTAGGGATCTCAACTTCCAATTAAAATAAGAATTTGCATCAGTGTTTTTTAACATAAAATAAAATACAGGAGTTGAAAGATGAGAATTCATTTTTGGAAGTAAGAGATAGAGTACAGGTATGTCCTGTTCCAAATTGATTTTGCAGATTAGATCAAACTAAAATGTTGTTGCTTTCAAATGTCTCGTTTTGCAAAGATCATGATTCAAATAATTCATTGAAATTGACTTTTTCTGGATCAAGGAGTATTTGACTGTATGAACAAATACAGTTGGTTCGTCTTCAGAGTTTGCTGAAAGGCAGTGCATAAATTTGTTTAAATATGCAAAAGCTACTACATAGTACATGGGCTGGGCCTCAGAAAACACATTAAAAAAAACTATTGCTCTTTACTGTTCGCACTTACTCTGAAATCCTTGTGTTTAATTCCCCAACTGAATTGCAGTCAAACCAGCCCATCTCCATTCTCATGATCTTTTGAAAATATGCTTTTCTTATGCACTGTATCTGACGCGCTGCAGCTGTTACCCAGAAGGCAATCTGAAACATGTGTGATGATGTGAGCTGCTTTATAGGTTAGTATAACAACAGCACTGTCTACAGTATTCTGAGGATTTACAGTATAAGGGTGCATGCAAACGTTTTCTGATCCCTCTTTTATGAAAATCTGCCAAAGAATGCTACAATTTCAAAAGCTACATTTTGTATTTAGATATAATATATCCAAATTTCAGAATGTTTCTATATTGAGTTTGTTTTTTTTCCAAAACCTTCAAACCTTTGAGAGTGACTGCATCCCAGCTTTGCTTCATACAATATGTTACAATATGTTACAATATGTTACAATAAGTCATTACAGCTGTAACATTCCTTTATCTCTGTTATATCTACAGTTACACAGAAAGGGTGGGACAAGGATTTGGCATCCTAAACATAACACTAAATTCCAATTATTCTTTTAATTAAATCTGCAAAGCTTTTTCACTGAAAAATAACATTGATATAATAACAGCATAGATAAGGCACAAGTATGTGTTGTTTTGAATCTACTGGCGCGAATGGCCAAACAAACAAATATTTTGTTCTTTTTACCAGAGTTCAATTAATCCATTTGATCTAGATTAAACAATTAAATTAATCCTAAAGTATAATGGGATGAGAGTATACTTCACAACCTGGAATGTATTGTATGCATTTTTAAAATAAGTGCTCTATATCTAAAACAGATTTTCTTAAACACTCTATGCCCTGTTGTAGATCCCAAAGGATTACTAAAAACATCTTACCTGAAAATAGCTAAGAAAGAACACGGCAAATCCAAAAGCAACATAGTATAACGCAAACGTTGCCATCTCAGCTTCGATATCAATCCTGTAAGAAAGTTACATTTTTAGATTTTTCAAAGCTCTTGTGTTAGTTAGCATATATAGTGGTAGAAAGCAGGTTTGTAAAATGAGGAATATTCTGGCAGAATTAATTACACCACCTAATACAGTAATTGTACTGTATTTGTATTACAGTCATACAAAAATGAGAGTATGGAAAGAAATTCACATGCACTCACTTCCTGAAGAAGAAAAATATGGGTCACTTCTCAAGGTCATTGAGAAGTTACAAAATAAGTAACACAATTAAAAAATAACCAGCATATTATAATATGCAATCTGCAAAACAACTAATGAACTTTTTACCTAGTTACAACTTTGGAACACTGAAATGAAAAATGTAAACTTTTGTTTAATGTTAAAAAATGTGAAAAGACATACCTGATACAACAGATCAAAGTGTTACTCATTTGTTATTGAGAAAATAATGTCAAGTACCAGCCGTGAGGTCATAAAAAGTAAATAATGTACCTTCAGACAAAAAAAACTACAAGGAAACCTTTTTTATTTCTAGAATGTAAATGAGGGAAAGACAGAAATGTACTTCAAGACTGTCTTAACTAAACTACAATTCACTGTCTACAGTCAATTGGACATTTTGTGTATGAGAGAAAGAACAGAAAGATAATCAAATGTATAATCCATTTGATTTTTTTGTGGATAAAAGACAGCTTGTTCCAGGCAAATTCAGTCTAATCATGAATGTTACTCACCCACACGTAACAGTTGTGTTTAGTTCAACTTCATATATAGAGCCATTTGTCCAGGTTATGGTACTGTTGGTGCAAGTTTTATTGGGGGCATTCAGCTCTTGGATTTCCAGTTCATATGCCACAAACGTGTTGATCATACTCCCATACACTACCAGCATGACAGGAGTGGCAGCCCCATGCATCAGAGCACACAATCCCCCTATGAACATCATGATTATGTCTGTGCATGCTGCATAGCGGAACTGTAAAAGAATGTTCCTCACCATCAGTACCAGAGCATGCAGGATCGTGTTAGACACAAATATTAGCCTAGCAGGCTAATTGATATGGAAGATGTTGGCACAGGAGCTCCGGTGATTTTAATTAGTAAATTAATGCAAAACAGACTGAGAGGCAATACAAAACTCAGTGACATCCTCTTAAGGGAAATCATATAACATCAGGTCACTTTTACCACCTGTTTATTTAATTCAAATCAAATGTTCAGGGAATAGTTTGGTGTTCAAGAAGGATTGCAGTTGCATGTTCCTGAAAGTGCCTCTAGTGTGTAACAAATACATGTTATATAGGTCAATAGAATATTACAAATATAACGTAACTCTATATAGTTTATGTAACTAGCTGTCTCAGCATGCCTAGGCTGCAAAGGAACAGGTAAAGGTTTATTTCATGCTGAAAGGAAAAGAAAAAAGACACAGTTTCAACTCTGGAGCCTCCACAGCTGAAACTTTGTGTCTCTTTTCATTCAGCATGGAATAAACCTTTGCCTTTACCTTATACCTGTCTACACATTTGTGCTGGACAATGACATCACGACAGTCTCCAGGTATAATAATAATAATTATTATTATTATTTACACTTATACAGAATAGCCAGGACAGTCCATTCAAAGTGCTTTAAAAGGTAATGGAGACTCCCCTCACCACCACCAATGTGCAGCATCCACCTGGTTGATGTGCAAAGCCAGAATGCTAACCACATATTAACTATTAGTGGGGAGGGGAACAGAGTAATGAAGTCAATTCATAGATGGGGATTATTAGGAGGCCATGATTAGTAAAGGCCATGGGAAATTTAGTCAGGACGCTGGGGTTACACCACTAAACTTCTCGAGAAATGCTCTGGGATTTTGAATGACCACAGAGAGTCAGGGGTTCAGTTTAACAGCTCATACAAAGGAGGGCAACTTTTTACAGTATAGTGTCCCCACCACAATACTGGGGCATTAGAACCCACATAGATGGCAGGGTGAGCACCCACTGCTGAGCGCCCCACTAACACCTCTTCCAGCAGCAACCTTAGTTTTTCCCAGGAGGTCTCCCATCCAGATACTGAGCAGGCTCACACCTGGTGAGCTTCAGTGGGTTGCCAGATGTGAGTTGCAGGGTGAAATGGCTACTGACAGGTACACTATGTGTCAGGGCACAAGGTAATCACAACCATTAGGTATCAGTGAGTCTTAAATGTTTTCCTGATGTGTAGCCAGTCCATAGAAGACTTGCAATTCTTCTTATTTCCTCTTTATGTTATAGTGAAAAATTAAACAAAGCAGTGGATTGATTATGAACCTGGGGTACAGACATAAAATGATTTCAGGTCTTGTTTTACATTTAGGATTGTAGTTTTCTTGCCCCTCAGTATGTCTTTCCAATTTCTCCAATATCAGAGCTGTATTTGAAAACATATCTTCATGCAAGAAAAGAAAAGGTTGACCAGCAATTAATCTGTATTATGTCATGCAAAATATTCCCTTATTTTTTAATTTTAGATTGTGATTCCTTTCTTTCTTTTTTCCTTACTATCACTCTACTCTACTCTACTATTGCTTACTATTGCCTATATTGAATCTTCAATTTTTCCACCATGTAAGTTCGAAACTGTTTTTCCAAATTAGCAGACAATGAAGTTGGTGTTACATCTGAGAGTAAAGAAAATATCTAATATCAAATATATGTTTATTATTTTTTTTAAAGTCTTAAAGGGTTGACTTTTCTACCCTTCTCCAAAAAGTTTTTTCCTTAATATGATGGAAATTTAAAAAGAGAGCATTTTTAAACGTTTTACTAAATGATTTCTATATTCAGAAAAAAAGAAGATAATTACCATCTGAAATAACCCAATTCCAGTCCCCTTTTTGCCATTTTTTTCGAGACGTAAAAGTCTAAAAAAAGAGAGAAAGAAAAGGCATGAATTCAAGTGACATGCTTTTTCCAGGTCATCAGACTTGTTTTTTGCTGGGACAACTTACTTTTCGTTCTCTCTGTCCATTTCTCCTGAAGAAAAATTAGGAATTAACCTGGCAATATCTCTGAATAGAGGTAATGATATTGATTGCAAATAATGTGAAAGACTGAAATTCCAGAATTTTTGTTTCCTCTTGAAGTGTAGAACAAAGTGCCTCTTCTTACTGTGTTACCATCTGAAAGAAATATACAAAGAAATTTCAATAAGCCTCCATATTTTCATCTACACTATATGAACTGCATAACATATCAGTCCAGCAGGAAACTGTTTTTATCTTTATAATTAATTATATATCAATTGCAAATATGCAATATTCAGTATTGTGATATGATGTATTGTAGACTTGTTATTGTGTTTAATTTTGAGACTATACAACTTTGCTGTACCTATTATTTTGTAATCCTTTAATGAGACTCTTTTACCAATTCATAAACCATTAAAAAATAAGGAATAGTGAGATCCTAAAGCTATTTTTTGCCATGATTTTTCCCAAGGGTGGAATTTGCAATAGACACACAGAGAAATTAGTGAATTATAAAATTATATATATAATCATATGTGTCACTATTAGTGTTAACAGAATAGTTCTCTGTGAGGAAATGTTCTTGTCTGTACCCACATTACACTTTTCTCAGTATCTCCTTTTCCATTAAATAGATGTAAGGTGTTTTCCCTGACTTTCAAAATAAAAAAAACATCACCACCAAGGAATCTTATCCATTAATAAATCACATCTTTATAAAGTTATAGATTCTTCAACATCAGAGTTAATGACCTAAAAACCTGCTCTTTGGCTGCATTCCAGACAATATATGGGTTTATGAAACGTTAATATTGATTTTTGTGAAACCTATTGTATCCGTAAAATTTCACTTTTGTCACTACACTGACTAAGAAGTGTCTGGATTCCATCTGTGCGCCCATCAGATTTGTATAAGTTACATTCTGACTTACTACAGAATGATGCAACCTTACAGGACACCTCACATGTCTTTCTGTCACTCATCATTACATGTAATATTCAGCTGATACTAAATAAATTCTGTTTTAGAGAAGGACTAAAAATGGTACAAACGTATACTGTATAAAACTTACAAAAAAAAAGTTGAGTGAATTATTTCAGTTTCACAGGCATGTTTTATGTAAGTGTACTCTTTCTTCTCCTTTCCATAGTTAACTAATTGATTTTGGTGTTATTTTATAATTCTGCTTTGAAAAACATCAGAACAAGACCCCCAAATAATGGCTCTCATCCATTCAAAGTCATTTCCTACACCCAAAGGAGTTTAATGACAGCATGGAAAATTGAGTTCAATGACCACAAGTCCCTTACCTCCAGCCTAATTCTTATCTCTGACAGCCTGTGTTGTGAGAGAGTCATAAATTATTTATTATTTTGGCCTTTACCACAGCTTAGCAGTAAGTGCTTCTTTTCTCCTTTTTAGAGCTTCCTCTGAAATTCTAGCTCAAAAAGACATGTGAGCTGTTTATATAATTGTCCCATTAAGAGGAGTGTACATATTGTCTTCACATTTTGTACTCAAATGTACTGTTTCTGAACGTTTGTGCATTTACTTCTACCAGATGGGTACATAATTTAATCCTGAATAAAGAATCTAATATATACTCATTTGTTCACTAACAAAGTGTCATCATTTTCACAATATGGAAACATTGTTATAAAATCTTATGAATCCTGCAACAAATTACAAATATTATAAACTGCATAACAAACTTAAGATGATTGACTAAAATGCCTTCTGGACAATTTCCTGAAGCTTTTTGTATTACACAATTCTGGAAGCATGTGTTACTTGTATGATAATTAAACCCACTCAAGTCACATCAAAAGGAACATGCAGGGATCAGTACAGGGAATATTATGGAGCAGAATTTGTAATGGAATATTCAGTGCTTTGACATTACACAATCAGCAGATAAAAATATGTGTGTAAAGAAGCACTATGGTCACGGGTACCTCTGGCAACATAACCATGTCATCTTGAGACATGTTAGCACAGCAATGGGAGTGCCTCTTTCAAAAGTAGTTAATCAAAGTCATTGGCGAGATGCCACTGTTAACGGCTGGCTGTTGTGTGGGTGTTGAGCCAGTCTGCACGCTGTTAGTGAGAGCTCTGTGTACCCTGTGGTTTTGATAGCTCTAGACAGTGGCACTGTATTGGGCTGGAGAGCACTTGAGCACCACAATAGTTATACACCTCATCCCGATCTCAATCCCAATCCGATGTCTGGGAATAGGACAGATTGATGATCACATGCACTGATCAGTGCTGAATTCCATGTTTATTTCTTTGATGGCTCAGAGCCCCTAATTTGACACCTACACCAAGTCATGAAAACCAATCATGACTAGATCTTAGACAAGTTTACCATCCACTCATTGTATATCTTGATCATTGGCACTTAGAAAGTGTGCATTTTTCACTAAGCATGTGAACAGGTAAATTAGATCTGCCTTAAAGAAGATTAAAGACCACAAGGTGTAAATACAAAGGACAGGGCTTGAGTCGTATATATTCCATTTCATATTTACAAATGAATTGGTACAGGTGAAAACAACAAGCACTTAGTAGAATGGTACCATTCTCCAGACATATCCTAAAACAGCAGGTTAGATTAAGGACTCTGAAGTAGTTGAAGATGTACTGACAACTTGCTGAAAATAAATTAACAAAGTACAATCTAGCTGCCAAACAGTTCTTTGCAATCATTAACTAAAGAGCGATCAATATCTTTGAAAGGAACAAACTGCGATAAAAAAAAGTCAGGGCAATGGTCTCTGGGTGAAACACCACTATTCAGACAGGAATTTGAACTTTGTTAGCCATTTACCTGTTTTTAATTCCCTCTTGGGAATTCTCACAGATGATAACATTTCCACAAAGGAAATTTGCAAAAAATGTTGAATTTGAAAAAACCAAATGAGAACAAATGAACAGCATTGCCAACAGCTCATGACAGCCAAAAGCTGCAACGTTGGCTATCTGTGGATCAGGTACTGTCATTGTTGAATTGAGACCTGTCTTGCCTCTTATAATATAGCAGACCTCTGCTGCTATAGTGAAAATGATTGGATTCAAAGTTGTCCTCCAAGATATGAACATGAGGGTAATGAAGAAGGAGAAAGGATCTATTGACTCCTCATGTTGATCCAAGTGTTTCCTAATTTTGATTTAAACTCCAATGAACTGGCATCAAATTCAGCTAGTTTTGCAATTCCTTTACTGCAGAAAATTGCCTTCCGCAATTGATCCATAAAGAATTTGGTCATTCCAGTGCACTTCCCAGTTTGGGTGTCTTTTATTCTTCTTATGAAATTATCAGCACTGATCAAACATCTAACTTGCATTTAGCAGAATTAAGAATGAAAGGTTTGCATTCACCTTTGTTAAGACTGAAATGGGTTATAAAGAAAAAGTGGACCAATCAACTTTTATTTACCGCAATTGAGTTGTATCAAATCTATTGCTCTGTAATTGTGTTAACAGTGCACGGTCAAAAGAAGATTCAGTGCCTATCATTTTCCAGATTAATTTATGCGGTTGTTTACTTCCATCTAGTGGTGCTACTTTCTGTAAAATACAGTAATACAATGAAAATCATATCTGTACTCTATGTAGAAGAGAAGTAATATATAAGTAGTGAAAAAACAAACACAGGAAGCTTGATTTAAATGTGTGTATTCACATAGTTGTTGTATTAACACTTTGATGACATTACCTACTTATTCCTGACTCTGTTGAATTGAAGGAGGTAACATACTTTACATCATCATGGTTCAATTCAGACAGCACTCTGAACAGCTGTCAAATGCTTATCGACCTACACAAGCTCAATACTGTATACCACTTTCCACAGTAAAGCCCATTACCAATAATCATACTGTATATCAGTATGCCACAGGTGGAGATCTACTATAGAAACCAGAACCATTCAGGCCAAACCAAGAGAAACTGCCTGAAGGAATGTGACACTCAATGCTGAAAAAGAAGTCCCTCCTCGGGATAGATAATAGAAAGATTTGACTAAAAGTGACCAAACGACTTTTGAGTGACGACAGCAACCATGTCTTATAGTCAATTTAAACAAAAGGTGAGGTTTTTGGACATGCTTATCAAAAGGGGGTATTTTTTTCTACAAATACATTTCTAATTCCAATACTGCACTCAACACTGACAAATCCCTGACTTTGTGTCCTTTGCTTGCCATGATAACCTCCAGCTCCCAAACAAACCCTCTTTGGGATAAAGTCGTTTGAAAGTGGATGGATGCATGTGACCAAGGGTGGGGTGGTGGCGCAGTTTAGCATTGCTATCTCATGGTGCTGGAGCCCTGGGTTCAATTCCTGAGGTGCTATACTGTATGTGTGGAGTTTGTACGTTAACCCTGTGTTAATGAGGGAGAAGCCAGTTTCCTCCCACAGTCCAAAGACAAGCTAATAGATCACATGGCTTCTGGGAAGATTGGCCCTTGTGTGGGTGTGTTTGTGTCTGTGTGTGCCTTGTGATGGACCCATCAGAGTATATCCCACCTTGTGTTGCTTAACAGTATAGGCTCTGGCTCCCCTGCAAGCTTGTATTGGATAAAGAGGTTAGAAAATGGATGGAATACTAACAAATTGTTAACTCTATAGGGGCAAGGTGTTTTAAGGATATGCCCCTGGAATTCATGTTTATGCAAAAGAAAAACCGTCCTTCTGTGCACTATGGTTATTTTTTCAAACCCCTCCTGTGGATAATAGCAGTCTATGCTGGTAAATCTGCTGAAATAAAAATATAATAAATCAGATAATCACATACGATTACTGTATCAAACAAGTTTCTATGTACACTTGCTTATGCTTGCAATACCAAAAATGAGTAAATCATATGACTAAAAAAAACATCTATAAAGTGCAATCCAATTAATCATTACTTTGTTGTCGTTCAAAACTTTTTAAATTGTGATAATTTAAATGCTTTGGAAACAACAGATATAAACTAAGCAACACTAATTATTTCAGTAGACAGAACAACAAAGCAAATTTCTATTTATACTATTTTAATAGCTAGGGAGCATAGCACCAAACAGTAAGAATAAAAAGTACATTTAAAAAGTATTTTTTTTAAAAGCCAGCAGGTGGCGTTTTATGAGAATTGAATATATACACACACCCTACACCGGAAGAAGAGGGTTTGCTTTTAAGTGGTACTAAAAGTTCAGGGTCCATCTTCTATATTGGATCAATTGAGGCCACAGAAAGTAGGTGAGTTTACTATAGCTTTCATGTTTCAGACATATTTCAGAGTTCATCTTTAGGTGTAAATGATATTATTATTGTTAATGATTTTATTACAAACAGAAAAATCACTACAACATGTACAGTATGTATGACTTTGAAGTATAACATTTTATGTCATCTCGAATTGCTAAATCGTGAAGCAGACTGATGTTTAAAAGCGTTTACAATTAATTGGATTTTTAAAGACTTTTTCGGCCCTACTGGTTGTAATTTCCCACATCGTCGGTATCAGCGTCATCTCTCAAACTGTTGTTTTTCAGTAGGAGCGACGGAGTTTCTGCAGCTTCGGCTAATTATGGAAGCTGCGCTTCGTGTTAACGCCTAAACCGTGGTGTTTACTGGGGTGTAGTCGCAATTTTAAAAAAAGGACTGCATAACTTAATTTTTAGAAAGACTATTCTCGGCTCCTTTCAGAGCTAAGAAAGGTATTATCAATTTTAGATTATCTTTATTCCACAATAATATTTTCAACATTCGGGACTGTTCAGGTAATTTGCTAATTGCACGTATACACTATGAACAGGTCATGCACTCAGAGTGCCTACATTATTTTTCTGTATGAACACTATCAGCATACAGTTTTAATTCTTTATTCCGTCTGCGTTATTTTTCATCTTTGCTCTCGTTATATTAATTCATTGCCTTATTGTACCTGCACGTTTGCTCATCATATGTCTACATAAAGCAAATTTCCTATACATTGTAAGTTGCCTTAGATAAAAGCGATTGCTGTCCAGGGTATAAAGATGATGCTAAGCATTAACCTGTTGTTGCAGAACGAGCCCCATTTTGCAAACCGTGCACTTTAAATAGAAAAATGCTGTAATGCCCGGAGCAGTTTTATTTATCTTTTCAGCTTGATAAGAATGCATCTTCTTCTGTTACCTCCTGTTCATCTGACTAAGTAGCTTGCTTACAGCGAAAGTGCTCTCAGACTAGCCAGTTTGTGTTCACGGTATCATTTAAAGGTATTAGGGGGCTCCCTGCACTTATCTGACACTTGTTTTCAACGATTATACTAAGTATCTCGGTGTAAATCGATGTGTAGTCATGGATTCCTTTACTATTTTCAAGTGCATGCGTTGTTTAATTCTTTCCTGTAATTTGTATAGCTGTGTTTTACTAAATGTTCCTTTTTCTCGCAGTGTCTATTATTTTCTACTATAACCCCCCTTCAAATAACGAATTTGTACCACTATAGTGAGGTCAATTAGGCAATAATCCTCACACGTCACTTAGGTTTACAGATTGTGTAACGTCTGTACTGACCAGATTTCCTGTGTTGCTTTCAGAACTATATTGCTTATGAGACGTATCAGCAGTTGGACAGTTGTCGTCAGCTGCCACCTGCTTGATAAAAAGTTAAAAGAAGTACTTTATCAAAAGTGGGATTTCTTGCATCGCCGAGATCTGGTTTATTATTGCAATCAATGTCAAGATTAGAAATTTAGCCCATACATTTACAAAGGTTCTTAGTGCAGTACTGCACTGAAAATAAGCTATCTCAAACTCTTTCTCTTTTCAGACATGTTTCTGTACCTGCTTGCTTTAGCGGCTCTCTTCTGTGTGTACCGCTGGTACAAGGAACGCAAAACCGTTCCCAATAAATCTGACAAATATGTGTACATCACTGGATGTGACACGGGGTTTGGAAACCAGCTGGCGAAGCATTTGGACCAACAGGGCTTTCGTGTGATTGCTGCGTGTTTCACTGAAAAAGGAGAAGACGCTCTGAGGAAAGGCGCTACTGACAGGCTTGTGACTCTCCACCTTGACGTCACCAAGTCTGAAAGCATTGCTAAAGCTGCCGAGCTCATAAAGGACAGGGTGGGAGAAAAGGGTACGTCTCAACTCTATTAATTTCTGGTCTCGGTGAAGTCAGACGTGGAATGGAACCTAAGTACTTTTGGATTTCGTTGATTCCACTCTTGTTGCCATGACGTATCGCTTGTTTGTTACCTGCAGAACTCTACATCATGGCACTGTGTCACAGTGCAACTCCAGCAGAATGAGTAGCCAAACACCGGGGTTAGTCTGCAAACCGTGGCATTGTTTTCATTGTTGTTTGGAAAAGGTAATTACACAGAATAGTACAGAAGGGGTGTCTAATTTGATTAAGCCTGAGAAATAATGCTTGTTGGCACATTTGTATTCTCTCTTTTGTTCACTCTTTTTTCCCAAACAATCTCATTGTTGGCCGCTCCCGAAGCCTGTAATTAGGGTGAGGCTGTCAGCTCTCCTAGGAATCCGACACTTACAGATTTATCGAAGAGCCGCAGGCTTTCCCGCAGAAAAAGTGCTTAGGCAGGTGGTAACCATCCCTTTCCCAGGTATCTAACAGGTTGCAAAGAAACAATAGTGTGCTGAACAGGAAGTATTTAACCTCAACAACTAGTTCGATGATAAAGGATTCATCCGAGATTTAGGCTACCCATGAGCTTTGTTCTGTGTGCTTGAAATGCGTTGTTATTTTCTGTGTTCGCCAGTTCATCGTTGTGTTCTTTAAGCTCTTGAGGCGCTGTTCATTATTATAAAATTAAGTAGCAAGCGACGAAGAGTTGGGACAGTATTTGTCACTGACCCCGTGGTTAAGCTGCAAGGAAACTCCGCCTTTTTCTGCGTCATAGCTTTCAAGGGTCCAAAACACGAAACCGTCGGATTAGTATATCAAGTCTGATATTTCCGCAGTTAAAGAAACTACAGTACATTGTCAAGAGCTTGGCTGAAACACAGAACCTAACACTCTAACCCCTCCAGGAATTAAGTTTAAGACTCCTGCTTTTGATTGATTCCGAGAAGATTCGTGTATTCCGAGATGTACAGTACTACACTAAGGCTGTCTTTGAGTTAAAATTTCCAGTGGGTGCTATTCATAGGGTACTGGGGGCGGTGTGGTGGCTCTGTGGCTAAGGATCTGCGCCTGTGGCTGGAAGGTTGCCGGTTCAAAATCCTGTGGCCGGCAGAGGAATCTTATTCCATTGGGCCCCTGAGCAAGGCCCTGAACCACAGCTGCTCCAGGAGTGCTATATAAATGGCTGACTCTGCGCTCTGACCCCAAGCTTCTCTCCCTGTCTGTGTGTCTGGTGGAGAGCAAGCTGGTGTCTGTGAAAAGACAAATTCCTAATACAAGAAAGTGTATATGGCCAATAAAGTGATCTTATCTTTGTTGAGTGCACTAATCACGCCTTGGTTGTCCAGGGTGTCTGTCACGATGGTGTTTGTGTTGTGCTTTGCAGGTCTGTGGGGTCTGGTGAATAATGCAGGAGTGTCTGTCCCTTCCGGGCCCTGCGACTGGCTCACTGTGGACGATTATAGACAGATGCTGGATGTGAACCTGCTGGGTGTTATAGCTGTGACGCTGAGTGTACTCCCTCTTATTAAAAAAGCCCGGGGAAGAGTCGTGAATGTGGCCAGTGTCTTCGGAAGAATCAGTCCATTTGGTGGACCCTACTCTGTTTCAAAATATGGAGTCGAAGCCTTCAACGACAGCCTTAGGTATGATTTTAGAATTTTTTGCCATTATTATTTGAGGTACAAGTACAAAGACTTATGCAAGTCTGCCTTGTTTAGGTCCCAAAAGAAATTCACAGAGCATTCAAATAAAATCACCTAATCTCTCAACAAATGTAGGCTTCCTTATGGTGTGCAAACTGAATGGTCTTTTTACTTCAAAGCAATCTAAAATTTCAGGTGGTTTAAAGACAGCAATAAACCATTTCCTGTTGAACAGTGAGCAGCTTGTCTATAAAGTTAAATTAAGCTGTAAGTCTTTAAGAACTCTCATTATATAAATAAAACGTTGGCTATAAATTGAAACAGTTAACGTTTTATGAATACATAATGCAATCTTTTCATTCTGCTACTACTGTTATATTGAGTTATGTATTTGTGTTTGTTAAAACATGGGCACACAGTGTACTGGACTGAAGTCTGCACATATGTGTCATAGGTGGTACAGCAGGCCTTTAAGTATGAACCTATGTTGTATTTAGATATTTTCTCATGTTGCTTTTTGTTTTGTTTTTTAAGGAGAAACATGATGCCTTTTGGAGTGAAAGTCCTGTGCATTGAACCAGGCTTTTTCAAAACCAGTGTGACTGACATTGATATTTTATTAAAAAATGTTCAGCAACTATGGGATAAAATGCCACAGGAAGTCAAAGATGACTATGGAAGCTCTTATGTGCAGAAAGGTAATTTTTGCAGACTTACAAAATGAAGATAAAATATAGCACCTTTTACCATCTTAACACATAAACAGGTGTTCATTCTAATATTTAACAAAGTCTAAAATCAGTGTAATGTTTAGCTTGCAGTACTGAAAAATACAAGATACAGAAACACTTTTGGTAGATACCAGTCTTTTGTGCTAAATACAAAGTTGTAGTAACTCATTCTTTTCCGTGCATGAGCAAAAATTACTCTTTTATCTTTTCAGTCCTAATTCTAGAAAGCTTCCAGATTCATTTTGAATTGTTTTTGCCCGTTATCTTATGTTTAGATAGTGCAAGACCTTAGACTTGTGACGGAGCACATTTCTATCATGAGCAACATTATCATAACTCTTAATCTGTCACATTATGGTTTGGTATGCACATACAGTACATAGCGATGGGGGCAACCAAGAATCTGTTTCATCAACTAACAGCCAGTTTTCTTCCTATGACTGTAAATCCAAATTACATTTCTAGTGTTCATGCAAAGGTAAGAAAGCTGTACTTTCCTGTCTTGCAGTGTCAGTGTTGATGAAGAAGATGATGGGTCAGTTGCCAGACTCTGACCTGATGAAGGTGGTGAGCTGTATGGAGCATGCCGTCTCAGCCGTCCATCCCCGAACCCGCTACTCTCCAGGATGGGATGCCAAGTTCTTCTGGCTTCCTCTGTCTTACATGCCAACAGTGATCTCTGACTACCTGCTCCTCAAAGACAGCATTAGCCCAGAAAAGGCAGTAGTCTGATTTTTAGAATTTGCTGACTTTCAGGAACTCCGTAGAGTCACTGAAAGTCGTGGCTTAAATAGTTTCGCTGGGGTCACTGTCCAGACCTGTCTAGTGAGTTCCTCCCTGAGTGGATTTGAATTTTCTTTTTGGCACTTGACACATTTGGAAGTCTGGTGATCATGTTCACCAAAATTAACCTTATTCTGTTCTGGTTGATTTCTAATATAGGATGGTACACTAATACTGCAGTTTGGTTTTGTGTGATCTTTGAATTGACATGGAAAGCTGTAATTAAATAAACTATATTTATAGACTCATTTACCAAAATACTGTTTGAATAATGTTAACAAATTATTTTCTTGTAAACAAATGACTGTTATTTCAAAGGGCAACATGTCTTATCAGATTGGCTTTCCATGTGCAAGAGCATATATCCATTTTTAACTGCTTTTTTACAATCCTGGGATGCAGGAGAGATGCAGCCTATCCTGGTAAGCAACAGGCACAAGGCAGGGTACACCCTGGACAGAACGTTAGTCCATCACAGAGCAGACAGACACACACACTCACAGTCACTCCAGGAACAATTTAACCTGGTAGCATGTTTTGGGACTGGGGGAGGAAACCCACATGACTATGGGGGTAACATACTGTATAAACACCACACAGATAGCAGCCAAGGTACCTTCTCAACCCTCATATTTTAATAGTAGTTCAAGTAGGTAGCATGTGTAGGCTGCAAAGGAACAGGTAAAGGTTTATTCCAGGCTGAAAAGAGAGAAAAGAAACACAACATTTTGGCTGTGGAGCCACACACCCAAAGAAGGCTCCACAGCTGAAACATTGTCTTTCTTTTCTTCTCTTTTCAGCATGGAATAAACCTTTACCTGTTCCTTTGCAGTCTACACATGCTACCTACTTGAACTACTATTAACATATGAGGGTTCAGAAGGTAGTTTCTACCAACATTTTAGATTTACTTGTAATATTCTTCATAATTACTAAGCTGTCATTGACAATGTTGTTCATTTTGTTCTTAAAGTAGTCCTTAAGTTAAGCCTTCATATAAATGTGAATTTTGTATTGGGAATGAAAACTGGAATTTCTCTCAGAAAGATTAAAAAGGCTTCCCACATTTTGCTTAAATATTTACATACAAGAGAGACTCTTTTTTTTTTGTTCTCCTTTGTTTCTGTACATAAAAATATGAAACCAGTGTAGTACAGTTCTTTTGCAATTAAAACCAAATACCCAAATTTGTTTAACATTTTTAAGCAAAGCAGGCACTCGGCATATCCTTTTCTACAGGCAAATACTTCCTATTTAAATTAAGGTAAATTAGGTCAATTGAAAGGTGAGCTGTTTTACTTCTGTTTCCAGTATGTATAAAAATACACCCTTCTTAATTTGTGTATGTCCAGTGCAACAAATTGAAAGGCTGAGTGTTATGTTGATTCTTAGTCAAAATAAGCTAAACATGCATTTACATGTATAAACAGTTACAAATGAAGCAGTAGCATGCGGTTCAATTTGTCTGTCTACCCAAATAGACCATGCAAACTAATACACAGCAAACAACTTGATAGTGCTCTGAAGAATGCTTAAATTTAATCTTTTTAATTCTTAAGAAACATATCACTCTTCAGTAATACTGTATAAAACACTAATTACATTTATGAAATTCTTTCACTTTATGAATCCATCAAATCATCCAGTGGTATACCGTGGGACCCACTGTTACAATTCCTCGGTAAAGGAAAGTAAAGACTATGTAAAGCCTATGTCATTTGAGTACTTATTCATTTTGAAATTGTTCACGGTGAATGGAGTTTTAAAGTTCTCAGAAGGTTCAGGAGAAGGTCAACCCCTAATCTTGCCCATTTCAGCCTACCTGTGTGTAAATATCACATTTCTGCTTTGCTCCTTTGCCCGTCCTCTGCTGCACCTTCACCCTAATCATTCATCCTCCCTGGCTCTTTCCTTACAAAAAAGGGAGGACTATTCAAGACAGGTTATTCACTCAGTCAGGTGAGATAAGCCAATAAAGCAAACTAAATTGGAAAATAAATCACATCTGTTCTCCTTCTTAATTAGGGTTTTACAGATCACTAAAAATAAATGAACCAATTGTTCCTATGTACAGTAGCTCAGACACAGTTTCCCACTCTGTCCTCTTCATAAATGATTCTGTTTTTTTTATTTTTTACTATTAAGTTAAATAATTTTTATCCAGTGTTTTGAGCATACAAAACTTTCAGAACTGTGACATAAAAATACAGGTGGATTCACCGTAGTGCCAGCTTAACCTGATCTTGAAATTTACCATTTACATTTTTTCAAACTCTGAACTCTTCCTTATTCAATATATATATATATTCAATGGCAATGAAAAAACTGAATACTCAAAAAAGAGCTTTAATAAAGCTTTACTGAAAGGGAAAACATTAACAATTAGAAATACATTTGTGAAAGACTAGAATAGTACAGGCAAATCAGCAGCATGTTGCTACTTTAATTTTCATTAAAACAAAAGACAGAAATTCATGATAAAAAATGTTGCTCAGCTACATAATAACATCATTTGAATATATGAGATGGAAAAAGGCAATTGATAAGAAATACAGAGTAGATCTTTGAAATAAGCAGATTTCCTAAATAGCCACAATTATACTATGGTAATGAAAATATACAGTACCAGTTAAATGAAAAAAAAAAATATAAATACGTACAGTATATAAAATGATCTTTTTCACTAACAATTTTGAAATGTTAAATTCTGTTTTGGAAGCAAGAAAACTGTAGAATCAATGTAATACAGAAACAAAGCAATTTGGAAGGTGTGTTCACTTGTGGAAAACTTTAAATGTATTTTAAGGTAAAAACTGTAGAGTAACAGAAATATGGATTGGCTGTCTTCTTTTTAAACATTATTCATTTCTTGTAATCAAAAATGATTCCATAAATTCCAGATACAAATTTAAAATCCTTGATTCTATTTTTGTATTACTAACAACTTATAATGTACTAATATGGAATGAGAAATTCTAAATAGCATACCTACAATATTCAACATTCTGCAAATCTTGTCTTACATTTAAAATATGTACAGTAAATATCTGAGCTGCCAAGTCTAACACAGCCACAGTACATTTTTGTGGGACTTATCAGTTAATTATATGTCACATGCTGTGTTTTCTCTGCATACTATTGTATTGTGTTAATGTTTGTGTATTTATTGTTCGTTTTTTTTTACTGCTTAACTGACAGAGAAGTGCATTTTTTACTGCCTCACTATTTGTGATAAATGTGAGGTGAAAGTCCTTCTGCTCTGACATGATAATCAGGATATTAGCCGATATTAGCCGTTCTAGGCACTGATAATGTTTAGCAAACATTCTGCCCCCCTTAAAGGCCTCTTTTGATAAGTTCAGGGGAACACACTAAGTACTGTTCACAGAGATCTATTACAGTATGTGTGCATTGTCTCATCAGGTATGAAGAAACATACATTTTCAATCAGTATTTGGACATATTAGGTTACGACTTGTACTATTCAATAATTTAATAAAACTAAGGCCCACTGTCATTATCATGGTATCATAATTAATTGTTTGCGTTTGTATAGTGCTTTTCATGTCAAAACATGCCATAGTGCTCTGCACATAGGAGGGGATCCACTTTATGAACTACTTGAGGTGCAGAGCAGAGCACTGCACAGCAGATCAGGAGCAGAAGTGAAAAATTGCTTCACCGACCGAATTCTCAGCAGTGCAGTCAATCAAGGTCAGGCACAGTGACATTGAATGGTGTAATCCACCAGACTGAGGAGCACAACAGCCTATCTGACTTTAAAAGTAGATGTGTAAGTGAGTAAGCAAGGAGTGTGATATTCATACGCAGGTAGGCGGATGTGTGCGGACAAGATTAGGCTTCGACTTCCTCCCTATTAGGTGAAACTCTATAAATTTGTCAATTTAGGGAAGCCAAAGTTAACAAACCGGTAGTACAATCTTGTCAGGATACCAGGTTTGACATTGATATTCTGCAATGGATACAGTGCAATGGAAACTTTGGTAGCCAAATTCTGATCTGATTAAATTAAGCCAACAATTTAAAGACCTATTACTACAGGTATGTGCTTATTCTTTTTCTGGTATTCTTATATGGCATCTCAAAGTCAACCAAACATTCATCCTAAGAAAATTGCACGAATTGAATATTAATGTGTTAGAGACTTCTATATAAACTGTAATATATTCATAGGTACAGTAGGCTCATTAAAAGCAGGGCATTCAAATTAAGCTTTTTTTAAAATAAAATGCTTAAAATGAAGAATATAGTTCAACAATATTGTAAGTTTCTAGACTGTTCAGATAAACAGACCTTTGTTTTCATGGCACACAGATAAGGATAGAATGAAAAGTGCTTTTATGTACATAAACATATCATTCTCCATAAAAACACTGGGCCTCTTTCTTCTGAGAAGAGCATGACCAGCAAAATGTTTGGAATGGACAAAGACAACTGCACAGACTCCTCCTGAGGCAGAAGTACATAGTAACATTTTTTTCATTCCAAAAAAACATTGGCATTTCAGAGGCAGAAGATAAGATAGGGGTGGGATCTAGACTACATTTGTATCGAAGTACTGAGAGATTTCTATCGATTTGTATCGAAGTACTGAAATTTTGCCTCACTTTAGACGGAAAACAATTCCCATGCCTGTTTGGTAATAACAGTGAGAAAGTGTGGAACGGAGTTACTGAAAAACAAGAGATACAAGGAACATCAGCCGTGTTCATTGGTACAACACAAGAAGATTTTGACCAAGTAGACCATGGTAGGCTTTGCTTTGTATTTATATAGACAATAGTTTAGTTCCGGGTCTATTTTTGCGTGCGCTTTCATAGTACTCGTTGTGAATGTGGATTCTTAAATCAATACCTTTTTAGTGTGAAGTTTTAGTTTGATTCTTATATTAACTGTTACGGAAGTGCTGTCCAATTTATAATTCAGTGTAGAGTTACATAAAGCAGTACTATCTTAATGCAGAAAGCTACATTTTCACAGCGGGTTAAAATGCATGCTGTACCTCCTTTATCGTGGCACACGCGCGCCCTCTGCTGGCATGTTTCAGAACACATTCAGTACGGTATTGTGAAAAGAACTGGACCAGGTTGCAGCGCAGTTCTGCTTTTCAGATCACATTAATCATTGTCTTCATCTTGAATACATCTCTGGATGATTAGGTATGTCAACTTTCTAAGACTGTGTATAATTAGGACAAAAGTACGAAAGTCCACCGATTAATGAAAACACATACTTAAGGAAATCAGTATCAAGAGACCTGTCCTTCCCAACACGGAAACTGACAAATAAGCACACATTCCATTTCTTTTCACATTTGTGGTGTTGGTTCATCAAAGCATCAAGCATAATAATAGCATTTTCAATGCAAAACAAAAAAAATACGCATTAAAAATAATTTGGGAGAAACAGACAATTCTTAAAGTAGGCGCAGAGACATTTAAAAATATTGACAGAACAACACACAGCTCGAGTACTAAAAAGCAGGTTTTAAGTGAACTAAATACTGTATACCTAATACGCTCGTGTTAAAATACTAGGAACTTGTGCCTTTTGGCAGCCTTGTGCACGGCCTTCAAACATGTTCCAGTTCCACGTTTCCCCAGTAGGGTGCGCTCTCTAACCATGTAAATAGCACAGCCGAAGGAGTGGCGGAAAGGACCAGAAAGAACATGCCACTGCGATTGAAGAACTAGAAGAGCAAAGTCAGTACACATCAGGAAGAAATCTGCAGTAAGAAGAAGGTCGTTTTGCGGTTAAACGGACATTTTGTGGTTGTTTTTATTTTCCTCAAGTCAGTGAATTCCACTAACCCATTTATTAGATGGATATATTTATCAAGTCACTTATTTCATTAGAGAAAACGAGGCATCCATTATTATTACTATTTTGACAGTTGTTTTTTTAAGATGCACTGTTTTTCCCTGTTCCTTTCAACTATGCCTTCCTTTCAGTACCTAAAGCACCACGGGCACTTATCGGTGAGGATTTCATCCCACCTGCTGTTTGCTTTTCTCCGCCCTGGTGTTTGAGGGCCTTGAGTGTCTAAGCCACTTGCCTTGCCAATGGAAGGCTAACAACTGTGTTCTCATTTTGGAGCACTTCCAGCAGGCTCCGCTCCTTTGTTGTGACGTTTTAATTACTGTCTGACTGCGCCCTCTCCGAGCTTTGTGATGCTGTCACTTTGCGCTGAATGCCGGCACCCAAAGCTGACAGCGAGGGCCAGCCATCTGGAATGACAAAAAGCACTGAGCTCCTTGAGGCGCATGGAGTAGCCCTGGAGGCTGCGCTTTAGGTGAAAGTGTTTCTTTTCTCCTGTGCTGAATCGCTGAGAGATTTCCCTGCTTCATTCACGTTTTGCAGTTCATTTCAAAAGCTGCTGATTTTACACTTGCCTTTCACCGCGGCGCTAACACAAGACGGGCCCACAATAGCCAGGAGAAAGCCTGTGGCTGCTATTTCTTCCCCAAGGTCTGGACGCCTTACAAATAGGGCCCACTGGGCCTATATAGAGGCATGGAAACAGGGGAGCATAATCTGAAGGTTGCAGAAGAGAAGCCACAGAAGGACACTGTGTCAGGGATTAGACATCCCCTCAAGCCTCAAAGAGACAGGCAGTTCAACCCATGTGTACACAAAATAAAGCATTGTGCAGGGAAATCTAATGTTCCACAGTCAGAATGCTAGCTTTCTAAATCTAAGATAAAACCTCATTTAGATTTTTCAAAATAAAAATAAATTAATTAAAGATTCAGAACAAAGGAATTGTCTGTACTGTACAATGTGACAGGTCTTCCCAGTCAGAAGGATGTTCCTATAACAGACATCAAATAGATCCAGAAAACACAGGAGGAGTGAGATATGTTGATGATTGATGTAGTCAATCATCAACATATTATATCTAACATTATCTAACATTATATCTAACATTAATTATATCTAACATTATCTTGTATTATTATTATATTATCTTATAATTATTAAATTTATGTAAGAACTCTTTTAGCTCTGGTTAACTCTAAAGTGAACTATCAAAACAGTCTCACAAGAAAATAAAGAATTAGCAGCCAGTAGTATGTCTTGACCTTCATTATTACAGGGATTATACTGTATTGTGAATCCGGACATGTTATCACACTTGACTATACTGTAAGTAAGGTAATATTTAAACTAATCATTACAGTATATAGGGGGCATATAAACATTTGAACTTGAATGTTTTTCAGTGGAGCCTGTGCTCTTTGCAGTCTATTTCTGCAAAGTTTTCCTGAAAGCAGCTGACACACTCTTTACTTGAAGTAGTGGTTTAAACTGGCATAATAGGATTAGCTGGGAAGATGAAGATCCTACTCCAGTTTACAGGCAGGGATAATAATGAAAGCCTTGGGATATTTAATACCCTACATTCTATTTGCTGAGCACAGACTTCACAGACTTCACAGCACAGTCATTTACAGCAGCTTTATAAAAGCAATGGATAAAGACATTCCTTCTAAAAATGAGGTAAGTAATGTTATACAGTACAGTAATTCAACATTCACTTAGTTTATGTGAAATTGTTAAATGCCTGTACTTAATATTATGGAATATCTCTATTGGATTTGTTTTATCATAAGGATATTTATATCTACATTAGCAGTTTTAAACTAGAATATATTTCAGAATGTGTCAAAGAATTATCAGATACAGTATATAGCCTCGGACTGAGCTGTGACCATGTTGTGTTTATTTTTAGATAGCTGAAAATGAGAGTTGTCTCGATAATTTCATCCAGGTGAGTCACAATAACACATTTCTAAAGGTGACTTTGTCATTTTGTATGAGGAAACCCCTTCTAGTGTTTCTTAGAAAACATACAGTTTTACTGAATCGTGTGACATTTTACAATATGGATTCAACAAAAAAAGCACTAAGGAACAGTCATACATAGAGCAGAAACCTGCAGTCAGATTACAAAAAAGTACTGACCAGTAATAAACAGAAATTGATTCAGTTGGTATCAAGATTTCAAAGTACAAGGTATTTTTTCTTTTTTCTTAACTGGGCATTTACAGTAGTACTGGTGAAGATTTCCTGTCCTACAACTGTATATGAAGTAATACATTTCCAAGGGTTGTAACTTAAAGTTCAGCAGTTTTATATTTTGTATTAGTTACATATGAACATAGAATTGAATAACATTAGGATATTTATGTGAATGCAAAATTCTATACTAAGTATGTTCTCTGACATTTGAATTTAAAAGCACTGGGTATGGCATCTTCAAATTCCAGTGTTTTTATAGAACACTAAATAGTTGTGTTTTCTTTTCAGGCCGTCATTTCCAACCCAGTCCTCTCTAGCATCTTGGTTTCCTCTCTCATCCTGTTCGCTGTCTGGTACATAAGGGATTCCCTGAAGATCGATCACGTAGACCAGAAAAGCGTCTTGGTGACGGGCTGTGATTCTGGCTTTGGGAATCTGCTGGCCAGACAGCTCGACCACCGAGGCTTCGGTGTCATAGCCACATGCCTGACAGAGAAGGGGGCTGAAGACCTCCGAGCCGCAGCCTCCCCCAGACTGAAGACGCTCCTGCTCAATGTTACTGACAGCGCGAGCATTGAGAGAGCTCTGGAGTATGTGCGGGCTGAGGTTGTAGAGCGAGGTAGGTGGAGATAGTGTGCAAGTCAGAGTCAAGCACTGGGAAAGATAAAGAGGAGATTCCTGCAGTCCAGACAGTTATAAATATGCCCACTCCTAAGCTACCTGCCACCCTTGCAGCAACAGGTTAATTGAAGCAGGGGCATACCTGTAAGTTAATTTATCTGCAGTGTCCTTACTCTAAAGCATACGACAAATGAACAAATCATAAGACCAACTATTGCTAAGGACAGCAATCAAATCTCATTATATGGAATTCTACTATAAGTACACTTTTAAACTTTAGTTTTCTTAACTTGAGTTGTCATGCCTTAGTCTAATTTTGCTCAATATTCTTGTTCTCCTGTTAACAGCCACTTAAGATAAGGTGTAACATTATTGTCAGTCCAACAGGGTAGAAATAGGTTTTTGGCATGACCATACAAAACTACAAAAAAGAAATAACACTCAACATGAAATAAAAACACATTACAAACAGACGTTCATCAGTACATTTGCACACATCTTGCTCTGCCCAAATTACAGGAGCATTACACATTTTCCAATAGCTCCATACAGGAAACACTCACTTAGCTGTGTTTCATATACCAACTGCACAGGGAATAAAGGATTTCTTGTATATATTTTTCTTGGCCACAGGCGTTCTAAAACACCTCCCTGAAGGTAGCAGTTGGAAATGGGAATGAAGAGACCAGGAGGGGTCATCAATGATAAACTGAGCTTTCCTTTGAACTGCAATACAATACAGCTCTTTAAACTGTTTCCGTGGTCAACTAGTTATGTTACAAACAACACTTACTATAGGTGTGTAAACTACCCTAGTAAGCAAAGTGGATTTACTTTTTTATAGTATCCTTAACAGGAGTACTCCTCAATATACAGTACTGTACAAGGTCCGTTTACAGCCTTCACTCCCTTTATCACAACAGTCACAAACCAATGAAGACTGAAAAGACTGGAGAAAAAATTAAATCAACTGACCAGGAATAAGCGAGAACATAAAATATATTTAAGAAATGTTCTGTGCAGTAGTTGTGATTATATGTTTGATTTTACGTACAGTACAACTGTTTTGTGGCTGTGCCTATTCTATTATCTATTTTTTATAGCGGTCTAAAAGGAATAGGTTTCTTTGGTACGTTCGGTGATTCTTCTACTTAGCAATGCCAGCCTAGTTTAGAAAAGGTTATTACAACAATGTGAAAACCTGAATCATAAAAATAAACTGTGCTCTGTGTACAAATCCGATTGGCTATACACAAGTGCCAGAATGACCCTGCCCTGAAGCATATTCATCAGGTACTATGCACCAGACACGGCACGTCTGTCCACCAGTCCTAGTCATTTACAAGATTAATTCGTTTAAGCACGACGGTAATGGGCATTGCATCATTTCCCATTCAGGGATTTAATCTGGATTACATCAGGTTTCATTTACTGTAAAGTGCCTTTTGACATTAATTATAAGTTTCACTGGTGTTTGAAAGTTTTCCATTCAAGTTCCTTGAGATATTTATTAGTATTGGATTACTTATTGTCGAGAAACTGTTAAAGGTCTTTTCCTTGCTGGGTTTCTTTCATCCCGTTAAAGATATTTCATTTACTTCAAAGAAATGTTAACTGCTCACACAATGTTTCATTTCCTTTACAGTTTGTTTTATATAATAATACAATCAATAAAACAATAATACTGTCTGTTTTTAGCTTGTACTCTGGCTAGGGTTTGGACACTTATTAGTACAGAGAGTTTTTATGTAACGTTTCTCTTTGTTGTCTTTTGCGTCAGGCCTCTGGGGGTTGGTAAACAATGCAGGCGTAGCCTCACCGATTGGTCCGACCGACTGGATGCAGGTGGAAGATTTTAAAAATGTCCTTGACATCAATCTGATGGGTCTGATCGAAGTGACGCTGAAGTTCCTGCCGCTTGTGAAGAAAGCCCGAGGCAGGGTGGTGAATGTTGGCAGCGTCATGGGCAGACTGGCTATGACTGGCGGCGGGTACTGTTTGTCGAAGTGGGGTGTGGAGTCCTTTTCAGACAGCCTGAGGTACAGCAGACGGCTTTTTAAAAAAGAGTCTTAAGACACATACTTCTATTATACTTCTATTTGTTTCCACGATAACGCCGGAAAGCCAAACTGTAAATGTGATCAACTGGTCACATGAAGGAACAATTAATATTGAAGCTATAAAAGAAGTAACTGAAGCAACGATTCAGTAAATGATAGTTACACGTTGCAGCATCGTGCAATAAGTGCCCTACTGTGAAAAGTAAATTGTCACTGGGTCGAAGAATCGAATGTTTTGTTGTGAATCCTTGGAATACGTCTTGATGAGATAGGTTTGGCTTAACCCGCTTGGTTAATGGGTCGCCTCCAGACCATAGGATGAGGAGACTCAAACCCCAATCAGACTGAGTGAAACCAGGGGCAGCTGCAAGGTGAAGATGGGAAAGAGGAGGGATGCTTGAGATGGATGCAAAGAGAAATGTTTTAGTTCAGTATATGTACAGTAGCTAGTTTAGAAAAATGATGGTTATATAAACAGCTTTGTGAGTTTGACTTGTCGTTGTTATTCCTCCTGAACTTCATTTAATAATTTCCATTTAAAGCAGATTTTCCATCTGTTCATATTTTACCTGTAGAATTAATAGTTTTAAGCCTTTAAGAAATGTGTGCTTTTTTTCCACTTCAATAGGAGAGACATGTATCATTTTGATATCAACGTCAGTATCATAGAGCCTGGTTTTTTCAAGACGGGTGTGACAAGTCTAGAAGTGATTGAGAGAGATCTTCTGCGGCTCTGGAATTGTCTCCCCTCTGAGGTCAAGGACTCTTACGGGGACAAATATTATGAAGAGTGTAAGTAAAAAGGATGTAACCATAACTTCAAGATTAAAGCAAATAACATATTTCTTTTCTACAGTCTGCTAGTAACCAAACTGCATTTCTCAGAAGGTCTTTTGTGTCTTCATTCTCTGTTTTGCCCAAACTGTCTCTTTTCAGAATCAGTTCTATACAATTTTTTCTAAGCATTATTTGTTACAAGACCAGCCACTGTCAGTGTAGATGTTTTGTAGGTAAGAGATTTTAGTGTTTCTGGCAGTTACTGGGCTCATTTCAGCACAGTGAGTTCTATTAGCATAAGAGCTTTTGGGAGTGGAGAAAAATCCCACAACTGTGTTTATGCTAGTGCCTTATCTAAATGTCTTCTATCTTTTAACGTTTAAGAGGCATTCATGACGTTCTCTCAAGGCAAATCACTCAGGCCTCTTCATTTTATAAAAAATGCACTTTGAGTAACACTAATATTTTTTTCTTGATCTTCTGTCCTAGATGTGAAAGCCCAAAGTATTTCAATGAAATTGCTTCGCAGTTCTGACATCTCCAAAGTCACTAATTGCATGGAGCATGCCCTGACAGCTCGATACCCCAGAACACGATACGGAGTAGGCTGGGACGCCAAACTTCTCTGGCTTCCTCTTTCTTACGGGCCATCCTTTGTTTCAGATTCCCTAATAAGTGCCCTTCTGCCGAGTCCAAAAGGCAAAATTGTGCAGACAAATCAGGTGGATGTTTCCAAAACCTGACCAAAACAGAGATCTAGGTTTCAAATCCACATATCTTTATCTTTATACTGGGTGAAAAATATGTGTGTTTACTTTGTTGGGTTAAATATACAACCTTCTTGATCTCATTGGAACGTTCTAGTAAATAAACCAAAAGCTCAGTATACCAAATTCACAAAGTGCCATATTTTACCAAGGTGTCACCCAGGCATTTTCCCAAGCCAGTGCAGAACAAAAACACAAGTGCAAGCTGTGACTTCACACAATCCATGCCAAAGGGTTTTTGAAAAGAGCACAACACAGGAAAGACACTGTGTTTGGACTGTGGGAGGAAACCAACACAAACACAGGGAGAACATACAAACTCCACACAGACAGCACCCTAGAACCGGAATTGAACCCAGGGCCCCAGCACAACAAGGCAGTAATGCTAACCACTGTGCCACTCTTTAAAAGAATTGTCAAAATGAAGAACTTCAGAGTGAATTAAAATGATAAGAGTGTAGGATTCAGTGTAAGAATACAATAACTTCTGAACATATAATTGTTTGCAACATTTGACACATTTGGTTAAAAAATGTGGATTAAAGAACAGATGTAAGAACCGGTAATACACATGATTATATACAAAAGACAGAGAAGCTTGTATTTTGCTATGTTCTTTTTGTGTCTCCTGTTTTTCCTTTTGTTTCACTTCTTTTTGTGAGTGATGATTTAGGAGGAAAGGAGATTATATTTTTCCTTTTAATAAATTATGCTCAGATGAAACACTGTACACACAATTTATATGTCCTGTAATATACACAGTTTTTTCTTGGTTTAAAAAATCAATAAAAATATTTGATAAAAATTTGGATTACTTTCTGTAATGTGGATTTACGTTTATGTAAAATGTGGATTATTTTCATCAGGAATATTAATATTGTTTGTCTAACCTTCAAATCTCATTACAATACTATAAATGCCTTCAGCTGTATGAAGCTGCTCATCGGGTTAAAATCATACTAATTGTTCCCCAAAATGATTTGCCTCATGAATATTTATCCATTGTTACTTTTTACAACCCTATGAAAATGCATGCAACTTTACAAAAATATATTTGTTCATTTTAATGTTGTTTAGCATGAAGTTTGTTTACATACTGCTAAATCATTTAAATGTATTCAGTATGGTCCATTGTATCCATTGCACAAGTATGAAGAAAATACTAGGTAATTTAATATGTCGTACTTTTAATCATACTCATTAAAAATAATTTAGACAATTTGCATAATGATTATTCAATAAAACCACCAGTCTATAATATTAATTAATTAACACCTTTTCTAATGATTCTGTTCTGTTGCCTTTGTAGTAAATGCACATTTACAAAACAATCACAAAATCAGGTATTGATAAAATAACACATTTATTAGATTTGTTTCAGCAGCAGCAATTTTTTCCAGTTCCTGTTCTTTTCATCTACAAGTATATTTAGGCATATTAAATGTGTCTCACAACTTCATCCAAAAAGTATTCTACATACTGTATGGGTGCAAGGTGTTTTATTGTATTCTTCTTGTAATTAGAATACAAAATGGTGATCCTTGAAAACAACTGAAATGTTTGGAGCAGGAAAACTGTTTGACAAGGCAAAAACTGCAGAAATATGGAAAATTGCAAAGGAGTGGGCCTGTTTATGTATTGCTCACAAGAAAACATACTGTCTGTGCATGAATGCTAACAGCATTTTTTTTATTTTCAGTGGTGATGACTTGAGATATGATGGCAAATCTCAATAAAAAGGAACAATTTATAGCGTTTCATAATTCATTTTAAAGAATGTTCTCAGTGCTGATGTCTGATGTCACTCACAAACTCATAAACAACAGGCCCCCAGTTTGCACTAGTCCCGGATTAGTGCTAAGAGATATCTATGAAACTATTGCTTTATGTCCTTTCCTACCCTTGAAGGCCTTTCCCATCCAATCATTTATTCATTTAATTTCTTTATATGTAAAGTGATTTGTAACATAGGTCAAAATGTTGAATAACTTACCTAATGCACCATCTACAACAGACTGTGTGATCTACAGTCCTGAGTTTCTGTGAACTGCACTGCAATGTTAAATTTCCATGATATTGCAGAAAACTTTTGTTCATTAAGCATTTCAATGGAAATATTAGGCTAAAGTACTAATCTGAGGTGGATTTAAAAACATTTCCTGTTTGTCCTTTGAAAGTGAAAGAAATAATATTCTGACTTACAATTCTCAAGAACAGACAACAAGATCCCAGTTTTATGTCTTTGTTTTGTTTCTCAGCCTAGGTATGAGGTATATAAACATTAAAGATGAAATGCATTAATCTTCATCTTTGTTAAAGACTGTTTCATTATTTAGATTAATCCAAGCTACTGTTATTTTTTTACAGTTATAGCTGTTTGTACTTTACTCATAAACTGTGTTTTCTTGCTCATGTACCACTATGGAGCAGATCTTCTATTGCCAGGATCGTATTTTCCAGAGAAAGTTGACATAATCTTTCACAAATTTACAAATATACAACATATTTATAACATTAAGCAGGTTCAGTGCAAAGATATACATATAGTACATCACCATAAAAAATCATAAAAAATATGAGAATTGGCATTAGAAATATAACAAGGCAATGTTAAGACAGACCCCCACTCTGTAAGCTATTATAATTTCATATAAAGTTTTTTTTTTGGAAAATAATCTAGTTTTGTACAGGCTGCATATAAAAATATATTATGTGCAAAGGCAAGTCTGTCTCTGATGTCTCTGCTGAACAGTTATACGTCACTGTCTTCTTTGACGAGAGTGGCCGTGTCTCTGAAAGTGTCTTCTGTGGGCGTGAAGGCAGATGGCCGGTCTTTCTTTTGAGATTTCTGTGGTGGTGCAAATGGAGAAGGTTCAGAAGCAGCAGCTCCATCCTCAGGACTGCCCTCCGGCTGATCTTTTTGCATCTGTGGAACCAAGGAAGATGGAAAGACTAAGAAGCTCTGCATGGTAGCATGCTTTTTGAAAACGTTTAGTTAAAATAAAATAATGGTGAAAAGAATTGTTCCAGACTATTCAGATTGGACAGTTCATTATTTCTTTATTTTTAAATTCTAAAACAATTCTATAGGCATTACGAGAGGGTTGTGAACTCAGCTAGCTCAGTAGGTGCGATAATTCATGTTTCATTGCATTTTGAGCATCAAAAGTCTCACAGCTATTAGGAAAATAAAATCTTTTCTTTTTTGTAGCTTGTGCACTGACATTGTGAACAGACATGAGAAGAGAATTGCATTTTATTATCAACACAGATGATCAACAGAGGATCTACTGTGAAAAGTCACAGGTCTCAGTAGTGTGTGACCACGTCTGGTAATAGGGCATGAGTATGAGAAAGCGTGAGAAATCACATTGTCCTGCTGGAAAATTACCCAAATACAGCTTTCAACACACTGATGACACAAAAGCATTGTTCTCCAGGAAAGACGAAGGACAAAGACAAACTAGAAATGGCAGGTAACCGATTCGCAGGTTCTTTCTTGTGTTGTTTTTTCTGGATGTTTACCGGGCTTCAACACTGCATCGCCTGTGCCCAGTGAACCTTCTCACTAACGAGTTGAAGTAGTGCTTTTGCTTTTATGCATACGTACTAAGTTATCTATTAATGCAGCCAAAGTTTCCCCATGTGTATCATGGCCATTCACGAAGGATTAATCAAAATTATAATCAAGAATACATAGTCAATATTCAAAATATGTATGCATTATTTTCTGAAAATGTACATGCATAAACAGTGATAAGTTTCTTTTGATGTTCAGTATATTGATGTTCTCAGCATTCTACTTGTTTTCTGAACTATTATCCTAACAATTGACAGTCTAAATGAACCCAATGAATACTTTGTAGCTTTATATTTCTTTAACTACTTACCTCTGTGTATACAGGATTTTCAAAATTTGTACTTGGTTTCAGCTTTCTCTTGAAGAAAGTCCATTTAGACTCCTATTAAAAAAATAAAAATTTAAAATGAATTAAGTTGAATATTAATGTACCCTTTAACTTTATTCTGCTTAATTCCTTCAGTAAAGAATAGATTTCCACATACAGTACGTCTGTTTATTAGTAAAATACTGTACATTTTCACCAGAAACAACTCCCAATAGTACAGGTTGCAAGCCCATTTAGAATGCTTTCAGAGAATTATGAAGCCATGGTGGACATTGCTTGTATTGTTGTCTTATGTTTTTTTTATTTGTGTGAAAGGTCATCTAATGGACAAAAAAAGTGACCAAAAGCAGCATGGAATTCAAGGCTATAGTTTCCCTCTCCCCTGGACATTCCCTTGTACTGGTGACAAACTGACCACACATTCATCGGTTCATCGGCAGGGAGGGTTGGCGACTCGGCCAGTCTTCCTTTGCTGCCCTTTCACAGATACTTGCCTGTGGTGTCTCTTTGCTGGCCGAAGGACCTTCCACTTCAGCCGCAGGCTGCTCCACATGATAGGTGGGGTTATCAAAACTTTTTTCAGTCCGCTCAGAGTTCACATTCACCGTAACCTAGAGAAGTCAAAAGACCCGCCACGTCACCCTGTAATTCACAATTGGCAGCCCCACTGAAGCTCAGCAGATGTGAGCCTGGCCAGTACCTGGATGGGAGACCTTCTGAGAAAAACTAAGGTTGCTGCTGGATGATGAGTCAGGGGGGGCAGCAGGGGGCGCTCACCCTGTGGTCTGTATGGGTACTAATGCCCCAGTATAGTGACGGAGACACTATACTGTAAAAAGGTGCCATCCTTCAAATAAGACATAAAGCCAAGATCCTGACTGTGGTCATTAATAATCCCAGGGTGTTTCTCGAAAAGAATAGGGGTGTTACCCTGGTGTCCTGGCCAAATGTCCCATTGGTCTTTACCAACCATGCCCTCCTAATAATCCCCATCTATGAATTGGCTTCATCACTCTGTTCTCCTCCCCACTGAGAGCTGGTGTGCGGTGACCGTTCTGGCGCACTATGGCTGCTGTTGCTTCATCCAGGTGGGGCTGCACATTGGTGGTGGTGGAGGGGAGTCCCCATTACCTGTAAAGCGCTTTGAGTGGAGTGTCCAGAAAAGCGCTATGTAAGTGTAATCGATTATTATTATTCAAAGAGAGACATGTAAAAACGAATGAAAAATATCCCAGGCAGAACAATTCAGGAACAGGTGAGTGGACTGCTGAGAAAAGAGAAGCGTTGGGTACCTGGGAGGCATGGATGACCGCAGGATCATTGGGTGCGCCTGCAGTAGTCGCATACAAAGGATTCTCAAACGTGACGGGCTGCTTTCCTGCTTCCACTGCGAAGCTTTCGCTCTGCCAAAGACATTGGTACTCAGACATTAGCTATAGTTAATGTACAATGAAATACAGTTAACGAGGCATCTGTAATGACAATACATGCCCACAAAGCATGTTTTCCCCATATAAATCATATGATGTTAAACCCTGTGGCATTATCCTCAGCTACACTCTGAGTGCTAAATCACTCAGGTTTCTAGACAGCCTTGCGCACTCAGTGATCTGTTAATTCCCTCACATTCACACTGAATCCTTCCTAATCCTGTGGACGTCAACTGCAGTAGCACTACTGGTTAAGGCAAACTACATGCCAACGGAGAAATGTGTTTGGCTGCTCTACCATCCATTATTTGTGTGTCATCTATTTTCAATGTATTTCAGTATTTTTATGTCTTCCAATAATAGGAACAATAATTACTTTTCTTTGGGTTTTAGGACTACACTATCCTAAAGGATGCAGTATGTATTGTATAGTTTACTGCTTGTATACACTATTTATGGCCGCATTTCAAAACTATAAGAACAAATACATCTTTTCAAAAACGAAGCAATGTTGAACAAGTCTACAAACTTCTCTGTACTAATGGTGTTTTATTCTGCATAGTAGAGAGAAACCCACAGGATTGGATTCTTAACTACTGAACCAGTGCAAACCTAGTGAATTGTGCGGTCCATTTACCATCCCTGTTAATTATGTACTTCTAAGTCTATTAGCAGGGGTACAAAAGTCAAATGCGTGGTTTATAGGTCAACCTTTACAGCTCTTTAAAGCTGCTGATTTCGCTGTTATGTGCCAAGGCGACAGCAGATAAGGACCAAACATCCTCAAAACATCACATTTAATGACTACCATTTGCATAGCTCTGTCGATCACAGAAACTCCTAGCGCCACCGGCGGCCCCAGATCCATTGTGACATCGTCTCCTGAATGGAATGTCACCCCATTGCCATTCTCACCAGACTTCACCAGGCTGCTCAAGCTGTAAAGAACCAAAAACCTTTTTAGAATGAAACACATATCAGTACTGTCATGACATGCAGGTATCTGATTGGCTACTGACATTTATATAGGGACAGCAGACAAGCAGAAAATAAATTATGGATGAAGCCACTCACGGATGTTGGACAACCTCTGGATACATACAGTATATTGTACATGTATTTACTGTAAGTCAACATACAGTTTAAACCAGTACAGAAGTCAGGTTAAAGGATCTTGACTATATAAGAAGAGGTGGGTAGGCTGGGGGGTAAAATGACAAAATCTTATAATGTGTTATCTGTTAATTTCCTTCTAGTGGAAAAAGGCAATTTAAGCACTATCTTGCAATCAGATTACTACAAGTCACTATTTTAAAAATAAATTGTGTTGATTTGATTTAGATTCAATACGATATAGGCTCCATCACTGACTAGTTTAAAACATACAAAGAAAGTGGTGTAATTCAAGTTATTAAACAAAACTAATAAACATCAATAATAACCCGAATTAGTAGAAATTTGCAGCTGTCACTGCAATCATGAATTTGTTCTCAGTAATCTTGGGCACGTTGAGGACAAAGTGGTTGAAGGTTTTTTTTTCTAACATTTGCATACAGTTAACAGTGTTGTGCAAAAGTAAACATTTGAAAACATGCACAACACAAAATCGGTTGATAAAAAATAGGGAAAGAAGATTACCTAGGGAGTTTGGGCAGGGGTGGGAGAAGCAAGCCAGTCCGTTTGTAATTGAAGAACAGCCCAGCTGCCAAAGCCCCAATAAGCAGGATTATGATCACGGCCAGCAACACAATGACTGTGGGAGAACAAGAAGATGCACTGTTACAGAAGAAAAACATCTCTCTTGTTTCATAGTTAGAAAACCTCAAGTCGCTAACATGGTCCTATTAAATAGACAAACACAATGGGAGTGTTTTTATATGTAAGAATATTAATCCTCCATCTGCCTTCTTCAATGGAATTAATTCTTCACTTAGGTTCTCCAGTTGACCTGAGTCCAATTATGTTTTTTATTTTTTTTTCAGAAATTATATTGTATACTACTTTCACAAGAATTCCCAGCACTTTTAGTTTGAAAAAAAAAACATTGCTAAACTAATTATAGCAAGCCAGAATGACACAACCCATGACATCTCTGAATTGTTTTAAATTAAAGCTGAAGTACATCTGAATTTGTAGACTTTGATCCACGTGTCTGCGTCATTTTCTATTGGTCAATCTATTGAAAGGTGAAGTATTAAAGTACTGCAATAGTAATAAGCTTTGCAGATCTCAAAGTGGTTGACCTCCAATTTAAAAATGTAATGAGTGGTAACGCTCAAGAGGAAGACTTTTCAAACCTGATGTTAAAAGTAACAGCCTACCCTTTTTTAGGGTCTACTGTATGTAACTCCTCTGAATTCAAGAGCAGTCAACAGAAGTCAGACCTCAAAAGGATTTCTACAGTTAACCCTAATCAAAGAACTGACCTCAGAACTGGATAATGAGGTCAAGAGATAACGGGAATGTGCAGTACAAATTGTTCATGCATTATGCTGCTTGATTATTTGAATATTCGCTTATCACATGAGGAAAAGCTGGTCTTGCCAAGGAAATGATCTTCTGCTAAATACGTTTCACACCCATTCTTCCTCCCACAACCACCTATCAGTCTAGATATACATATCAGCCCCGTCTCCAGATTGTAGCAGGAGACTCCCAGTGTCACATTCCCGATGATAAAGATTTCAACAGCCTTCCCCGCCCAACCCCCTCAAAGGAAAACATCAGCAGCCCCCTATCTGGGGTTCACATTTTCAGTTGTGGATAAGGGATTTAATTTATAATTTGTTTTTCTTCTTGTGGCCATTTCAGTAAATGCTTTAAAACATGAATGATTCTCATTTCATAACGGGTCTTAAAGCATTAATGGAAGTGACACAGTTGTGCAAAACCACAGCTTTAAATAAAATCAGTCCCGAGATCACCTGCCAGTAGCAAAAAAAAAAGGACATTGTAGAAAGCATAGAAAATGCAAAATAAATGTTCCTTATCATTTTTGTCTATTTTGAATATCCAGCACTACACGATAATATTTTCTAAATAACCTTAAAGCTGTCAACAGACAGGAAGAACGAATTAATCCAAGCAAAAGTGAAGTTTGACATTCTACCTGTTCCTGGAGGGGCTCCTTTCCATGTCCCCTGTTCACAGTAACTTCCACTATAGTAAGAAGCACACCTATAAAGACAAATAAAAACATTTGCTTCAGTGTGCACATGATTTCTTGCATGCTTTTTACCGTCGCCACTTGGAATTATTTGTCTTCAAAATTGAAATAAAAAACGAAAGGTGAATAGTTGCAGAAAACATTTCTTTACACCAGTGTTACATTTGCATCCCCCACCAGACCACACTTTGTCTTGGGCATTGAAAACAACTACAATGCTCACATTCAGATAGTGCTTACTTTCAGCTCTTTTAACTGTCAATCCCCTGAGCTGATTTAGAGCAGACGTCCCCAATCCTGGTCATGGAGGGTCAGAGTGTCTATACTGTAGGTTTTCAGTCCAGCTGGGTAATTAATTATCTGAATCAGCAAATTATTGTCTTAACTGGAACAGTTAACAGATTCTCCCAACTCTCCAGGTGCTGCTGCTTTAAAGAGACCTGATACACCTGCAGAGTTGCACAACTAGCACCAGGAACAGGGACCCCTGATTTAGAGGAATAAAACTCGCAACGTCTTGTAATCGATGCCTTGTAAACCAATAGATAAAATAGAAAGAACATATGAATATCAGTTCCAGAATAGTCTCCCAAGGAGAAAAGGAAAATTGAGGGTTAAAACGGCAATTAAGGATGAAGAAAGACATTTTAAGCAACAGAAATAATTAATTGAAATCACAGTCTACTGTCATGTATAATTTGTTCTTTTTATCTGCATTCAGCCTGCAAAGCAAGATACCTTGCTCCAGTTAAGGCAATAATAGATAAGAGCTTAATTAAAATTTGATTAAAAAAACACACAAACGTAGCTTCTAACAACCCTTTCAAGATTACATTGCCTACAATGTCTGAATTTTTGAGTAGGTCAGCCAGATGTCTCAATCTATCATAATGCAACTGTTCATAATGTTACAAAACTAACAGGGCAGGAGCAGCATTAGAGATTATCTGCTGTACACAGATTCAAAAGACATGTTAGGTCACACAGAATGCCTTTGTTGGTTAATTAAACACTCCGAAAGATTGAAAAGGTTTGGGCAATTAAGTATTGTTGCTCGAGAGAAACAAATTAGACTTCATAAAACAACACTACAAATAACAACTCCAAGAGCACTTTTCAAGAAACCTTTTTCATAAGATGCACAGCAGACGTAGAAAAACAATAAACATCTAAAGCTCATCAAAATGACTTCATAAAACCAAGAGCAAAACAAAATTATACTCTAAAAGCTTTTTGGAAAAGACAGGTCTGACAGAGTCTCTAATGGGCTTCTCAGATATGGGTTTGCAGTAAAGAATGCTCCATTGCCCTCTACATGTATGTCTTTGGGACAATTACAGGGCAGAAATCAGCAGATCTCAGCTTGAAAGTCAGAATATACTTATTCAATAAATCCTTAACATCACTTGGAGTTAGACATTTCAATCCCTTTCAGATGGCCAGTATAATTGTTAACTCCTGTCCAGGGAGCTATTACAATTTATAGAGAAGTTATGTGCGGATGCAGAGTGCTTATAATGGCCACACAAGCTGCAGAATTTTGGGCATACTAAAGACCATAGGAGATACCCCATTAAGTAATTTCCCCAGCATAACCTAGATATCCCAGTAGTGTTACACTAGTCTAATCTTGATGAAGCTGTGGCTAAACTTACTTGCATTTTGGAAGACCATTCTCATCAGTATAGCAAGTTCCACCGTTCACACATCTGCATGGAAAGGGCATTGTCAGTGGAGCTTCAATCGCTGTGGAAATGAAAGCCATGCAAAACATGAATTCATTAGATGCCAAGCATAAATCAAACAGATTGCAAAAAAAATGGAAAATGAGAGTATTAGTAATGGAAAGGTGTTGACCTGCATCACATTCATAGGGATTTCCACTGGCAAACTGTGAGCCCTGCGGACAGGCACAGGTGTAACCACCAGGTCGGAGCAAACACAGGTGACTGCAGACCCCTTTACAGGGATTAGGCACTGAGAGAGGACAGAGATAAATCACCACAACAGACATGTCATTCTGGAAAATATATATACAGTATATAACCTTATTGTCCATTCAAAAGGTGACAATTGGTCTTTGGTATCACCAAACAAAACTACAAAAAACAAATAACCCTCAACATAAAATACAGGTTAAACAAGTCCTAGCCATTCAAATCACATAAAAACATCTAACTGTGTACATATTACACTAATCCAATAACATGTAGGAAACAGTCACTTAGCTGTTTTTTGTGTAATATAATAATATACCAATTGCAAGGGATCAAAGGATTTCTTGCTAAAATGTTACAGATGATGTACTGCAAGAAGCAATTAATCCAAGCACTTTGTTACATGAATGGAGAAGAGGGGCTGAATGGCCCATTTTTATTTGCTATTTTCTTACAAAAAACAATGACACCATGGTGGGCCTGTCAATTCACATGACGTCAAAGTAGGTTTTAAATTGAAAGAGTCTATTTTTTAATGTGTGCCATTGATGTATTTGATAAGGAACAATAAACAGAGTCAAAAAGGACTACACTGTAAATGTGTACTGTAGGGGGTGTCATTTTCTCACCTGAATGGTTGTATCGATGCTCTTGGTAGATGCGAACTTGAGTCAGCCAAGGATTTATTGTTATCACCTTCACTTTTTCTCCCTTTCCAAATTTATTTGTCTTCCAGACTTCACCTTTTTCCTTTGTTGTCCAATATATGTGTCCCTCAAAGACATCCAGACTGTATGGATTGCCAATGTCTATGTTAAAACAAAAGTGCAACATACTGTTGTGTTACATAATTTGGATTAGATATATGTTCAGCATTGGGAAGGCTGTCAGTGCTTAAGGCAAACAACTCAAAATATCACATTTGCCCTTGCACGCTTCAAGTCTGTGTTTGCACCTCAAACACATCACATTTGCAAACATGAGGACTTGAATGTCGGTGGCTATGTAAGCTTAAAGTTTCCTCTGTCGTGTCACGAGAGAAACAGAAATCTCGAGAGGAGGGAGAGGGAGTGATTATCAAGTTGTTCTGTTGAGAATTTCTTAAACTATTCCTGTGTACCTGCCATCCACTTAAGTGAAGGCCTCTCTCACAAAATGTCAAATGTTTTGAAACAGGAGGCAAGCATAATAAACATTTAAAATGTAAATGACTCATATCAAGGTTATTTAAAAAAAAAGATATCTAAAATGAACCCGGTCCCTTTTTATCTTACCCCCTGATACAATTATCTTCCTGTCAGTTCCATCTGCCTTCATGGATTCAATAATGTTCTCTTTGGAGTCGCTCCAGTAGATCCGGTCTCCATTGAGATAGTCCACAGAGAGGCCAGTGGGCCATCCAAGGTCTTCACCCACCAGGACGTTTCTGTGCTGGCCATCCATCCAGGCACTCTCAATCCTGGGCTCCCTGCCCCAGTCAGTCCAGTACATCACTCTGAGACAAACACAAGAACGGCCTTTTTACCAGCTGGTGGCACACACAGTTAGTTTGCTGTAAGTGGTGAATCCGACCGCAAATGTGTTTGATGATGTTTTCACAAGCCGGCCTTCCACCTCCAGAGTTAAATCATGAAAGCAGAAGACTAAATAATCTGATGGAATACAATCAGGAGTTGGATTTAAAAACACACCCTGCTGTCCCATTACAACGTTACCCACTGTAGTGTGAAATCAATTAAACCATGGCAGGGACATGGCTTCTACATAATGCAAATTGACTTAAAAGTTCCGGATATTGAGTATGATAAATTGAAGATGGCAAAAAAAAAAAACAATCATCTCCACTAAAATAAAACACTGCATATACGTAGCAGACAGAGTCAGTAAATCTGAAATTCAAGCAGCAGTTTCAAAATATACAAGCTGTTAAATATGTAGAAACCAAAAGGCTGAGCTAAAGAAAGTGAATTAGGCTGGTTTGTTTGCTTTTGTTCTGCAGGGACGTCAGTTTGGAACACCAGTCTGTTGCACAATAATGTGAGCATGTGCAGGGAAATTTAACAAGCCCTAGGGGAAATCAACCAGGATTTAAAGAATAAGAGAGAGCAGCAATGCCTTCATAAGGAACATGCCATTAAGCCAGTTTTTATGTGGGAATATAAATTCTGCAGATCAAGAAACAGCAGAATTGCTTGCAAAAGATTATTTTTATAGCAGAGCTGAGTTTTCCTGTAAATGAAAAACCTCATAATTAAGACTACTTGTTTGAGTTAGTCCAGAACAGACTAACTGGTACTTTAAATTATTCAGTTATCTTGAATTATTCTATGAATTATAGGCTTGCTGTTTTTGAGATTTATATTTTTGTGATAAAACAACAGCATTTTTGTCTAAATTTATATTTGTAGGTTAATTTTGGGTTAAAATAGCTTGTTTATCTTCAATATCCAAAAAGTAAAAGAAAACCTGGAATTCTACTTTTCCCTGTGTTTTTTACCTTGTTATTCTATATATACATTTAAATTGAAAAATTCAATGCTTGAATAAACAACCTGTTCCTGTAGATCCTGTGTTATTTATTTACAGTTCACAACATAGCATTCCATAGTATATACAGGTGGGTTGGCAGTTTCTATTATGTACTAGATGCCATTTAAAACCCAACAAATGTTATTGTAGAGTAGAATATTATAAAAAATAATAATATAATAATAAATTGTAGTCTTTTTATTGCGCAAATAGTGTGATCTCCAGCACAGGGTAGCCAAAACATGGCTCTGGAGAGTGGGCGATGCATTGCATGTTTCTCCTCGTCTATATGTTTTTGGCTGTTTTGTGTTGTGGGCTTTATGTGTTCAGTCTGCTTTTTCTGCGATTATGTATGATTGAGAAGTACTAGTGGACACTGGATTTGTATAATCATTTGATTGCACTTCTGCATATGACAAACAAACTGAACTCTGAACTCCGAACTCCAGAAGCGGTTTGGATGTATATAATTTCCCTGGCAGAACTCTATTCCCTCTATCAGTCAGTTGTGCAGAGTGCTCACCCAAGTTTTGGGTTGACTACAATGGCAGCAGGCTGGTCCAGGTCGGTGTGAACAAGCCACTTCCTGTAACGTCCATCCATCTTTGCCACTTCAATTCTATTGGTCCCTGCATCAGTCCAATAAATGTGTCTGCAATGCAAAAATAACATAAAGATGATATATATATATATTAAGGAGGCACAGCAATTTACACATTTTTTTTAAGCTGGTGTCAAGGCCAGCGTTTATTCCAAACATGAAAATATACATTTCTAGGTAGACAAATCCTTTATAAGGCAGAGGCAGCTGAGACTGTACCTTCCAATCCAGTCAACAGCAATCCCATCTGGGTTGGCAATATATCGCAGATTCAGATCCACCTCCTTCACTGGGTTGTTACCATTGTCATTGACGGTGGTCATGTAAGCACGTTTAATAGCTCCAAACTGAGCTCCCTGGCCCCGCACTGTCCAGTACACGATACCTGAAAACACACCAGGTTTTGCATTTTATCACCACCATCTGTTGAGCTTATTAGACAGTATTATATCTAGGGAAGCCAATCCTAGATACATTTAACAAGGTCCATATATCTGCTAAAACAATGATTTTTCCATTTAAAAAGTGTGAATTCTCAAAATGGCAGAAAAAGAAAGAATCGCAGTATTGCAGTACCTAATAAAGGGACAACATTGAGAAATCATCATGTGTGTTGTCTTTACTTAGAGTTTTCTTTATAAAGAGCAGCTCAGTACGGGCTTTTCCGCCAGCTACAGTAGGAGCAGTTTAGGAGAACGTTAGCATTAGCTTACTGAGGCCATTTCCCTCCGGGTCCCAGTCGTAGTCTAAGGCCTGGATGTGCTCTGCGTTGTCAACAAAGTCCGAGTACTGCTGAGAGGAGAGGTTGAATCTGCGGATTCGCACACTGTCAGGCAGGAGCAGCAGAGGAGGAATCCCTGTGTGGACAGCACACATTATTAAAGCGACTTCTTTAAGCTCCTTGTCTATGCACCATACAGCACTGAGAGTAAGATGTGCTTTTTCCATGTGAAATAGTTTTAGCAGAGACAGTTCAGGAACTTAAAATGCCTTTTTTCCCCAAAAAATTCAAAATACAATTTTCTGGCTCTTTTTTAGCTAGTTTGAATTTTCCTTACTACTCCAAAGCTGTCTTCAGACGTGAGTGTATTTAGGAATGTTTGTGAAAATGCTGTGGAATATCTGAAACTGTAAAAATATAAGGTCAGTTTTAAAAAGCAGCTTCTAGACATCTCAGTGGAATATTACAGAAACAAGCTCGCACAAAGATAAAAACTGTTATTATTCACGATTGTTGGATAATCTTACTGCAGTGTGAATAACTGAGTTACTGTGCCACCCCGTTTCTCTGTCACACACCTTCTGCAGCACACTCCTCTCCATACTGTTCACCGACTGATCGGAATCCCTCCAAACAGAAACATTCGTAGCTTCCTTTGGAGTTCTTACAGTCCTGGGGACAGGTGCCATAAATCTCACATTCATTGATATCTGAGGGTAGAAAACGGGAAGAGTCAGTCTTTAAAATTCTGAAGAGAAAGAAAGAATGAAAAGGCCACGCATGACATTCACAGAAACATATTCTGTAGTGTAAAACAGAGAGAGTTATGACATTTTTATGAACCAGAAAGAAACAAGCCTCTGGAAACCAAGTTTTTGATTCCACAAGGTGTCTCCAATGAGTCATAGCATCCTTGATTTTAGATTTTCCAGCAGTGGAGTTAGCTTTGATTCTGAAGGGCACTTCAACAATAGTCAAGAAATCGTTAGTCATACATACTGCAGAAAAGTAACCTTGACTTTTTAACAGATGTCAAACAGACACACAGCTGCAAACCAATTAAACTGAATCATATTAAACAGTACTTCAAACACCGTTTTGATGATAGGAATATGGTTTTATCGCCAAAAGTCAGGCGCGCGCACGCACACACCAGCCGAGGAGTACGTCTTGTTTGATGTATCCTGTTATTAGAGCGATGTACTGCTTACCATCACATGAGTTTCTGTCTGTCTCTCTGGGTCCATATCCAGCTCTGCAAGAGCAAATGAACCCTCCTCCTTCTGCCAGATCGGTGCAGTTGTGTTCGCAGATGTTCTCGCTGCAGGAGCGCCCAGTGCCATGGTCTAATCGGGGGTGAAAAACACCAGCATGTCAATCGCAAATATAAGTAAAGGGTCTCAACAGCCCTCTGAGTAGCATGAGGGTTTCCCAGGAGAAAATGGCATGACTGCTGTTACTTACTGCAACCGAGCTCATCTGAATGGTCTCCACAGTCGTCGTACTCGTCACACACGTAATGCAGTGGGACACACTGGCCATTGCCGCATTTGTATTCATCTGTCATGCAGGGAGCGTGGGTGGGTGCTTTACCTGTATTAACAACAAAACATACACAGTATATTAACCTGAATCCACTTGAACTACTCGATACACTTGATTAGCATTGAACTACTCAATACACTTGATTAGCACTGAGCTACTCAATGCACTCGGTTACCATTGAGATAATTAATGCTAATCAGGCTTGATCTTGGCTATCTTGATCCCAAGTTTCAGAATACTGGCCTGTAAATGTATATGATGAAACTGAATTACACCTGCATCACAAGCACTTTCTTTCCAGATGCCTTCAGTAGTCAACCTGGACCTTAAACAGTGAATGATATGACCATTGATATTGCTGGAGCACGGAGGAAAATTCTAGTCCAGGAAGAATATGTTTTCACCAACTGGATATTTTTAAAATGTCAGCTGAAGCCCTTGCTTGTTTGCTGATGGGTAACCTATCCTGTGAAGGCAGAGTGACACTTGTATGTTCAGACTTACAGTGCTCTTCTTTCTCATCAGTTCCATCCCCGCAGTCATCCACCGAGTTGCAGAGCTCATGGTTGTAGATGCAGCGGTTGTTTTCACACCGGAATCGGACACGTGGGTCACAGGGGATGTCCACTGGGGAAGAGACAGGATGGGCCCTCGGTCAAATTTCAAAACAACCAAGCAAGACTCAGAAAGTCATTTTATAACTGCAAACATCTGTCCTCTACCGGCACCTTGATTTTTTTCCTTGGAAATAAAATCATGCAGTACAGATACAGATCTCTCTCATTTTTTGTTCTTTGCTTACACAGGAGAGAGAACATTTTGTAATACTTTGCAGCCATTTTGTTAACTATTCTTAAGGGGAGTCATTCATAACTAAATGTTGATTAAAATTATCAGAAGCCATCTGAGATCTTGTGAGGTTCCTGATGGGCAGTACAAGGAAGGGTTTCGGCTTTCTTCTTACAGCAGAGGTGCAGCTCTTCATCAGAGTTGTCTCCACAGTCATTGTCTCCATCACATTTCCAGTAGGGCTGGACACACACGTGGTTCTTACATTCAAACAGGAACGGAGGGCAGTAAGTGCCATTCGGATAACGTGTTGCTGTGGAAGAAGCAAACAGAATCTCTTACATTTAAAATACATTGCTGAGGGAGGAGAACATAGCTGTAGTATTATATTGGTATACAGTAGTGGCAAGTAGCATTAGTGCCATTAAATACTTAGGCAAAACATAACTCCAGTGTCATTGGGTGACATTATTATACTTCTAAGTATTATACAAGTGAGTTGTTAGAGCCGAGACTTACGACACGTCGTCTCATCGGAGTAGTCCAGACAGTCGGCATTTCCGTCACATTTGAACCTCTCAGCAATGCAATGACCGCTGGTGCACTGGAAATAACCAGGATGACAGGTCCCCAGCTCTGCAGAACATTTTCATGAGAAGACTGATTACTACATAGAAACAAACATATTTTCTGAGTTTGTCTGTGCACAAATTAATGCTTTAATGAATTACATGTGTTAAAAAGAAATTAAAAGAATTAAAAAATAATTAAAGTGTTAAAAAATGCAAATGCAACTTCAGATTCATGATAAACATTAGAAAATGCTGGGATGATGTAGCTGTGTTGCCCCCATTTGCATCATCGTCATGATAATCATGATATTACTACTGGGGTGTCTGATGACTGTCATGTAATTTATAGCATACAATGACTTAAAAGTATTAGAATATGTCCAGTTGTGGTGTTGAGGTAATCCTTCAGGTGTTAATAAGAATTTTGTTGAGTTGTTTCAATTTTTGCTAGCTGGTTGAGCTGCTGGTGTCTAGAGACTGTGGGTGACTCAGAGACATCAGGTTACAATGCTCCAGCAATAACCCAGAATACATCCCCTCTCTTTCACTGAGCTGTGGGTTTTCTGCAGTGTGATTAAACCTATTCAACCTGTAATCCTTTCACAAGACCAAATCACCTGCAATGCAAGTCTTGGGTCATTGTTTTTTCCTACGATGGAAGTAGCAAAGAACACAAAAAGGGGACTCTGAGCGGAGCTCTGATATTCTTGGATCACAATACTAAAGTGAGCTCCGATGCTGTGTACAGATATATCACAACCTTTCAAAAAAACATACACACACAGGGGTGAACATTTTCTAAATGTGTGCTTTGTATGCTGGGTCGGGACTCAATAGGCCATCATTAGAAATGTTCATGGTTGCTTTCCTTTCCCCACTTGCCCTCTTCCTTCAGCCCTCGCCACAGAGAGAGTGCGGGAAAGACTAAACTTACCGCAGTCTCTTTCATCAGAATTGTCCTCACAGTCGTTGTCATGGTCGCACACCCAGCGGTTAGGAATGCAGTGCAGATTGTCACAGCGATACTCGCTTTCTGTACAAGCACGAGGGCCTGAGAGCAAACAAAATTGGAGGCTTAAGGTCTACACACACCAGCCATTATTTAACCGCTTGTGTGACAATGTACTGAATCTGCTGTTACTGTATTTGACTTCTGCAAAGTGAGAACTTCTGTTCTTCTGGAAAAATATTTTCAATTGGACGGACGAAGCAGGAAATACACATCACAGAAATTTAGCATCACACCACCAGGTAGTTACATCTTTGATAAAGTTTTCCTGTATGTTTATTTCCTCCTTATTGTGCCTTTCCCTTCAACATCTATTGTTCTGAGGTGCTTAACAAGAATGATTTTAACATCTCACAAACCTTTCTAAGGTATTAATATATGTGTTGAGTTTTAAGAATCCATGGATGAAAACTCTTGTATATGATCAATTCATCATCCATCAAAAACAATACACTGTCTAAAGACAGGTTGTTCTCAAATAAGACTTGTTTAAATTCTCTAGGCAAAGCATGAATGACTCCCTGACTCCCTCGAGTTGAAACACGAAGTTGTTTTTCTACAATACTGATAAGCAGTAGAATACCAAAAGAAAAATAAGTCTTGTTCACAAAACAGTCAAAATGGAAGCAGATTTTTTTTGACCAGATTACATTTCTTTTAGGATTTTGCGTACTCTGTAAATCAGCGTTAACTCGAGCCTCGACAATAGTTTCCAGTACAATAATACACACGAAAACATACTATGAGCTGCGAATAATACTGTTTAAAGATCATAGTGAGCTAATAACATGATCTGGAGGCATGTATTATAATAAACTGAAGCGAACACAATGCTGATCACTCCAGTTTATTTTTCGTTTTGCTCCTCATTCCGTTGCCTTTCGATGGCTTCTCCACACTGTGTCAACCCTTGCAATGTGCGCAGCTCGAGCCCCGGGGAGCAGATGAGAGGACATACTGCAGCCACGCTCGTCGGACCCGTCGCCGCAGTCGTTGTCTCCGTCACACTTCCAGCGCATCGGGATGCACCGGTGATTGTCGCAGCGGAAATCCCCCAGAGGCTCGCACGTCAGCTCCTCTGCACACAAACAGGCCCAGAGTGAGCAAACACATCCAAAGCCTTTCTAATTACTGAGGCGACACTGACAGATAACGAGAAAAATTAGTGTTTTCATGAGCCCAGTCTTCTTTATTGTCTCATTTTCTTGTGCTTTACATTTTCTTTAGGCTGTGGATTTGGAATCAGCAACTGCTATTCCGAAAGCACTGACCTGACCAATTTGACAATCCATCCAGCCATTTCCTTCCCTCTTTATCCAGTTCAGGGTCGTGGAACTTTGACAATCACTCACTCCTGTTTATTTTACACTTATAAAGAGCTGTGGACAAACCCAGGATGCTCTGAACATTTGGGGGCATTAACAGTTGATAGTGAATGAAGCTGTAAAACTTTCAAAACCAATGGATTCCTTAGAACTAAAGGAGACATTAACAGTTGAGGGCATCGTAGATTTGTAAAACATATTGAATGTGTAAATTAGTACTGGATCATATATTCATTCTGATACATCAATCTTGATTGTCTATTAAAATCTAACAGACAAACTGAACAGCATTTTTGTACATGAGTAGATGTGGCAGTAATGGATTGTGGTCTAGTGATAAGCCATGGGAGTATATATCGTGTTGTGCAGATCAGAGAATCAGCACAAAGAGCACAGTGTTCACCTTCCCCTCACACTGCTAATAAATCAGGGCAGCTAGAGGCTGTAAAAGAGGAGTGAAAATGGCCTTCAATCAATAAGAACTCCCCATCACTCCAAACATTATCTTATAATGAAATAGCTCACATTTTAGTGGTGTTGAATGGAGTATAGCATATCTCCTATGATAAAAAAGCAAGTTAAAAATCATTTGACATTCTTAAAAAATACAGCTTTATATCAGACCCTTAGTATGTATACATATTTCTGCCTGTATATATGTCAGTGTCTTATTCTGATCTCAACTAGCCACTATAGGTCTTAATTGGCCATAAATACTTTCTATCAACTTCGAGGGAGAGACGGATACACATGCATTGTTAAAATGAAGGTTACCACAGCCTTGCTCGTCGCTGTTGTCACGGCAGTCATCGTATCCGTTGCACACTGACCACAGGGGAACACAGCGGTAATTCGTTTTGCAGTCAAACTCTGTGTGGTTGTCACAGCGATATGCAGGGCCCACTACAACAAGGCAAGAAATTGTTCTGTAGGCTGGTTTACAGCACTGAAAGATCAAACCATTTAAGTGATCTAAGTGAAACAAAGAGTACAGGTTCTACTATAGTGTTCTCATCATTGTGTTTGCCACTTATTCAAGAGATAATAAATCAAGACTTCAAACGCATACTGCTTACATACCATCAATTAAAAAAGCTTTAAAAGGGTTTGGAGCCCAGATGTTATATAACTAACATCTGCCATCACCTCTGGAAGACTCTTATGATGTGGTAGTCTTGCTGAGAAAATAAGCTCATAAAAAAATAAGGTCAAAAGCCACAACCACAGAACCCCAGACCTCAGGATCGATGACAGGGCTGTGTAGCGGTAAGGATCGACTGTAACCGATAGCGCAATGCTTCTGCCTGCCGGTCACTCACTGCACTCATCATGCGGCTCGTCAGAGCCGTCGCCGCAGTCGTCGTCCACGTCGCACTTCCAGCTCTGCGGGATGCAGCGGCCGTTGCGGCACTTGAACTGTCCTGGGGGGCAGGTCCTGGCGGCGCAGTGCGCGGACTCCTCGTCGGAGCCGTCGCCACAGTCGTCCTCGCCGTCACACTGCCAGGCCTCTGGGACGCACTTCCTGTTCTGGCACTGCCACTGGTGGCTCTCGCACTGGTGATTGGCTGCAGGAGCAGGGGTCACGGAAAATTACAACCAGTACGGTCAAGGTTTGGCATGAGGCCACTGAAGGGATGGGCCCTTCCTGAGAGCACAGTAAAACTCCAATTATAATCACCCAAGCACAGCCCTGGTCCTCCTCTTGTGTTACCATAAATGTCCAGAAACAAAATACATATATTTAACCAAACAATGCATCAGAGCATAAATGGTGTAGGAAATTTTTAAGCACCACTCACATAACGTATATTTTGACTTCCAGCTGTTTGAGAATGCCGCAAAGTCAGATACTGTAAACAGCCAATCAGTCTGATCACCTGAATTCTACACCGTTCAAGTATAACAGACTGAAATATGTTTTTGTACTCTGGACTTTTTACACAACAGCAAGACATTTTGGAAAAGATTTCTTAATAACTCAGCTCAGTAATTAAGTAACCTTGTAACCTTGTCTCAGCTCAGGAATTAAAGTTGCTTTGGAATTGGAAAAAAACAAGCCTCTAAAGCTTTTATTAAGTGTTGAATCTTTTTAGTGAATGCTTTTCCTTTGTTTGCTAAGCTTTAATAATAATAATAATTCCTTACACTTATATAGCACTTTTCTTGAGACTCCACTCAGAGCTCTTAACAGGTAATGGGGACTCCTCTCCACCACCACCAATGTGCAGCCCCACCTGGATGATGCAACGGCAGCCATATTGTGCCAGTAAACTCATCCCAAATCGACGATCATTGGGTATTATTAGGAGGCCATGATCGATAAAGGCCAATGTGAAATGTGAAAACCACAGAGTCAGGACCTTGGTTTTACGTCTCATCTGAAGTACGGCGCCTTTTTACAGTATAGTGTCCCTTTTATTGGGGCTTTAGTGGTGGTGGAGGGGAGTCCCCATTACCTGTAAAGCGCTTTGAATGGAGTGTCCAGAAAAAGCGCTATTTAAGTATAAGTAATTATTATTATTAGGGACCCACACAGACTGCAGGGTGAGCGCCCCCTACTGGCCCCACTAACACCACCTCTGGCAGCAACCTTAGCTTCTCCCAGGAGTCTTCCATCCAGGTACTGACCAGGCTCACACATGCTGAGCTTCAGTGGGTTGTCAGTTGTGAGTTGCAGGGTGATATGGCTGCTAGCTTTAGATATTATACTGTATGTAATCTTAAGAATACACTATTACAGTTCAAATGTACTTTGTGAGTACAAGCGAGAACGTACTGAGCTGGAAAAGGGAAGACAGAAGGTGACTCTAACGGAAAGGAGCACCCACCACACAGGACGGGGTCTTCATCGGAGCCATCGCTGCAGTCGGGGATTGTGTTGCACAGGAAGTGTGGGCTGGTGCAGTTCCCGTCGTTGCACTGGAACTGTCCCAAGCGACAGTGTCGACTGGGGCACACTGGCGGCTCATCGGACCCGTCCCGGCAGTCCCGCTGCCCGTCGCATTTCCACCAGATGGGAATACACCTGCAAAAACCCTGGTAGCTCACTAGCCTGCCACACGATACTCCAGAGCGGGTCAGCGTGCGGGAACAAACACGACCCGCTAAGTACACAAGTTCGTTTTCACTGCTGTAGACCCAGAATGTATAAACTAGATTCCACACACAAGAATGTTCAAGAACACCGTAGGAAACAGAAACAAAAGTACTGGCCATGAAATGACTGAGCAAAACACCAGACTAATTGCAGGAATGGATGCGAACATAAAAATATGATCTCATTAAAGTTGTGATATAAGCTAAAACAAAAGGCAGAGGTTTGACTCTCCTAGGCATCCATTTGCAGTGTTTTGACTGCTGACCAGGTCTGAAGTGGTAGATTATTATGTTTGTGGGCAGGCGGAGCAATTCTGCAGGGACTTAAATACAACACATCCAAAAAGATCTCAGCTTAGGAAAAGGGGGAAATACACCGTGCCGGCTGAAGATTGTAAGAGCCGTTTTACCGTTCGTTGTCGGCACATCGGTACTGGGTGCTGGAGCACATGGGAAGACAGCGGGCGATGCCCCCCAGCTGCACGGTGAGGAAGTGGTCAGGACACTCGCAGGTGTAGCCTTGGCCACCCGCTCTAATCAGACACAGATGGGAGCAGCCTCCATTGTTCACACCACAGGGGTTAGTCACTGGGGGACAGATTTCGGACAACGGCAAACAGGCGTCATTCACCCACACCTTGATTTACGAACGTAAAACTCTCTGCCTTTAATCCTTAATGCATGACTGTCTCTTCAAAACTGACAATGCATCAAAAGGAATGAAAATATTTTAAAAATGACAACAACATTTACTGAGAGCTTCAAACCGTAATATTATGATTTGGCATCATTATCTACTTGTAACATGTGGAGGATCTCTTTTAATGAGCGCTCTTCCTGGATTGTTAAAAAAACACCACTCTATTCACAGAACCTAATCTTGCTTTGCTCAATAAATAACGGTAAAACACATTTTTCTACGCTTGATTTACAGCTTTAAAAACGTAGTCACCTATCGGCTGTCTGTAGGGGTGGTACACGTGGATGTCAAATGGCCTGTGCGTTGTGTTGACAAGAGCACCCCTGCCTGATCCGTCGTACTTGTTTCCTTTCTCCACAGTCCTGGTGTTCCAGTCGGTCCAGTACAGAGTGTCTTCAAACAGCGTGATGGCGAAGGGATGAGGCAAAGTTCCATCATACACTGTGTGACGATGGTGACCATTTAAGTCTGAATATCTGGAAAAATAGCAAAATTATATGTAGATGCATTAAAATGGGGGGGGTTTCAAATGATTTCACAATACAGTACATATACTGTATATTATATAAGTATAGAAAATTTGCGTTCTTACTCAATATAGTTCAAATGTGCATCGGCCCAGTAGAGCTTATCGTTTGTGTAGTCAATGGTGAGTCCATTCGGCCACTCTATCTTGTAAGTGATGATTGCCGATTTATTTGATCCATCCATTCCAACACGGCCAATAAATGCTTTGTGACCCCAATCTGTCCAATAAACGTAGCTGGGAGGAATAAATTTGAGAGCTTTTGCTAGGTTTAAAAATGATCACAAACAAAAGGAAAAATGGTTTGGCATAATGTCATGTGATTTCAAGCATCTATACTATAGAAGCGATGTCAAGTGCATTTTAAAATTTCTGCATGTACATGAAAATGTTTTTTTATAGTTAAGTAAATATAGTTGTTTATTTAATTATATTTTGCATTATATCCAATTTTTATTTTTTAATAGTATTAATGAAATGTGGTATCCTTGTACTTGAATGTACTTGAATACATATGAATACATAATCGTAGAAATAAAAGTCATGAACAAATGACTAAAAATCTTTTCAAAACAGTTTTTCTAGTACCTAGTACCTGAATTTGAGCTACATTAGAAACCGCTATTGTTATTCTTAGACAAGAGTAGCTTTCACTAGTCCTGGACAGTCGTAGTGCAGCAGGTTTAATGGGTCACCCATCAATTTCTGAACACTTGCAACTCAGAAGTTGAGCACCTTTGGAGCTGATTTTTGTAATTAACTGGTTCAATTAACTCTGTGATGCTCAAGGACCAGAGTTGGCTGTTGCTGATTTAATTGAATTAATCACTTTACCACTCCTGTGTTTCAGGTCTTTACAAACTGATTATTTAAAAGGTCAATTGTAAAACCTTCTGAATTGTGGCTTTCCATGACCAGGTTAGGCCACTCCTACTGAAAAGGAACTTATATAGAAAGCTTATAGTTTTTTCTATTTTTTTAATTGAAGTACGAAAACACAAGCCTAAAAAGTGTTGAAGTTTTAAAAGTACTGCAGAAATAAATTACCATTAACTTCTGATAAAACATAAAACAAAACAGAAAACACATACCCATATTTAGGGTGTACAGCAACAGCCCTGGGATTTTCAAAGCAGTAAGTGTTGTTGAGGTCAACACAACGATCAGCAAGTTTTTTAACAAAGCGTCCATCCATTTCAGCCACATTCAGGCAGTCCCGAAATGCATCAACCCAGTACAGTTTCCTGCAGAGGAGATATAAGGAGACATAACTTTTAATGGTGTTTTTCAGAAGTGCATTTCTCCTTGCATTTAAAAAATATTCAAAATATTTGTGTTTAAAGGTTTACAGTTTGTGTTGGTCCACATACAACAGAATCGATTTTTGATTTCCCTTTTGTTGTATTTTCAGGGTATAATAGGAAGTATACATTTGGCAGAAGGTATAAATAATAAATAAAATAAAATAAATAAATAATGGTGTATTTTTGAGAATCTTATATTGTGAATGGGTTGATTTAAAAGAAAAAGTAACCATTTGTGATAAAGCGATATCCTTCATAGTGCTTTTCTATTCAGTTTTTTTAAATATTTAAATAAGGAAATATGTATATGTTTATAGTTCAGGAAACGGATTTGAGAAAAATCAGAAACCATGAAGCACTGCTGCAGTTCTTTTAATACAAAAAAAATAGTTTTACCTGCCAACCCAATCCACTGCCAGACCCTCACCATGTAACACTCCGCTGACTACTGTCTCCTTATCTGTGCCGTTGAAGAACATTCGCTCAATCACACTCCTCCCCACATCGATCCAGTACAGCCGCCTGTCCACCCGGTCGAAGTCCATGGCCACTACGTTAGACAGGCCCTGCAGGATGAGGGAGTAGGCCTGTCCGTCTGTGGACAAGTTGCGGAGGTAATAGCGGTTGCTGAAGATCAGGTAGGGGGCGATGTTGCTGTTCTGCCGACATCGCCTCCCGTCTGGCTCGCGGATGTACCCCGGAGCGCACTTGCAGATGTAGGAGCCAACTGTGTTCTCGCACACCTGACTGCACACGCTGGGCGTTTCGTGACACTCATTGATGTCATCGCAGGTGCTGCTGTCTGACATCAGCCTGTACCCTTGGCGGCAGGAGCAGTAGAAGCTTGTGGGAGTGTCCGTGCAATTGTGATCACAATGGTGCATTGAGGGATCCGTGCATTCGTTGATACCTGGAACGGAAGCAGAATTAGGGCTACGCACGACTACAAGGTTATAGATGGGATGTACAACAGCTTGAGAAAAAAAAATCTCTTAACTCTAACTTCAGTAATTAACCAAATTAAAACTGGAATTGCTGTAGGATAGTCAAAAAAATCGAATCTAAGAGTTATGTATAAAATCTATTCGGAGTGATATTATAATGACAACATCTGTAGAGGAATAGGAGGTGGTAAGGAAGGCTGGTCTTGGAACAGATCACTGTGAAGAGACGGGATGCCGGTTTAGTGAGAGAGAGGAGTAAGCAGTTCAAGGAGGAGGAGGAATAGAAAAGACGAAGAGACCTAGTAAAAGATTTAGCAGAAACCATAGTGAGTCACACTATGAAATGGAAATGGGTTGAAGAAGTTCAAGTAGGGAGCAGCGTCAGCATGCCCGGGCTGCAAAGGAACAGGTAAAGGAACCTGTTGAAAGGAAAAGAACATTTTCTCTGTGGAGGAAGGTGGCTTATCAAAACCCACCACATCCTTTCTCGTCGCTGTTGTCGGAGCAGTCGTCAGTCCGGTCGCAGACCCGGCTGCTCTGGATGCAGTTCCCGTTGTCGCACGCGAAGTGGCCCGAGGGACAGGTGGGCGGGGAGGTGTGGCACAGGTGACCCAGCTCGTCCGACTCGTCCCCGCAGTCGTTGTCGCCGTCGCAGACGAAGTCTTTGAAGATGCAGCGGCCGTTCTGACAGGTGAACTGGTGCTGCTGGCAGGACTGGTAGGTGCAGCCCTGCTCGTCACTGCCGTCGCCGCAGTCATTGCGCCGGTCACACCTAGCGAGAGCCAGAGACAGCAAAACGGGGTCCGTTTGACCAGACTGGAACCGACCGAACCCATCGACTGAGAGTGAAAAACACACGCTACTCCAAACCGTCCCGGGCCTTAACTTTGACATCTGTTTTTTTATCACTTGTATTTTATTCATTTAAAAAAAACATACTGTACAAAGATGACAAGAAATGGAGCTGCCTGTCTTTGATATCTGTTAACCATTAACATTTGTCTCCATAAACACGCAGTGTATTAAAAATGCAACGCATGCTATTGGTTCTAATGCTCACTGGTTGTGTTTTAATGCCTCTCAATATATATCATATGAATACAAGACAAAGGATAGTTTAAATATTGCTACAAGCACCGTCAACGTCACCTTAAGGATTATATTGTCCTTGTAGTTGAAATCAATTAATGAACTTTCATGTTCAACCTCAATTCAAATCTGGAGGTGGGAGATTACTCAACCATGGACCCTGACTGACACATTTAAATCGTATAAAGGAAAGTTTTTTATTAAACTGGAAGCTGAAACTAGTTCAAATTCAAATGATCTGTTTAGAAGTTTTTAAACCTGTAGGAGCCACGAATGCAGAGGCCATTGCTGCAGGTGAACTCATTCGCTGAGCAGGGTACCCTGGTGCAGTTCTGGTGCTCGTCGTAGGCGTCTGCGCAGTCAGCGTCTCCATCGCAGACCCAGGACCGTGGGATACACTTCCTCTGTGGAGGCCGGTTGTTAATGCAAGTGAATTCCGAAGCTGTACAGCTGCGGTTCGCTGAAACCCAAAAACAGACATGCATTTCAACGTGGTCAGGCAAACTCACCAAACTCTAAAAGCGGTAACTCAGAATACTTCTTTCTATTACAAAGGGAGGATTATTCTTACTGCGGATGCCGCTTAATTTCAAACCATCGATAAGCAGTTCCTAACAGATATATTTAGGTAATCTGTGTTATGCTACTTTTGTAAGAAGCAACATCAAATGGCTAAAGTGACAGAGGACATGAGAAAGTCACAAACGAGGCAGTGTTAAATCCGAAATTCCTATGCCTAGGTTTTGGACCTTATGCCTTAGACAAATGCAAAAAATATGAATTCGTCCCTCATACCGCATGAATGGGCTTCAATCTAATACAGAGGAAGGAGAAACCCACCACAGTTGTGTCTTTGGTCCTCATCACTCATGTCTCCACAGTCATTGTCACCATCGCAGATCCAGGAAGCAGGAATGCATCTTGTATCGTCACATCTGAACTGGTCACTGGAACATGTTCTCACAAAGGTGGCTAGGAGTGAATATTAGACAATCTAATAAACATGCAGTATCATGTTGGAAAAACCTATCACCAGCTTGTGAATGCATGGTCATCTGTGTTATGATGTGCTTGCGTGTGCACTCATGTATTTTTCCATAACCTACCAATACAATGAGAGGTAAATAACGAGGAAAACCTCTTTAGAAGCAAACTGATGGGGGTCTCTCAGGTGGCTCAACTGGAAAAGGTGCTTGTGTGACCATCGCCGCTCCACTCTGCCAATTCGTCCCGCAACACCTGGGGCACGAACCCAGGTCTCCGGTGTAACACAACAGGGAACCAGCCGAGAGAGCAAACTAGCTCCGCTACCCTTGCAATTCAGTTCAAGCCTGTGTCATGTAGTGTCCTGGGTCATGTCACTAGCCAACTGTGATTGGGATTGCCCAAGCTTCAGCACACCATAAATAGTTGAAATAGTTGACCGGGATTCTCTCAACAAACACAATGAACCCTGAGGGCCCCTGGATGCTTGCAAACTGGCACTGCTATCACTGAGGGATATGCCTCGCCTCCAGTTGGCGCTGAACCTTTTTGATGTCTTAAAACAAAAAAGTGTCTTGAAAGTGGGCAGGTTGCCAACACTTCCTCATTTTTCCCTTTGTGTTTGCAGGGTTCACTGGCCTCAGCTGAGGTATAAAAACACACAACTGGAGTTTCTAAAACTGGGTGGGAGAAACAAAAAACAATCCTTGGTAATTCTAAATTAAAAATAAAAAAAAAACAGAATAATGTGGAAATAATAGTAACCTTTATTTTATAAAGTGCATTTCATGGCACATCTTCTCAGATTAGCAATTCAATTTACATGCAGTTGCTTGTGATAAAAAGGAAAAGTGTAGGAGGATGTGAACCATTTCATTATCCCTGAACAAAGGACAAAAAAAAGCTACATTTTTTATGAGCAAATCACAGGAAGCAGTACTGTGGAATGCACCACACAATGGGTCGATTTATCAGCTTCCATTGCTGAGTCAATCAACTCTGCAGGGAGTCCCTGAGCTTCCTAATGTCAGCCTGCAGCACCTGTCTCACTTTAACATTGTCACATGCATGACAGACACTGCACATCTCAGAGGCCCTCCCACAGATTTTTTTTTCAATAAAAAGTCCCAACTTTCTCCAGAAATATTCCACCCCATGCTATATGTCTTGGTGTTTGGGAGGTTATAAAACAGTTTTCCAAGTGGAATGGCAAAATATGATCTTCATTGCCAAAGCACAGCGTGTACAGTCATCCATGCCTCGCCTCAGAAAGCAAACAATTACTCCAAAGTACCAATATATTTGTATCTTTTAAGTATTTTTATACCAAGAACAACCTTAATGTTCACTTCATTATATTAGGCTTTTTTGCAGTTTGTTTTTAATCATTCTCAAAGATTAGTAGTACGTTTAACACCACAGTGGAAGTTATTGATAGCAACTTAGATTTACATCACTGGAAACTGAGCTTCATAAAAAAGTAGCTGAACCTGTGTGCCATTTTACTTTGGAATTCTAATTCTAATTAATTAAGACATCTAATAAAACCATGCACCCTAACTGGTTAAAGGGTCATTTTGGCATTGCAATAGTGGCTATGGCTATGTGACTGACAGAAACAGGGACAATATTGACTGAGAGCTGACAGTCAAAACCTACAAACTCATTTGTAAAAGGAATGCACAGTTTTCCTGTGTAATTTTTGCTGTCTTTCACTGGACTAGCATAAAGCCTAATTAGTAACGTAGGTCTGAGCACATCTGGGAGCAAGCTTAAACATACGTTAAGAGGAAAGCAATGGGTTAAGGTACAGTATAAGATGACGTCCTCAGCACTCACCACAGGATGGTGGCTCATCGGACCCATCAGCACAGTCAGTTCCCTCATCACAGTACCAGTAAGCTGGGATACAGCGTCCACTGGAGCAGCGGAATTCATTGTCCGCACACGTTGCTGTTGCTGTGAAGGGAACATAGAGTAGGTGTCACTCAGAGGGCACACTCCTTTCCTTGTCCTATAGTTGATAACAGAGGCATTACTGCTACTACTAATTAAACAAACCTATATTGTGCAGGTTTTTGAAAGATGGGCTGGCTTCTCAAAAGAGAATTGCTGCACATCTGTGGAGCAGGGACACTTTTACATCTGAGATTATCTTGATTTTAAGACTTATACGGAGAAAAATGAAGGTAGGTAAAGGTAAATGAGAGCAAATACCATATGATGTCCAATTTACAAGCTTACTTTGCTACTTTGCCTATTTTTTAGAGATGAAACATTATGAACATCCGGATCAATGCAGTGATGAACTGGGAAAATGTCAAGCATTATCAGATAGGGCCGAGACATTGGTTCAGTGGCTAGCATTGTTGCCTCGCAGCACTGGGGCTATGGGGTTCAATTCTAAACCTGGGGTGCTATCTGCTAGTATGTTCTCCCCGTGTTTTCATGGGGCTCCTCCAGGTGCTCTGTTTTGATCCTATTGTCCGAAAACATACAGATGAATTGTCTTCTGGGAAAATTGGCCCTGGTGTGAGTGCCTGGGTGTGTGTGTGTTTGAGTCTGTGTGTGTCATGTGATGGACTGGCATCCTATCCAGGGTATACTCTGCCTTGTGCCTGTTTCTTTTCCAGGTGAGGCTGAAGCTTCCCCAGTAAGCATATTAGAAAATGGATGGATGGATTATCAGATAGTATCAGACTACTGTAAAATAAAAGCACCGATTATAGGAGCAAGCAGAAGTATTTTTCAGTGGTATTCACTAACTCAGCATAGCGTACCACAGTGAGTGGGGCTCTCATCACTCATATCTCCGCAGTCATTGTCTCCATCACACAGGTACGAGCGAGGGATGCAGATATTTGTAGTCTGGCACTTTGTATGCTCAGGTTGACATGTACGGTCAGCTAAAAGAAAAGATACAGCATTGACAAAACAGAAAAGGGCCAAAAGTTTAAATACAGAATGAAGACAACATGTTAAAAAGATCTGACATGCGCCGTGATGAAGCCTTGTACTTACGACAGTTCTTCTCATCTGTGGTGCCATTGTCATAGCAGTTATTCACCCCGTTACACACATATTCTTGAGAAATACACCTGCCATTGTCACAGGAGAACTCTGTGTTTGGATCACAAGGGCGGAAGAGGCAACCAGCTTCATCGCTGTTGTCACCACAGTCATTGTAGTGATCGCAGCGGTAGTGATACGGAACACAGCGGCCATTTCCACAGGTGAACAAAGTGGGGTCACAGGTGTGGAAGGCTGTGGTGAAACCAAAATAGCATGTTAGTATGAAAGCCACATACGAAAGTGGTACAGTGAAGATGAATTCGTATTTACGTAACATAAACATGTAATAATCATATATGCGTGTTACCTGACAAAGCAACAAACGCTGCCATATGACGGACTGCATGCAAAATACAAGTACAAAGTCATTTTAATGTATGTTAATGTGAGTTAAAAATGCAAAACTAAAATCTGTCTACAAATCATATTAGAGTAATGCAAACTGTACACACCAAAAGGAGTGTTTCTGTTATCTATGAAGGAATCCCTGTTTTTTCCTGAAACAGACACAATGATATTGCAGAAAGGAGATGCAAAATTTGATTAGTGTAACTCAGGTGATGCAGACAAAAGATTAAATAACCAGAGAGGCTATATCTTACCACAGACTCTCTCCAACTCGTCACTTCCATCACCACAGTCATTGTCGTTATCACATTTCCACTGGGCTCGGATGCAGCGCCCATTCATACAAGTGAACTGACTAGGCTGGCACCTGGTCCCATTGTCTGGAATGCAGTGCTTGTTGTCTGCCAAGTACCAGCGACCCTCTGATGGACACTGACACTCTGCACCCTGGGGACCTGAGAGAGGAATGGTCTATGAATATTCCGATGACAAGTCCAAGAATCAAGTCTTTTGCCAAATGGCCCTTACGCCAATGTCATCCATCCGCTTTCTTATGGCCTCACCCAATACAGGGTTGCAGAAGAGCCAGAGCCTATCCTGGGGGCAAGGCAGGATACACTCTGGATGGGAAACGAGTTCAATGCAGGGCAAACAGACACTATCACACACACACTCCCGGCAGGGCCAGTTTTCCTAGAAGCCGGTTAACCTGCCAGTATGTTTTTGGACTGTGGGAGAAAATTTGGAGCTCCATAAACACAGGGAGAACATACAAAATCCACACCCAGAAATCGAACCCAGGGCCCCAGTACTGCCAGACAGCGATGCTAACCAATGCACCACCCATCATTAGGTCACCCATCAATATCATCATGCATATTTTTAATTCAAAAATACATCTATTTTATTAGGGTATTAAAAAAAATATAAATACATTAACATATAGAAAGATACATTACATTATACATGTAATTAAATATATTTGAAATACAGAACTTTAAATAAAAAATCTGAGTCAATACCTGGAGCACAAATGTGACTACATCCTCCGTTGAACTGGTCACACGGGTTGCTACATTGCAGCTGCTTGCTGTTGGATAAGACATGGATGTCCATGGGCCGCAACAGCAAGTTCTGTATCATGACTATCTGGTCCGATCCGTCATGTTTGTTTGCCCTGTAGATGCTCCTGGTGTTCCAGTCTGTCCAGTAAATATGCTGGTCGTATACCGTCATAGCAAATGGGTAAATAGCCGTGCTGACAATGACTTCACGGTTTGAGCCCGTCAGAGAACACCGCTCGATCTTCTGCCTGAGAAAGAAAAGACAAGTCAGCGGGAAAAGAATAATTCCCATAACCACCGCCTTCAAACAAAAGCCATGGATTTCAGTTACATTCCATCCATCCATTTTCTAACCGCTTCCACCAGTTCAGGGTCAGAGCGGAGCCAGAGCCTATGCCGGCACACAACAGACTTAAGGCAGGTGTCAGGGAACCGGCAGGTAGTTTTCTGAGGATCCTGTGCGTAGCTGTGAATTCTGCGGGATGCAGAGGCAAACAATCTAAAATCGTAATCCCAAAGCAAGGTCGAAAGGAGAAGCTAGAGATCAGATCAGAAAGAGCCGAGACAAAGCGAGAAGAGAATCCAAAAGGCAAAATCCAAGAGACAAGATCGAAAAGGGAAAAGTTAAGTCTAAAAACCGGGAAGTCCAATGAGACAAAAACGTGCACTAGAGATCTCTAAAGGAGGCTTCTCAATAGTGATGATGGGTTGGTGCGTGAGGGAACTTTAAATACTGAAGGGAGAGGGACGTGATTGGATAACTGGTCCAGGAGTGAGAATCTGTGGAATCTGGTGCTTGTGGGAATGTGATGGGTTCAGTTAGGAATGAGATCGTGAAACAGAGGGTTTGGGAATGTAATGTAATGTAATTTGCGAGGGAGAGTGCGGGGCGTGACACAGGGTACACCCTGGACCGATTCCCAGGGTCAAAGTCTCTTAGAAGACAATCAATCTACCCACAAAAACACAGGGAAAGCATACAAGCTCCACACAGAGAGCACCCCAGGTCTGGAATTGAACCCAGGGCCCCAGCAGTGCCAACCACTGTGCCACCCTGCCACCCTCAGTTTCATTCCCTTTGTCAGTAATAAGTTCCTGTATCTTTCTTAAAGAGCAATTACTTACTGATATACGATGTTGGCATGTTCTCAGAAGTTTAGAGAGATTAAAATGTATTGAAATCTAATTAGTCTTCTATCATGACAGCAAAACTATATATAAAATCAGTGATCCCTCACCCTGGACACAGCCCTGCAGAATACATACGGGACTCACGATTCTCACCAACTCAGAATTGAGAAGTTGTAATTATTGCTAATTCATTCAATAACTGATGGAATTAATCCATTAATTACAAAGAGCCTGGGTACAATGAAAACCAGAAGATTCTGTGTTTTCCAGGACCTGGACTGAGCTTTACTGCGATAATTTAAACTGACTTTTAATTTAAGACACGTAATTTTAAAAATAAAGAGGAACCTACAAGAACTTGAAACTGGCAAAACAGCGTGTGGGAGTGGGATCTTTCCCCAAAGACTCTTTTGAAAGAAAGAATTGTGAAATATTTCTCACCCTATAACCAATTGCTATTTTTGCTTTTTCTGAACATACTGTATATCACCACATGTTTTTGTATTTCTTTAAGTTAGTGTCCACAACTCAAGGCTTGCATTTTTAAATAATTTACTTGACTTTACAGTTTTCTTTATTTGGATTCAGATGTTTCCGACACTTACAAACTTGCATCTGCCCAGTACAGTCTTTCCTCATCATAATCAAGAGTCAGTCCGTTTGGCCACACAAGACTGGTGTTTACGATTTCAGTTCTAAAGTTCCCTCCTAGTGTGGCTCTTTCAATCTTAGCGTTGGTCCCCCAGTCAGTCCAGTACATATACCTAGAATAACACAGAACCATATTATTCACAAGTCATGCATTCCCAAAAGAAACCCTAATGTGCAATATTAGATACAGTATGTGATTCATAGATCTCTACACAATAATCATCAGAAACAACTAACCTTTCAAAGCAAAAACGTAATCAAAATTCTAACATTTTGTCATATCATTTGTGTCATAAACAGTCACTGAAAAACACAAGAATATAGATCATCCTATCTTGTAATTAAATGCTGCAAAGCAAAAGTGCACCCCGACTATAAATATCCTTATTTTTCAAATCACTTACTATTTTATAGTACTATTACAGTCTGAAAATAAATTAGGCATCTTTAATTTTTAATTTCTTTTAATTCTTAATCTTGTTTATTTTCTACATAGGGGATGGCATCATGTAATTTTAATACATTACTTTTAACCAGAAATCCACAAATATGCTAGTACACCCTAATAGGCCATATAAAAGACAGGGAAACTTTAAAAACCTACCCTCTACAGGGGTCTAGCATTATGGCTCGGGGACGTGGAACTCGAGCAATGGTTGTGCGCTGAGACCCATCAATTGCCATAGAGGTTATGGTCTGGTTAATGTAGTCGCTGTAGTAAATCCTTTTATTTATCCAGTCATAGGCTATACCATCAGGAGCACCCAAATCTCAAACACAAAAGAAAGCATTACAGTTAGTATCTGTCTCTTTTCAGTGTAGCTGAGATAGAAGCAATAAGCAAACTTTCTGTTCCACGGTAATATACTGTATGTTTATGATATTTACATCAAACACATTCAATGTATCTGTAAAGTTCCTTAACAACAAAATAATAATAATCATCATCATCATCGTCGTCATCATCATTATAAAAGAAACACAAGTGGTTAGGTACATTCATGGTCCTTCGAAAATGGAGCAGATACAGACACTAATTAAATAAAGGACTTTCTGAAAAGACAGGTTTTGAGTCTAGATTTAAATGCACTCAGGGTGAGTGACTCTCTGATATCCCTGGGGAAAGAATTCCAGAGCTTTGGGTCATAGCAAGAGAAGGCCTGATACACACAGAATGTAAACAACTTTGGGGGACATACAGTTTAGCAGACCAGAGACAGATGAATGAATGGTGCGAGGTGGTGAGTAGACAGATAATAAGTCAAACAGGTACTGAGATGCCAAGACATTATGTAGAGCAAAATACTGTATGTCAGCATAAAGATTTTTAAGTCAACTCAAAACCTGATAGGAAATTATTACAAATTAATGTATTGTTTTGCTTCTAACTCCCAGCATTTATTCTAATAGAATGAAATACTGTATGTTTTTGTTTGGATTCAGGGTGAAGGTACTACCAATGTCTAGAGAGATCTTGGAAAGAAGCTCTGCATCAGGAGGCAAGCAAGCGCATCTGATGGGAATGTGAGCTGATGCACAGAGTAGTAAATAGCTTCGGTGGTATTTAGACTATATTCACTTTCTAAAATCGGAGGAAACCCCACCACAAAACAAAATGCTGGGCCTCTGGAAGCAGCCAAAACAGTTTGAACAAGACATAACTTGTTTTCCACAAAGGTTTAAAATATTTTTCCCAAACCCAACCCTTTCTTCTAGCAAGGCATGCTTCCACAAATGTTGTGGTGAGGGGTGGAGGACGTGGGATCGAACTGCACATTTTACTATTTCCATCAGTTCCCAAAACACGGTTGAGATAGAGGAATGACTCTGAGCAGGGACTGATGAAATTCTGTTTCATGTGCCTCAATCCAGCCACGTTTTACCTCCCAAGGAGAGAATCTGCTTACTTGACCAGAGGTTCCCAATCTGAGGGCCAACGAATCTCATGAGCTGCACACTACAAAAAACTCTGAACACGTTTAATTCATCGAACATATGAGACATAATCTTTAAAGTTCGAAGCAACATACAGTGTGTAGAAATTTAGAAGTTGCTCTGTGTTTAATGGTGAAATAGAGTAAGTCAATCACAGAGCTACACCTTTGAGACACACATCATCATTTTGATTAAAAGCTGAACGCACATACCTGATGCCACAACGGTGGGGGGCGAGGTAGGAGAGGAGAGGCTTATGTAGCTGATTCTACTGTTGCCCGCCCCCGAGCTCTGTGTGAAGTACAGTCTGTTATCTGCTCGGTCGTAGTCCAGAGCCACGGCGGTGCGGAGAACGGTGACCACTGGGAACGGAAGGGCATGGTCCTCCGGGTCCAGACGGAGGCTGCGGATGGTGCTTTCCGTCGTGTAGATCAAGTAGTCGTCCCGTGAAACCACGCAGCTCGCGTCGTCTCTTGCCAAGTTCCCAAAGGCACAGGCGCACTTTCGCGTCTGAGTCCCGGGGATGGCAAAGCAAAAGTGAGCGCAGCCTCCGTTGCTTTCCAAGCAGGGGTTATTGCTGACCTCCTGTGCTGTCCTGGGCTGAGTGCGCCTGTCAAATATGGTGACGTCTCTCAGTAGGTTGATATTATCCCGGACAAGCGCTGGCTGCTCTGTGTTTCCAGGCAGTTTACTGGCTTGGAAGACCTTTTTCAAGTTCCTGTCCACCCAAATCATGGTGTTTTCAAAGATAGTAATGCCGTAGGGAGTGGGGTATCGACTTCCGTACCTCACTATTTCAGTTTCGCCCCCCTCGGGCCGTATCCTAGCAATCATATCCAAGGAGTCGTCCACCCAGTAAATGTAACCATTCTGGTAGTCCACAGCCAAACCCCTTGGGGTCACAATACCAGAAGACACAAGCACTGTCCTGTTAGTGCCATCTGGAAATGCCCGTTCAATTTTGGGGTTTTGCCCATAATCTGCCCAGAAGAGATACCTGTTTTTAGGATCCACCACTATGTGTCTTGGCATGTCCACAGTGGTTTTCAGAAGCACACGGCGGAATGTGGTGTTCAAGCGCACCACTTCTATGTATGTCTCGGTCAAGAATGCATTTGTGAAATAAAGATTCCCTGCAAAGCAAAGCAGTCATGAGAATATTATAACAAACCAGACAAATTAACTTACAACTAGTTACAGGGAAATAACTGCTTACCAGTTATTTACTAGTTCAAGATAAAGGAAAACCAAGAAACTGGTTATCAGCTGTCAGATTATTTTTTATGTTAGCAATTTCTACACACTGGCATTTTTATGTTCTCATCTACTGCATTCAAATGCTATAATATTCTATTTGGCCCTTGCTTTTTCTTTTCAGTGATCTTTGGCTAAAACTTCTTTGCTACCACCTAGTTCTTATTGTCTTACAGAGATCTCCAAGGCCTCACTCTTTTGTAAATCTGCCTATAGTATCTATTTAATACTAAGCACTTCGTTTAGTCTGTCCAGGCCTGTGGTCTTTTATTGTTGGAGCGTTCTGAACAAAATGTACAATTGTCCCATAAAACACACAATTACATCAGTATATTTTTGCTCAAGGTTGACAGCCCTCCTATTGTTAGTGGCTACACAACAGATCACATCTCACCCAGGAGATTCCAAATCTGTCCTTGCCTTACACTGAAAAATATGGCACAAGCCATCAAAATATGAAACAAGCTGGTCAGCAGGCAGACATGGGATTTTAGTCCATCTATTCTTTCAGAGGGTTAATAATGAAAATCCATTCTCAAGAACTGAATCCTTTACCTGCTACCCAATCAATGGCAATCCCTCTGATTCCATTCCGACCGATTCCCGATGAAACAACAGTTTGGAAAGAAGAGCCGTCCGGCTTGATTCTCCGGATGCCATTCTGCGAAGCCACGCTGTTGCTGAAGTCACACCAGTAAATATACCCAGAGGGCATGTGCACATCTACATGTAAGGCGTTCCGACCTAAATGACAAGGGGGAAAAATTATTACAGTCAAATCAAGCCGATAGATTTCCCCCAAGACTGTGTGTGGGATTGTCATGTGGTGCCGCCCGCATTTCCTCAAATTTAATACACCATGAATTCACAACATATTGCTCATCGCTGAACGACAAGCAACCCTACAAAGGAACGAGTTAAATGTTTATTCCCTGCTGAAAAAGAGAAGAAAGGAAACAAAACGTTTTGGCTGTCCAGTCGGCTGTCTTCCGTGTCTTTTTCACACCCGTAGAAGGCTCCACAGCTGAAACGTTGTGTTTTCTTTCTTCCCTTTTTAGCGTGGAATAAACCTTTAACTTGTACCTCTGCAGCCCACGCATGCAGACACAGCTGCCTACTTGAACTACTAACAAGCCACCCTGTTTAGTCATGGGGCTTTTGTGAACACGTACCTCTTCCAGCGACTGGCACCATGGCCTCTGAGTGATCTGCGCCTTCCAGACCGAATCCTTTCAAAGCAGACAGCATGGAGATGATGACAAAGGAATCATAGGCGGAGCAGGTCCTGTTGTCCGAGTTCAGTCTGAAGCCAGTGGCACAGGCACAAACATACTGGTCTCTAGGCTTGGGAAGACAGAGCTGCTGGCATGTGCCTATATTATTACTGCAGCCATTAGATGTGCCAGCAGATTCTGAAAGTGAAAAGAAAGACCTGATTTAGGCACACTCCTCCACGGGTGTGACCACCAAAGGGGAATGGTATTGTCTTCCTGTATCCCAATTTCAACTTTTTTCTGTCTTCTATGACTGTCTTTCAGAGCGTGGACTATAAGTGTACTCTCATAAGACTGTAAGAAAGTACTCTGAAAGAAAGTAGCCTGTTTGATTGATACAACTGTTACTGAGTATCCATGTGATCTCAGGTTGTCATACAACCATTTTGTGAAGATCTTGAATTTCCTGTCTTCTACAGGGTGAACTGTTCTAACAGTATAGCTGGGCTGTCTGTTCCAGACTCCAACATGCCTTTGTGTAAGTGATTGTGACATTTAAGAGAGTAGTAACACCCAATACAGACATTTGACATTCACAGATAAATGACAGCAGTTTTATTTACATAGGAGGTTCTCCCACCCATGTTGGTCAGGGATGACATGCAAGGCTTGTCTTTTTCCCCAAGAGGGAAATATTCCTCCACCCTTCCTCATGGAGCTCTGTAATACAACTCTCACCACTAACAATGCCCAGTGTTCTTTTGAAAGCAAGTGCTGTGGAGGATCCAGTAAAATAACACCCAGCTAAACTGAATCCTTCCTTGTAATTAAAAAAGGCCAAAGCCTGTAGAGTTCATTTTAGGTAGGCTGTGCACAGAAAAGGTCATGAATCATTCACACCAAACATTTAGAATGGTAATGTTTTTTGGGCAAAGAAAACTTACAGACAGTTTGGATGATAATCTTCCAGATGCATTATTTTAAACTAATTTCCTGTCCCAAAAAAGTTTTTCATGTTCTCAAAACACAAACAAAAACATCCAATAGTATTCCAAATGTAATATTATTCACCTTGATTGTATATGATGAAATTGTTAGGAAATGTGTTTCATTTGTACACAATAACTCAGTTTACACAACAACTCAATTTAACCATCAGCTCAAAAAGAAGCATGAACCAAATTAATTTTAAAAAATACATCTCTCTAATTGTCAAAAATGAAAAGCACTGGAGCTTTATGGTTCACAAAAGTGCACATTACATCCACAACCTTTAGACTTACTCTCTCGATCGTGGACTTTCAGCACTCGCAGTCCAGACACATTGTCTCTCAGCACCACTCTGTTAGCTCCAGTGGCCTTGTCCACTCTTTCCACAACCTCATAATCCCTGTCTGTGAAGTACAGGTACGTATTGTGCACAGCGATGCCCCAGGGGTGTGAAAGCCCGTTGACTATGGTGATACGGTTTGTTCCGTCGGGATCTCCTCTTTCAATCTGAAGGAACGCATTTAATAACAGATGACTAAGAACTGAACTGGCGTGTTGCCTAATGCATCAATTCACCTGGATAAACTACTGTAGGTTTTTCCCCAAACAATACAAGTCAAATGACGTCAGTGAATCTTAAAGGTGAGGATGCCCTTTACTTTCTGCTCCACACAAGATTTCTCTGCATTTTTGTTTCTCTTGTTCTCGTTTCTGTGTATTTTTGTTTATCTCATTCAGAAACTAGAAGCTTAAGGTGTAATGACATGCTTTTAACAAAAACAATTGCTAATGAACATACGTGACCAATTATGTTGGCAACCTATATTCCAAGTCAATTATTATTCACCTGAAACATAATCTTTGTATAATACTCTGTTCAAATTTGTAAAGTACCTCACTAGTGATTTCTGAATAATTTATGACTGGGAATAAATAGAAGACACACACAAATTAAAATGTACACATGGCTAATGTCTATTTTTCCTAATTCTAGCTGTTTGTCTAATAATGGCTTCAACATTATTCAAGCATTCATAAAGACACACAAGTATGCAATGTAAAATTGTAATTCTCACCACAATAACAATAATAGTGAAAAATATTAATTATATGTACTAAGCTCATGTGTCAGTCATAGAATTCATACAGTGATTTTCCTGTTCGGATTAATAAAAACAAGGCTGCACACAGGCACTCACCACCCCGTTTGCTGTGACAGCCCAGTAGAGCTTATTTTCACCAATGTCAATAGTAATGAATTCTATGTGATCCATGTTGTTAGTGAAGAGGTTGATAGCATTGGATCCATCCATATCTGCAGCTGCCACCTTAGCAGGGACACCACTCTCTGTGCCCTGGTCAGTCCAGTACATCCTCCTGAAATACAATAGTGAAACAAAACAGCTAACATTTTACACCCAGCTGAATGCCACTTATTTGAATCATGCAGCAAAAATAAAATAGAGACACAATGGCATGTATAAAAATGACAGCACTTGGAGTTCAAGTCTGTAAACTTTCTAAACATTTCTTGAAATTAGGACATATGACAAATATCTCCTGCAGGCACTGCAAATGAAAGAGATTATCAACACTGAGAAGACGTGTTTCAGTGAGCTTACCCACGTGCAGGGTCGACAGTGATGCCAATAGGAGTTCCTGCGCCAGTGGGAGTGCCATTATTAGTGATCAGAGTTTTCCTGTACTTCAGTTCTCCATGGAGCTTCAGCACCTACATGCATTTCAAAATCAAATGATTTTATATTTAGAACTGATATGATTATTATTTCAACATTCCGGTCAGATCCCCCTAAGTGCGACAGAGAGATGAAAGGCTGGCTGAACCCCCCCTCACTTTCATTAGGAATGAGCCAGGGAGCTGCAGCGAGGGTGAAGATGTGTAATGGGAGGGGTGAGAGCGAGACATGCAAATAAAGTTTATAATAAAAATTAACTTTATTTTATATAGCATCTTTAAATGTGGTTTAAAAAAAGCACTTTACAGAATGGCAATAACAACAATAAAAAAACACAATATATGCATGATGAAAATACACAATGAGAGGAGACAGTAGATGGGGGTAATGGATACAGTAGGGGTAAATAACAGAACCAGTTAAGTAAACCCTTCTAAAGGAGATGGTTTTGAGTCTAGAAAATATTAGATTGTAAGTCCAGATGTTCAGTAGAAAAATATATACACAGGAGAGCAGAAGTAGGCAAGATTAGGATCTAACCTTCCTAACAAACTTTTGCTAAACATATTTTCTTATTATTATTAAGCAGAATTTATCTACATATGAATATACAAACCTATACAGCACTAAGAGATTAAATATAACCACTCCCTATGAAGTCATAAACTGAAAGCATTTTTTCAGCTTCCTAGTTTAAAATTTGTATTTTGTTTTAAAAAAAGGATTAAATATTGCTCAAAAGTTCCACCACTTTTGGTACAAACCAAAGGGAATCCTTCAAGCTTGAGCACAGATAAATGGGTTGGATTTCTGCATTAAGCTTTAAGCAGCAGCTCGAATTGCAGCTGATGTAAAAACAGCCTCCCGGGTTACCTCAATGGACTGAGACGCTGGATTAGTGTAGTACAGGTTCTGCGTCATCCAATCTAATGCCAGGCCCACCGGAGAGCCGAGGATGGCAGCGGGGGCGAACTCTGTCCGGTTGGTTCCGTCTGATTTCACCCTGTGAATTTCGCCCTGGAGACGAAAGGATACATTTCTATCAGCTCTGTAATTCAAACTGCGCAGCACTGCAGGCTTCCACTGAGGGGACTGTTTTGCTTTCTGCTTTTGGTTGTGTCGGTAAATCATTAAAAAAATATAGTAAGAGCAAAAAAATATAAAGGTTTCTTATTTATTTACCAATGTTTTAGATTGGAAAAAAGCGCTTGAAAAAAAACTGTTGTACTCACTGGGTGCTCTACCCAGTAGATCATCTGCTCAGAATCATCAAAGTCAACATCATAGCCATTGTGCAGACCAGCAATGGGGACCATGGCATCATTGGACTTGTCATCTGGGTTCAGTGGGATGCCATAGATAATACTGTCACGCACCACAATCAGAAAAGGAGCTGCATCTAAAGAAAGTAATATAACAATTGTTTGCCATTTAGAATAAGCAGCTTTGCCAAAGCATGTACCATCATTCCTCACTTCATAAACTCACTTAAATTTCAGTAATAAAAAAGGAAAATACCTTTACAATCAACAGATACAGTAAGTTGCACCAGAAAATACAAAACTCAATAAAAGACATAATCCTAACATCATGTAAAACAACCTTGTGTAGCCAGCAGAAACATATTTACAAGTTATTTAAACATAATTAAATGTGGAAATAATGTGAAATTTTTCTTTCAAACATATTTAGAAGCATTGCCCTTGTGTTTTCATGTTCACCTGCAATCATTGTAAGCTTTGTTGATAAAAAAACAGCATGTCAAATGCAAAACGTGCCCCCCAAATATTTATTAGACATCATGAGAGCAATTTTTATTTATTACATTTTTAGTAATAGTAATTAGTATCTATATTACCATTTAAAAAAAACATAAACCTGCAATTTTCAAAGTCACCTAATTCCAACTTCCTGATAATGGTTTAGATGAGCAAAGCTTATTATACATCAGATTATTATTTCTTAGTGCACTGAAAGTTAAAAGAAAGATTGTTCACTTTATTTATTGTATAAGCCACCTGAAGAGTCATGCTGCTAAGATATTTTCAAAAAGCTTCATTGTTATAAAATCCAAATGATACACCATGGATCTCCAGAGGATAAAATTCAATTTTACTGATGAAAGTTCATGTGTGCAATTTGATTTGCTTTGTCATCAGAGATTAGAGTCCGTAGATGCCTTTGGGCAATGAGTGTATTTTCATTCTCAAGTAATCATTCATCTTTCAGTAGAAAATAAATTTTACAATCTTCCCAGAAGCTGCAACTTGAGATGGGTTGAGTTTCAGACCTAAGAGGACCTGTTGAAGTTTGGATTAAAGGTCTTTTATCAAATTGTAATGAACATTGGCAAACCAAAAAAAAAATATGATTTCCATTTTTTTCTTACTATTGGTAAGTGAGGATTAAACACACTTCAAAATGGAAGACTGCTGACAACTGCCCTCCACCATTAACAATTATATCCAAATTATCATGTAAGGATTTTCAGTTTAAAGAGGAAAAGTCTGAAATAGTGTTTGTGTACAAAACATATTGGAAATAGCTGGGGCAAAAAGTCATTGGATTCCATTAAGAGGAACCAACCATTTTCTGCTGATATATGCGACACGCACTCATCTTTAAATAGATGGGTATCATTATCTAGTTTAATGGATGCTAATGAAAATAACGATAAATGTAATGCTAATCAGCCTTTGTTTTTTTTTTTTAATGTGATGTTTTAAATATGCATTTACAAGACAAAGATGCATAAATTGTTAAGATAGATTCATTTTCCCCTTAAAACAGACAGAATGGATTCTGCTAAAAAAAATCATAAGTAAAATACATATAGCAAGCTAGACACATTCTGCTCACTGGGTGTTTTTGTCACAGAGAAACACACCGACCTCTCTCACAGTTCGCCTGGTCTGCAGACAGAGTCCATCCTGAAGGGCAGGCACACGAGTAAAATCTGGGCCCAAGAGTGGACAGGAGACATATGTGGGAGCAGGGACTCATGGAGCAGAAGTTGACACCTGCATTTCAGACAAGATAATTCATTCACCCAAATGAGTCAGAAAGAATTGATTGTGTGGATTGCATGGTGAATTTTATCGGAAAAAAAAACCTTGTTTGAACAAGACCCTTTCCTGATAACAGTCACTCCCTCCTGCCAGTCAAATACTGGTGGAATTTTTCATGAGACAGTTGCATGTGGAGAGTAGCAAATAGAAATCCACTACTAACTGCGGGCTTTATTATCGGAGAAGGGAGAATTACAAATGCAGACCTCAGAGTGCAGATTCACAATTTCATTCCATGGCACAAATGTACGAATGCAGTCCTAACATTGACACTGATACGTCACAAACACTGAGATTTATGACAGCTAGAAAAATGTTGTATGCACTGAAAATTAAAGAAAGATATTATGAAAAAAAGATATCTTGAAGTTGTCCTCTTGTATTACACAGATTCCTTATTTTATATTTCCTCCTACCTGAAGGCTGCCTGGCAGGATGGACAGCCACAACTCCCATAGGCTGTGGGACGTTATACAGCATCACAGTCTGGTTTTCCCCATGCCACTTATTGGCTCGAATTACCCGGCTAACATATCTGTCAGTCCAGTACACGTAATCCTCAAAAATCGTAATGGCATGTGGATGTTGCAGCACCTTATTAGTAACAACAGGGAAACACATAATGATTAGGAAATGATTCGGAAATGGAACGTTAAATTCTATTGTACAGTAAGCATTTACTGTAGGCACTCTGGACTCATAAGGCTGTAAATTCAAGTCCTAATTTCGGACTCTGGTATTGTACCTTTGAGCAAGCTAGCTTTACCCCAGCTGCTGCAGCCCACACAGGAAGGTATGTGCATTGCTGGGGGTAACCCAGTGATGGACTGCAGTCTCGAGCTGCAGGAATTATATATTCTCGGTTTACTGAGCCTCTAGCAGGACTGTAATATGGAGATGAAAGTGTTTTTTGTCAGTCCTCACAGGGAAAAGAAATAGTCTGCATGCCTTAGTTATTGAGTTTATTCTGTTATATTGAACTAAGTCTTTAATTGAGAGTAACATAGTTTATATGCAGAATTAATATTGAAAGGATGCCTTATGAAAGATGTGAATCTCATTTTTAACTTTTAAATACATTTTGTTGTAATTTGGACACACAAATATGATTGAATTATTTTTAAATGCAGAACCAGATTTTTTCTTATTTAAAATAAGGGTTTTTTTTTTCTTACCAAGTCACTGGCTAAGACCTGCTTCCTGTTGTTTCCATTGTAATCACAATAGTCAATGAAATCAAGATAAGCGTCTGCAAAGTAGAGCAGTTTGTTGGGATAGTCTATGGTCAAGCCGTTAGGCCAGTAGAGTTTGTTGCTAATAATAGCCGTCCTCATTTTGCCATCCATACTGGCCTTCTCAATCCGCGGGTTCCTCCCCCAGTCACTCCAGAACATAACGTGAGCACTGCACAACAACAGAAGCAGCTCTGTGGTCAATGAACAAAGCAGCAAAATAACTCATACTTCTTTCTAACATACATAACAGCACAGCTAACATGCTTCACTGAGAAACTACAATCTTAAATAAGTGTATTAAGCTTAATACATTTTAATGCACTTATGGTAAAGTTTTAAACTTTATTTGCACCCTGACCAGATCAGGCTTTTACATTTTAGTAGTAAGGTTATCCTTACTCATTCCTTGGATCCAACACTAGTCCTCTGGGGTTCGTCACATTTTCACTGATAAGCACAGTCCTGTGGCTGCCATCTAGTTTGGACACCTCGATGGTCTCAAGGATATAGTCTGTCCAATACAGGTTGCGTCCCACCCAGTCAACAGCGATGCTTTCTGTAACCGTAACCCCGCTGTCAAATATCTGCAGAAACATTTAAGAAAGTGTGTAAATTATGATTTCAAGATTATTTGCACATTCTTCTTTGTTTTGTCTGCCCCTGCCTAAAATATGGGAATCAAATAAACATCCTGAAATTACCTTATGGCATATTTCGTATATTCATTTCTACCTCAATTCTGAGCTCTGATCTCTTTTTGGTAAACATCACTTATCAGCTTGAATAGATGGGAAAGCTGCTTATTCCTGGTCAAGGGTAATGGTAACCGGGAGTTTATCTGGCAGAAGAAAAAAGGAACTACAACCTGGATTAGATATCTGGGCATTGCTAGGGAGAAGCACTTAGAAACACCAATGGTCCTACATAGCACAACTCCAGAAGGTGGGAGGAAAACGCAGCAGCAAGAGAAAATGTACGCTAACACAGGAAGAACATGCAAACCCCACACAAAAGGTGCTCCAGTCTGGAAGTAACTGAATGAACCAAGAGCTGTGAGGCAGCAGTTTTGTACGCTACTGCCTCTGTGCTAACCTTTTCGGCAAAACACGGTTTTAAAATAATTAACTATCATACTTACAACTGTCCGGTCACTGCCATTTTTGAAAGCGCTCCATATTCTATCTTGCGTGGTGTCTGACCAGTACACACGATCAGTGACTGAATCAAAATCAATGGCCACAATGTTCCTCCCATCCCGTACCAGGGAGCGGATAACATTCGGCTGGGCTGTGATATTGTCTGAAACTATCTGGTTTCGGCTCGCAACCAGCAACAGTGCTTCTCTGGAACCTAAGAAAAACAGAAAACCAACGTAAAAAAAACATATTCAATAGAACAGTTCAAAATAATGGGCTAAACAGCAAAACATTTAAACTGTAATTCATTAATAACCAACTGCTTGTATTGATTATCTCAGAGATATAAATACAAATATCAAACAGTATGTTTTGCAATAAAAAACATGATCATAGAAGAGGTACTGTATATGATAATGGCAGAAGTATAACAGATACTAGAAACAAACCTAAGATAAACAATTCATAAGTGAATACCATCATGTTTATCTGAAGTGGATCTAGAACCTGCTTCTTCTATGCTTATATTATTTATATAGATTTTTTTTTACTTTTCTCAGCCTGAGACACATGGTCTGTTTCTGCCTTGATAAACGTTTGAGTGAAAAAATTCCCTTCCATCATCTAAAAGTTTCTCCTTATTCTCTATCAAAAACTACTTTGGTTTTGTTGTTGGGATTCTGAAAATATTTCTTATTTATATATATTCTGATTTAAGCCTCTATTAAAATATTGTCTATTTCTCTACCCCTTTCCTTTTTACAAGCAATTTTTACTTGCAATTCAATAAATATGAAACTCTTGGTTAAACTGACTTTGCTTTAGCAGACAAAATTGCTAAAGGGGAAATTTTTCTGTAATATCAATTACTTATGAGGGGTGTTTTTTTATTTGCATATGTTTAGCACATTTTCATAAATAATCATTTTTAAAAATACAATTAAATACTAACAATATGTAAATAATAAAACAAGGTATAAACACTGCATACAGTAGGTTTAAAATTCAGGAATACCAATCGTGCCCTAGGTCACCTGCTGATGATAGGTATTGTTTCCTATACTTTTGCTAATTTTATATAGCAGATTTTCAACACAAAATATTTCATGTCATATTTCGCCATGAAATAAAATTCTCTATATTTAAGATGAAAAGGCTCAGGAACAATTGTGTCAAAGGATCCAGAGAGCATATATAGTAAATGTATATATTTATTAATCTAATAGGGTGTTTGGGGTCTTTAAAAAGTCATTCAGGATTTAATAGTTATTCTGCAATAATAACTTTTTCCTTATTAAAAACCCTCTCCCCCTATTAATCAGTTACACCAAGGCCTTAATGTATTCATTTTCTTCTAGATCCAATGTTTTTTACATCATTTTACTAAGAACACATAAAGTGGGAACCAGTATACTGCATAATACTGTATTGTGAACGATGGCAGACTTACTGTATAGCAAAACTAAGAAGCACAAAAACCCTTGGTAATCTAAATGCTTGAATAGGTTAATGGTAAGTAATGCTCTTACAAAAAAATGTATTAGGAACATTAGGCAAAATTAATAAGGATTTAAAAATAACATTTGTGATAAATATTGGAATGCACAGAAAGAAAACTGAAAGGAATTGATCTGTCCCACGCAGGAGTATACAGTAGTAAAGTAGTTCTGCTTGGACCTCTCCAATAATGGAATAAAATCAGAACTAAACAAGTTGACAATGTGATCATGTAAGGTAAGAAAGCTAACCTGTCAGTTGAAAGGTTAAAAGGAAAAGTTCCTCCGGAATAGATCATGTCAACTGGATTGATGGGAAATAACTCAGTTTTCTGTAAGTTAAGCCTATAACCTGAGAATCTGCCAAAACTTCCCAGCACAGAGAGAACATGAGGAAAGGCCAGGTCAGACATATAAAGCAGCACATCATCAGTACACAAGGAATCCTTCTGTTCCTGTCCCTGGTTACTGTGCAATGATATAGAAAGGGTTTGGAAGGCAATAGCAAACAAGTCTGGAAAAGGGACAGCCATGCCTTGTACTGCCGTGGAGTGTAGATAACTCAGAGTACTGAGGGAAAGACGGTAACTTAACCAAATCCATTATGGTTAATTAAAAATGTTCTCAATGCAACCAAATGCTTTTTCTGCATCAACTGAAAACATATCTCCAAGAAGTCTGGTGTCAAGAGACTGATATTCAACGATTAACAGAAATTTGAAAGAGTGTATTTTCTATCCAAATGTAGTTTGCTCTGAAAAGATAACAGATTCTAGTTTATGGACCAAAGCCTTAATTTAAGCATTCAGGAATGACATGGAACAACAGAAGCCGCCATCAAAGGGAGGCTTTTTTTAAGCAGTACTGAGATGAACGGTTAAAACGTTGGCCCCCCCAAAAAAAAAGAATTAGAAAAGGTCACTGCAAACATCCCTCTTAACGTGAGATTGAGTTTGAGATTGAGATTGTAGTCATTTGTTTTTACAAAATACAACAGGGAACTGTTCGAAGCCAGGGAAAGGCTCCTTGACTATCAGACTTAGATCCAGTAGTCTGGACAATCTCATCTGATGTCAGAGGCTCCTCCACAGAAGACAGACTGGGATTCAGGCCTGTCAAGATCCTCGAAGAGTCAATAAGTCTGTGATAACTGCGCTCATGTTAGAAGTAATGCTAATAAACAATCCTTTGTTGGAGGTAATATCCTAATTACACCATGTAGATGTTTCTGACTGACATATATGTTATTTTGGTTATCTGTAGTAATCAGATCTTAGCAGGAAAGGAATGAAGTTCTGAAAACAATGCCCCTTTTCTCTTTTTTTAAGATTTCTTACTGGGGTTTGGATGACTTACATCTCATCATTCTGAAACATAACATATTTTTGAAATAGCTAATTAAAATCAATATCCGATGTGGAATAAAGAGGTCACTTATTTGTGCTTCCAGAGCAGCTCTCAGTGTGGGAATTACATTGTCAAAAGTACAACCAAGCTGCAGGATTGACTGGATTTTCCCTCTTCTTTCCTCTTGATGCATTTAAACACACTTTGGGATGAAGCAGTTTTCCTTGCCATTCAGAACACTCTGCATCATGAAGTGGCTATTTGACTATAATAACAAATAAATTGAGTAACAATTACAGTAAAATAACCATACTATAATATAAACCAGATGAATCATGGAGTATCTGCATGGACTCTCCCAGGCAGGAATTACTTGAAGCCAGCTTGTGTTTCTGGAGCTCGCAACACTGACCTTTTTATTTATTTTTTGGTTATGTCTGCCAATTACGCCACGTCCAGAGCAGTCAGAGCCTTACCTGAGGCCTTGCACGTGCGCTGGTCGGCCTCCAGCACGTAGCCCTCCTGGCAGTGACAGCGGAAGGACCCCCGCTCGTTGAAGCAGTGCTGGCTGCAGAGGCCGGGGGGGCTGCACTCGTCGACGTCGTCGCACGTCTTGGAGTCGTTGCTCAGCAGGTAGCCCATGGGGCATGTGCACTGAGCCCCGAAGGGGCCCTGGATACAGTTGTGCGTGCACCCCGCATTGTTGTCCGAGCAGCTCTCCTGGTCTGGGAGGAACACGGGCGGAGGCGATCAGTCAAATTCGCCCATTCCAGGCAGCATCCCAATCAAATGCCACAAGAGCACATGCTCCAAGAACTGTAGCAAGCGGGATACTAAGCTCAAAAAAACGGTTCAACTATTCCAACTTATTCGGCAAGTTCTGAACTGCTACACTAATCTACGCACAAAGAAAGTCGAAATTATGGACTACCTGTATATACGATACGGAGAATCTATTCTGTATATGTGCTAGAACGAGTTAACTATAGGGATCTAAAAGCACTTGCATACAGTCATGCATACTGTTTCACATGCAAAGTTAGTGTTTGTTAGTGCAATTGATACTATGATTCAAAACACTAAGCATATAATCAAGATAAATTCCTACCTGGCAAAGGCTCATCTGAAAGCCATGAAAAAATCAAGAAAGGAAAAATCACAGATCAGTTTCAAGGACTGGATCAACACATGCTTGATTTGACGAAAGAAAAAATGCAACAACAATTTTATCACACGAAAGTCCACCTGTTAAGGTAAGTGGATTTAGCCATTTAAATATAATGAGACCAAATGATTTGCATCATGACTTACTGAAATCACACAATTACTGTAATTTCCATTTCTGTAACTCAACAGACAAAGGGTAACACATTTATGTGTAATTCATTAACCATTACATAAAAAGAGCACCAAAGAGATATCACGGCCTAACTTGTGAAAATGAATAACCGGCAGGAGGAGAGAAGATACTTGACATGTATTTTGATTATACTATTGACACTGCATCAGTGCTACTACACTAGCAATTATCTGCCCTCTTGAAGTGTAATCAGTGTATGAATAACATTTTAAATAACATGTTGTGGTACATTTAGTGTAACATAACAGGATATATAACAACTAACTAGCATCGTAACCCTTTATGGCCTGTCAGAACTTTAAAGTCTCATCAGTAGAAAATAACCTAAAAACATTCAACTGTTTAATGACAAAAAGACCGTTTGGAGGCAGGAGTCTTATTATTGTTGTTTTAGACACTTGTTCGGTGTCATGATACTGTACGGTTGCTGTATGGTATTATTGTCATATATGTTATACGTTATTAGTTCTCGTTGTGCAAAGACTAATTCCCTTAGGGGCAATAAAGGTTAATTAATAATTAATTAACTGAATCTGAGCTTCAAAGAGGAGGAAAGGAAAATGTTCAGTAAAAAATGACATTAGACTGCAGAGTTTAAGTGGATATTGGCAACAGTTTCAACTTCCAAAGAGAGAGATTTAAAAAGCGGCCTATTATATATGAGCCTATGATATATATACAAAAACAGAAGTTCAGGCCACCAAGAGTTAAACTGTGTCATTTCAATCAGAGTTGTCATATAGCAACCAGCTAGATTTTTCCAGAATGTCTCGGGAAATAACCGACGTCGAAGACTTACTGCAGAGAGGCGACTCGTCGGCTCCATTGGGGCAGTCGGGCGTGTTGTCGCACACGCGGCTCAGGTTGACGCACACGCTGTGCCCCGGGCACTGCCACTGCCAGCTGGGGCAGCGGAACGGCGGGGTGGGGCAGCCGCGCTCGTCGCTGGCGTCCCGGCAGTCATCGTCGCCGTCGCAGAGCCAGCCGCGGGGCACGCAGTTCCCGTTGTCGCAGCGGAACATGGAGGGCCGGCAGGTGCGCACCGGGCAGGCCTGGTGCTCGTCGGACCCGTCTTCGCAGTCCGGGTGCCCGTCGCACTCCCAGCCCGCCGGCACGCAGCTGCCGTCCGACTGGCACTGGAATTCACTCTCGTGGTGGCACATGCCGGGAGGCCTCGTGGCTGCCGGGTTCAAAACACAGCCCGACTTTGTTCAAACGAGCAGCACGCGGGCGAAAGTTCACCGCCGGGAAAATACTGTTACAGCTTTAGGTAACTGAAAAGTGCCTCTTAGGTTTTGTGCTGCTTGGCAGAGTCAACACTTCTAGCTTCAAAGCAGAAGGGATGTTTGTTGAGTTGTGGGATCCCTTGATCATAAACCAAGGTTTACCTTGGTATACCTAGGTAAGCTGTGGGTTAGTGATTGCCGATGAGAAGTACAGAAACGCACCATATAAGATCACTTTAAGAGCACAGAGAGAACAAGGAAGAAGAGAAAGACAACAAGGAAGAGGACAAGAAGCAGGGAAGAAGGAGAGGATAGACAAGGGTCCAAAGGAGTAGGAACTTGAAGCTTGCTCTAGGCGAGAGCCCCTACTACATGATCATCCAAAACCTGACTGAAGTATTTGCACCTTGCTAGGGAGACCTTGCAATGTTGCAATGTTGTGCTTTGGGGAAAAATTCTTGGGTAAAAGATACCTCGATTAGAAATGTCTTTCTAATTTTTTATTACGATAGGCTCCCATTTATTTTGTGGCATCCAGGGCGCAGAGAGAGAGATTGGACTGCAGGTTGTATTGCATTTATTTAGAAAGGCAGCTTCTCTCTTCTCTTATTTGGCCTCTGTAGACATTAAGAGTCTGGGTTTTTTCTGGGTAATTGGGGTGTGAGGCCTCTGAAACACCTTATTTGTTCATAGTGTAAACATAGTAATATTTTCTATATTTTGTTGTGTGTAGTGTAGATGGTCTCTTGCAATTGTAATAAATATTTGTTTAAGCAAGTGTGCCTGTATTATTACTCTTTTCAACAAAGCTGTGCCTCTTCATGTACCTCTAATTATACCAGCCGCTCAGGTATTTTCTTGAGAAATCACTTACAAGTTGGGGGTTTTGGATAATTATTTTACTTATTGACTAAACCGCTCGTTCAATCCTGATTTTAACCATTTTAGTTACCTCTGATTTGTAACAATACATATGCTACATGAAGCAGGTAATAAAAAGCAGAACAGTTCTAAACAGCCTCTGTATCTGATTTTTTTCAAATCCTTTTTCAGGGTGATGCAGTCTTTTTTAAAAAAAAACAACAAACAACATTCCAACCCAAATGGAAGCATTCATAAAACCATTCAGATTTCTGAATGGCAGTTTCTCAGAATCCCCCCACAACACTCAGGTTTCCAGAAACAAGTATTAATATAATCCAGAGATCAAAGGATTTAATTCCTGTGCCTAATGGAATTTCATTAATGCATTTAGTATCTAAGGTCTGAAAATAAATAAACCGTGATTAATCCCTCAGCAGTTAGGACTTTTTTCTGCTATGAAATTGTAAACATTCCATAAAATACAACTTTAGCACTAAATATCTGATCATATATAATGGTATAAATTCCATCTTTTCAATAACTGTACAGAACGACAATGAACACTTACGACAACCAGCTTCATCAGAGTGATCCTGACAGTCAAAAACTCCATCACACAGGTAGTAGGAGTTGATGCATTGGCGGCCATTTGCACACTTGAACTCATAGCCCGTGCAGTTATATGCTGAAACAAGAAAGAGTTTTCAGTGATGGATGAAGCACTGACTGGATACTGTTCCATGTTCTCTGTTTTCTGACATACTTACAGCACCCCTGTTCATCAGCTCCATCGACACAGTCCCTGTCTCCATCACACACGTAGCTTGGGTCAATACAACGATGGTCTGGGCACTGAAACTGCCCTGGGTAACAAGTTCCTGTAACATCTGCAATTTGAAAATTAACATTTAAATACTGTTAAAAATCCATAATGTATTCAATGACCCCTCTAATGTTATCTATTACAGTCTAGCTTTGTCACCCTGCAACTCACAACTAGCAAACCACATGAAGCTTGGTGTGAGCCTGGTCCTGGATGGGGGACCTCCTGGGAAAGCTAAGATTGCTGCTGGAAGAGGTGTTAGTGGGAAAAGTAAGGAGTGCTCACCCTGTGGTCTGTGTGGTCCTAATGCAACAGTATAATGATGAGGACACTATACTGTAAAAAAGGTGCCATCCTTCAGATGTGTCATAAAACTGAAGTGCTGACTCTCCATAGCCTTTAAAAATCCCAGGGTGTTTCTTGAAAAGAGTAGCATTGTTACCCCCGTGTCCTGGCCACATTTCCCCCTGGCCTTTACCAATTAAGGCTTCATAATAATACCCATCTATTATGACATCAATGAAATCACTTCTCTGTTCTTCTCCCCCTGATAGCTGATGTGTGTTGAGCACACTGGCACACATGGGTGCACACTGGAGATGGTGGAAGGAAATCCCCATAGTCCCCAGCACTTTGAGGTGAGTGTCCAGAACAGTGCTATGTAAGTAAGGATTTATTTACTGTTACAGGTTGGGAAGTTTTCAGACTATCATTTCAAGATTTTGTATCACAACTTTTGCTAAAGCAGAAAACAGAATATCAGTCTAACAGAAGTAATGTCCTGAATACCAAACAGGTTACATCTACTTCGTTGGCTTCCAACTCTATCTTTTGTCTTCAAGCCTCTGTCTTAAACTGCTTCAATGATCACTACGCTGCAATCTTACATCTAGGCACTAGGCGTTTGAATTAAGAGCAAAGGAAATCTTTGTTAGCAGTAACCCGAGCTCTCACTCACTGCAGTTAAGTTCATCTGAGCCGTCCCCACAGTCATTGTCGGTGTCACACAGCCAGATCAAGGGGATGCAGCGTTTGTTGGCGCAGGTGTGCTGGTTGGACAGACAGGTGGTGGGGACATGCGTGGGGCAGTTACGTTCGTCACTCTCATCAAAACAGTCGTTGTGCCCGTCACAGCGCCAGCTGGTAGGGATACAACGCTGATTGGCGCAGGTGAATGCAGAGGATGAACAGGTGGTATCTGCAGAAAAAAGCAGGAAGAAAACCTTGTTGGTTCTCAAGCTTAAGTTGATATATTACAGTTGTACAGTGAAATATATATTTCAATAACACAGCAATGCAAGCTGAAAACATTAAAAACGTTTACATACTATGGGTTCCACAGTTGACCTCATCGCTGTTGTCATGGCAATCGTCAACACCATCACATCTGAAGTACGATGGCACACATTTGCCATTGGCACAGGAGAAAGAGTTGGAGCCACACTGTAAAGTTGGGGGTTCACTGGAGGGATCCTCAACACAGGTTTGTTGATTAGGGGCCAGTTTCATCCCATATGGGCAGCCGCAGACTCTTTGAAAGTTAGGCACTGGGAAACAAAAATGGCTGCAGTCTCCATTTGGATTGGCAGGCCTGTTACAATAGTTTGATCCTACAACAATCAGAACAAAACACATCAACAGAATGTTTAGAAGTTAAAAGATAACTTACAGAATTTGACTTTATTTCTTTTAAAGCACTAAAGATAACTGCTCACCAGTCTGGGAATTTGCATTAAACGATTTAACATGCATTATGTGGCTTATGCCTCTTCTGATAACCGTCATTTCTCCTCCATCTGTTTTTCGGACACGAACTATCCCTTCCAGTCTCCAATCGGTAAAATATGCATATGCTTTGAGAAAGAAAAACAAATAGTGTTCAAATCAAATAATACAATGCAACAAGGAAAAAATGAAATTACAGGGCAATGCGTGTGTTATACGCAAGGTTAATGTGTTTGTTTTATAAAAGATAACGGTTCATTCCTAAACATTCATCTTTAGTAAAAAAGAAGAACTACTCACCTCCAAAGATGGTAAGACCAAAAGGATGTGACATCTGGCTGATACGGTCAAGAGTCAATCTATTTAATCCGTCAAATGTGCTGTGCTCAATCTTATCGAAGAATGCGTCTACCCAGTACAAGCGTAGAGAACTGGAAAAAAGGGTAGTTATTTAATTAACACCGAGACAGAAAACACAAAGTTTACTTTCAATGTTTTTACAGAAAACCTTTAACAGAAATCTCCAGTCAGTAAATCAAATCAATAACATTGTGGTTTCTTTCACGTCAACAGGAAACGTTCATTCATAAACTGAGCTCTGCAAGGGGCTTTTCAGTGCAAAGAGAAAGTGAAAAGGTCTTTCCATTGTTGGTGGTTTTTTTTTAAAGTATTAAAGGTTCAGATGAAAGGAATACTGTAGGAGAGTTTTCAAAGCCTGTAAATCGCTCATATTGGCTCACCTCCAGTCGATGGCCAGACCGTTGGGCCAGCCAAGTGTTGTGTTTACAATCGACAGTGCATGTGACCCGTCGCACCAGGCCCTCATGATTTTGGCAGGACGATACCAGTCCGTCCAAAAGATGTACCTTGAGGACACAAACCAAAAAATAAAAAAAGAGACACCCACTTTTTTTTTTAATAATGCAGTTCCTTCAAATAATAGGGATTCTGGCTTTTTTTTTTCCTAGTGCGTAAGTTCTGAAATTTAGAGAGCATCTTTGGAAGATGTGTACGACTTTTAAATTTACTCCAAGCTCCCTGTGCTTGTTACAATACCAGCCTTCAAGACGCACTAATCTATGGACTCTACAATGTCTTTCTTTGACTAAATAAAGAATCCCTTCATCAGCCAGGGTTTAAAAGTGGGAACAATTTATAACTGGGTGGGTACCATCATGGTAGATGTGACTGAACACAAGTGCCTTGCTCTCGAACACACTTTCAACTTTTTGTAATCTTAAGCAGAAAAGAGCCAGAATCAGAACAAGGAGGCATTGAGCTGTGTTCTTTGCTGACACTTTCTGTGAACTGTGAACTGCAGTTACAAAGTGCAAATTCTGTCCCATGCATTTCATTGAAGAGGAACTGTATATATCTTCTAAAGATCAAAGCTACAGTATGAACTTTAACTTCTAACAAAAATAGCATTGGATCTAAAGAAACGTTTAAACTGTGCATTCTTTCTGGAAATTCATAAATCAGAATTAAAATGGTATTAGATTCTGTTGACTTGATTTACATGGTAAGATACAACCAATAATCAATTGGACCCTAATGCCACAGACTTAAGATGTAAACTCTTTAACAATCCTTGCTCAATACTATCATCCCCATGTTGCACTGTATTCCTATTTTTTTAATTGTGACTTGCAGGAAGGGACAGTGTGGGATATAGTGAAATTAGACTGAAGGTAAAACAGAGTGAAACAAATGTTTACAATTTTAAAAAATCGGCAACAATTACCCTATTCCTGGATGCACCACTAGTGATCTAGGGTTGTTGAGATTCTGTATTATTGCTCTTCTGGACTTGTCTGCCAGCTTCATCACTGATATGCTCCTGTATCGGGGGTCAGTCCAGTACAGGTTTTTTGAAATCCAGTCAAACGCCAGATCTTCAACACCATCTACCCTATTGGCTGCAAGAACCTCTCTGCCTGAAAAGATAAATGCAACGACTTCAGGAGTACTTCATACTGAAGCCAGCTGTGAAATACATTAAAATACTTTCATTGTTACACTTGCGTCTCACCCTTTTTATCACTATATATAAATAAGAACGATAGAACATTAGAGCTCTATACGAAATAGTGAATAAACATGGATGTTAAATCACAGAATCACACAAAAAATTATTTTTTGAGAAAAATCCCCAAAAAGGATTTCTCTGAGAATGCGAGGGGTACATATCAATCATGTGTTATATGCCCTTTTTGCAGAGTTCATGTTAAATTCCTGCACGAAAAACAACTTTGAACCTACCTGTCCCATCCACTTTCTGTTTATAAATTATATCTTTTGCAGTGTCAGAAAAGAAAATGGTGTCGTCCTCTGCGCTGAAATCGACTCCAACAAAGTAGGACGGGCTTCCAGTCACGGGCAGGATGATATCCTCCTGGGAGGAGAGATTGAAGGGGATTCCTCTCACCGCCAGCTGACTGGAGAAGAGCAGGAACTGCCTCACGGCTACAGAGGGAGGAAAGGGCAGGTTTATCTCACAATATCCACCACCACAGATGCTTCTAAACAAGTCTCCTGACAAGGCTAAAACACCCAGCATCACAGATGAACAGAATTCTTGGTCTTGTGACTAACTTCTATGCACATTTTGCACATATTTTAGTGTTTTTACAGTGACTATGATCATCATATTTTGCACACACCTATGTATTTATTTTTATTTATTTTGTATAACTTTTTGTCTATTCTGATGTCTGTTTTGGCCTGTCTTGGGCTGGACTGCTGTAAGACATCAATTTCCCTACGGGATCAATAAAGTCTTATCTATCTATCTTATCTAACTGTAGCCTCCAGATTCACTGCAATTCTATTCTTCCTTCTTGAAATAAATTAATACAAAGTCATATGCGTAGTTACCGAAAAGAAAAGAGAAGCCCTTGCAGGTCAGTTCTTTTGCAAATACAGGACTGCACTGGGGAGTATTATTGACATAACTGCATTCTTTGCAGGAATGGGACATTTTCTTACCCACACAGCGTCTTCCGTCGGAGTGCAGGTCGTAGCCCATCCGACACTTGCAGCGGTAGCCCAGGCCATCGTTGTCTGTCCTGTGGCTCAGCACGCAAATGTGGTCGCAGCCGCCTTTGTTGCTCCCACACGGGTTTCTCGCTTTTCCCAAAGCACAAAAATGTCAATTGAAAGGGTTAACTCGGCACTCACGACTAGAAAACCACAAATGACTACGATTTTCAGGAACTCTGCTTCATTACTGTGTATATTTGCCTAAAGTATTTGTGGCCCGGCCCTGTACTGAACTTACCGTAAGGCTGTCTGAGGGAATGGTAGACAGTCACGCCGTAGGGAGTCAGTGGGGTCTGGTAGACAGCCTGAGGGTTATTCTCGAAGAACTTGTTTGCCTTCATCACAGCCATTTTAGTCCAATCAGTGAAATACACAGTGTGTTCAAACAGGCTGACTCCGAAGGGATGCGGAATGAGTGACCCTCCATGAACCACAGTTTTCCTAACGTGGAGCGTGAAACACACACACACATCTGGTTCAATTTTAAAATTAGACACTGCTTCTAAGCACAAACGTGCTACATTTTATTTTTACTGCTTTCACCAGAAATTTCAGCTCTTTTCTCCAGTCTGTTAGCACTGTCTTGGATACCAGATGTCAACAGGATACAGAAATAAAAAAAAAATGAAATTGAAATATTTTCTTATACTATGTTACAGCATTCAATATAAAATATTTGAAAGTGACACACTACATTTCAACTATGCATTGAGATGATATGTATCCTTTATTTTCAAGGCTCTTACCTATGCAGGCCATCATAATTTGTTGTTTCAATGTAGTCATATCGACTATCAACCCAGTAAACTCTCTTAGCCACAATATCCAGTGTTATTCCAGCTGGCCAGCCCAGCTTAGTCTTAACTATTTCATAGCGGTTTGTTCCATCCATGTAGGCTCTCTCAAGGCCGGGCTCCCCTGTAACACGATCCCAGTCTGTGAAAAACAGAAACCTACACAAAAGGCAGAAAATATTTTTAATACTCAAACACAGTCCATTACTTAGAATGACATCACAGCAGTTTGCTCCATGCAGAGCCTGATATTACACATCAGTAGTATCTCTACCATGCTGATGCAACTAAACAGCACTGATCTTATCATTAATTCCAACAGATGGCTGTTTTGTTTCATAAATAACATTACATTATTCGAGGAGCACTTTACCTTCATCCTACAGAAATCATTTTAACAGAAAAACAAAGACAAAAGCAAAAACAATACTTGTGTTCATACAACTTCTTCAACAGAACGAACAGAGGCATAACAATGCGTTAATTAGTGCTTCCACACAGATGCTATGATTAAATTACACTGAAGCTCCTCGTGTTTATTACTTTCCACTAATCCCTCAGACAAGAGGGTTCTCTTTGCCCTCCTCCTGAAGGCAAAAGCCTAAAGCCGAAGACACAGGAGTTTCCCTTCTTACCCCACTGTGGGATCGACTGCGATGCCTCTTGGGTTTCCCAGGTTCTCAGCGATCAGGGTCACGCGGTTATCCCCATCTAAATCCACCATGTCTATCCTGTTCACACTCCCCTCCACTACATACAGCTTATTGTTTACCCAGTCCACCGCTAGGTTTTCAGGGTAGTCAACTGATACGTTTAAGACCACCTGGATCCGGGAACCATCAATATCCACAGAGAACACCTGCAAATGAAATAAAGCATCCTTGTGTCGAGATTATGTTTTCTGGTGGCTGTTCAAAAAACAAACATTTTTAGTTGTTTTTTTTTATTTTAGTCACATAAATAAAGTGCATGTCCTCAAGACCATCCATATCACTTAATCAAACAGCAAAAATGATGAGTTTCAAATAACTTCCCTTCCCCTAGGCTATCGGATTCCTAGTTATACTACTTCCTTATCGGTTCAGCTGTGTTTTAATGGTGCTTCCTCAGTTACACTTCCAACACAATCCTGCTTCACTCAGACTGATTTCAACATGGCACCAGTCTGACAAACTTTATCAGTTGGCACTCAAGTGCTAAGTAAGGATACTGCACTTTCCTACAGTATATCAGTTATTTTGAAATCAGATCCAAGAGCTTTAAAAGCAGTTTTCGAGAGATTTTAGCTGACATGTTTTGAGAGAAACAGAAGATGCAAAGTTGCCTTGGGGTTTAGAACACATTTCCCGTCTCTAGCTTGTAGTCCTCTAGATCAAAAAAGTCGATGTCCTCTGGCCAGTGTGACTGATTTGCAGAGATACTCAGCAGGCTGCCTCTGTGTCCTAGCCTTTCAGCTCTGTGGCTTGTGTTCAAACCACGAGCAGCGAGAATCTCAAACAAAGCCCTTTGACTTAGCCAAAGAATGCGTATAACTGACGGCCGTGAGTGAAAACAAATACGGCATGTTACTTTGTACATGATCGGGTTACATAAAATTACCAAGAAATATGTGAAGATTTCTACCCAAAGATCAGAACGTTTTCTTGATTAGAAATTTGGATTCCATTCCATGCAGACTTCCCCCCCATTATAACCCATTCATTAGGAGCCAGACAGCTATCGTATTATTATAAGGTAAGCAGTAACGAGAGGGCTCCATGAAAGCACTCCCTTTGATTTTGAGAAAGTCGGGTTCCAGCACAGTACAACATGACCTGCGAGCAACAGGTTGTCGATCGTTTCATAAGACTAACTAGCAGATTTTTAACAAAGAAGTACTGACGATTAAGGGGGGAAAGGGAAAAACGAAAAATGTCAGTTATATCCATTTTCCACGTCTCAAACGTATGACCTATAACTGGGTGCCGAGCCAAGCGCTCCTTCTTATCACGGCAGTGTTATATACAAAGGAGCAATAATATGGGGAAGTGTAATTGGAAAAGCTATCAAAAGGAGCATCGGAATAATTGAACACTGTGTTAGGCCTAACAAATGTACAGAATGGATCCATGGTTGCAGTGGATTGTAGGACAGCACAGATTAGTTGGGTGAGCCTCTGGACTCGTGACTGACAGGTTGTGAGTTCGAGCCTCTGCTGCAGACACTGCTGTTGTGCCATGGGAAATTGTCTTTACCCCAGCTGCTCCAGTCCCCCTGGCTATACAAGTGAGGACCGGCATTGCTGGGGGTAATTCCTCCCACGCAGGGGGGCAATCATATGCTTGGAAGTCTACCTCAGCCTACAGAAACCAGGACGGGCTCTAATGCAGTGAGCTATAGTGGCTTTGATGTGCTGTTTGCCTTTTTTGCAGTGAATTCACATACTATCATACTAACATACTAACATACTAACATACTAACTAATTACTAACATACATAACATACTAACATACTAACATACTAACTAATTACTAACATACATAACATACTAACATACTATCATACTAACATAATATCAGTAATGCAGCTTTTTAGGCTTTAGGTAAGTAAAAACAAACATAATTGCTACGGATGAGTTAAGGACACAATGCTACAAATAAAATTCAGCGTTTTCACCCTGTCTTGAGTGAGTTTTGCTAATGGATAATAAACAAGATCTCTCATTTCTTTAAGAAAATGTGGAAAAATACCATTAGGCCCTGGATGGTATATCTTAGTGCTTTTATTACTCAAAACATTTCTGCCTCTTCTATGCTATGTAATTTAAAACTTTTATCTTTGCTCGACTTATGTCATATTGTCTGTTTCTTCCTCACTAACACCTGAGTGAAATATTCAATTAATATATCAGGTATTTTCCTAATAATCATCTCTGAGACACTTAATTTTTTACTGTTGTAATACTTAATTACAACATTAAAATAATATTTTTATTATTTATTTTAGCTTCCAATGCAATACCATTTTCTCTCTCTCTGCATTTCTGATATCTAGTCTTATGAATCCCCATATTTCGCACAGAGATCTCCAAGATTGACTGGAGGTTGTCTATAGATTTGAGCTGTAAAGGGCTTATTGTCCTGAGCTTTACATCTTTTTATAGGTAACGGGTTGAATTTGGCTGTACCTTTACATCTGAACTAGCTTTTGGGTTTTGACACTAGACATTGTCTTGGGTTATACAGAATTGTACATAAGCATCTGAAGCAGCTGGGAGTAAAAGTGGCAAGAAGCACAAAAAGGAGAACAAAAAAACCTTTCTTGCTGCTTACCTTGTTCTGAATGGTGTCTGTCCAGAAGACTCTGTGTAAGTAATAATGGTAATCTACTCCGACAGCTATACCGCGGTTCTGGGACTGCGCAAGTATCCGAGAGCTGTGCCCATGGATATCGCCAACCAGCAGATCTCTTCCATTGGAGAATATAAGTAACGGCAGCCCAGCTAAAGAGTACAAAGTTACAGTTCCGTCACTGGTTGCTCTAATTCTTAAAACAAGATTCACAGAAAATGCTAATTGTGCCAGGATTCACAGTCACAAATTGTCTGCAAAATGCATAGATTTAAATGTATTCTTCGTTTCCAAGTAAAGTATAAGGTATGCAATTTGTATTATACAGTATGCAACTCACTTTCATCAACAGATTCAGTAGGGAACTCTGTTTTGGATCAACAGCTTTACGCCAGAAGACAAGACTACTTCAGAGGTAAAAGCTTTCAGAGGCTGAAAAGAAGAATGCTTGTCTTGTGATAATTAACATATTTATTTTAATGGATTATTTTAATGGTTTTAATGGATTACCCAACTTCAGATGAATGCTCTCCAACGTTTCTGCAACTGTACAGTATATCACTAATACCACCAACGGCGACAAATTAAGTCCTGTATCTAATGTAGCATTCTCTGAGCATCAATACAGCAAGACGCAACACACAACGTCCGAACCTCACTGGCATCACATAATTGGCTGGCATTTAAGGGATGGGCTGGATGAAGTATGGCTAGGCTCCATGCCGAGGCTGAACGCATGGTTACTTACATGAAGTGTTAGCTCTGCAATGCCTGTGTTGTTCCAGGACATAGCCTTCCAGACAGCTGCATCTGTGACTGCCAGTTCTGTCTTCACACATCTGGTCACAAACACCCCACATCTTGCACTCGTCAAAATCTTGATCCAGAATGAAAATACACAATCACAGCAGTGGTCAAGTCCGCCTTCTATTCAATTTCAGGAATATAATTCATCTTATTAATTGTTCCCCATTGTTCTTCAATCTCCCACCCAATTGGGGGCAAAGGGTGATAAATGCTGGAGAAAAACTACAACAAAGGTTTAAAAACACCCTTAAAAACATGCTTCCTTTTCTTGCAAAACTGTGCTACAAATGAAACAGTACAAATATACATTTTCCTTTTACGTGTAATCTGTGAGTTTACCTGTGCAGGATCGGCTGTCATTAATATTGACGACGTAACCTGAAGGACAGTAGCAAGTCCCTCCTGCAGGAGACGGATGACACCGATGCTCACAGCTTAGAGATGCACACCTAGATACACCTGTCAACAACAATACAGTACAATTCTTAATCTACCTTCTTTGTAAGATTATCACCACAACTGGCTAACTCAAACATATTAGAAGGACTGAAGATTTCCTAAATATCTTCAAATGTACCAGATGAATTTAAACTGACCGTTTTCACACTACAGCTCTTTTATGCAAGATGGAATGATAGGGGCAAGTGTGCATTAAACAAACACAGAAACCGAATTTAAATTCTAACATAGTATTTTTTACAAAACATAAACCAGCCCCAATTTCTTGCCGTACCATATCCTGATTCCATGCCTATATCTTAGAAAATTGATGATACTACAAAACGTTTCAGAATAACGATGATCTAGCAAGCTCAGCAGCATTTATTCAGCCTTTTTAAAATCTTGTCTGTAAGATTACTGTATTTAATAATGAATGCAATGCACATATGGAATATGTGGTAAGAGTTGAACTGCTGTGTTTCATACATTGAAAATCACCTAAGATGAACAGTCTAAAGAAAATTTAAATTCCCTCAACCAAAATATTGGTCTTCTGCCACAGGTTATTTGAATGTTCTTGATAAACCAGGGAAGTAACAGCAACATTAAAGACTCAATATAGACTATGTGACCTGTTACTAGGAGCTAAGTGATAATCATGCCTTGCATTTATATTACATTTTTAATCCCAAAGGATTCTAAAGTATATTACATATAGTAGGGAAACCACCACCTCCTCCACAGTAGTACAGCACCCATCTGGGTGACATGCAGCAGCCAGCAGTTCCACAACACGGCAAAACAGAAGTCAGAGGTTGAATAAAGGGGTAACATGAGGTAGACCTGACAGCATACCTAGAATGGAATTTAGCCAGGAATCCAAATTAACATGTCTTTTAATGATCTCATGGTTAGGACCTCAGTTTAACATCTTATCAAGAGGAAAATTCTGGTCCAGAAGAGAGAGAAACACCTACTGGTCCACCCACGCCACTTACTTTAACCTCTGGCGAGATCAGATTGCAGAAGCGGCAAATGTTCATGTTTTACTCACTACAATTCCTGCCTGCAGTTGTGTTGGTCTCGTCCTCCCCCCCAGGGCAGTGGTTGGTTCCATCACAAAGCTTTTCAAGGGAGATACAGACGCCAGAGGCAGGGCATGGCCACTCCCCTGGGTAGCACTCGTGCTCTGATGATTCTAACAAGAAAAGAGGAAGTTCACCTCATAACCCTGCCCGTCTTTAATCAATCAGATACATGAACTATTCAAACTATTTTTGGTACTTTTATGCTTGTGTATACGCTAATTGAAGAGGCAGCAACCTAAGCAGTTGCAAGCACATACTGTACAACTTGACTGTTTGGAGTAGAGCCACTATAGTAAAAGACTGCAGATCCAGCAAGCTTTCCATGTGACTTTTCTTCTCATACAGTGGATATACCCAGCTGAACCTATTAAAAATGCTGAAGCTACCAGTAGGGCAATCGATCAGTGTCACAGGGAAAGGGAAAAATGAAACATCAATGTAAAAAAAAAGAGAACTGTATGTTATAATTCAAACACAAATGACAGGAATACTAAATGTCAAAGGCAAGCCTTATAAGTAACTGTCCCAGAATGCAGCATGGGCTTTAACTATGCAAGCAAAGGCTCACTGAAAGCATCATTAATTGAGATGACTCTGCAGGGCACACTGGTTCTTTAAACACTTAAGGAGCCAACTTTGTATGCATCACATGACCATCTTTTAAAGTACACTTTTCAAAGCAACCTGTTGGAAACAAAGCTTTCTTTAAGCCCAAAGGACTGTGAACCACAGACAAAGAGGACGTTAAATAACAAAATCAAAAAAGCATTGAAGTACTCTCCAGCTGCACACTACCCCATAGATGTTAGTGTTAAGGATTTGCAGATTACACAAGAAACACATTTTCCTTTACATTTAGGGAAAAAAAATGAATCCATTCTGAAGACACTAATGTTCTTGAATTCAAGCTGGTCTATTACGAAGCAACTCATGTTTACATTGTATTCATGATAAATAGGCTGTAGTAGTATCTCTATAAATTACACACAGAAGCACTAAATATGTAGTTTTTTTTTTAAAGTAAGTGACTTCCAGAATCAAAGCAACATACCACAGCCTCTCTCATCAGCATTATCTTCACAGTCATCATCTCCATCACAAAGCCAGCTCTGATGAATGCAGCGCCCACTTGGACAAGTAAAGTAATTCCCACTGCAAGTGGGATAAGCTATATGAAAGAGGAAGATGAGGAATGAATGCATGATAGAAGTGGTCAGTTTAACATCACGTCACACACACCTGTAAGCTACAAAGCAACTAAAACACAAAGACTGTTTTAAGATTCGAAGGTTGTACCACATACAGTATGTATGTGATTACAAATCAAAGGAAACATACAGTATTTGCAAAGGGATAAACATGTTTCCAGGGCACCCTTGAAAGGAATTATGGGGGTACATACTGCAGTCCTGTTCATCGCTTCTGTCTCCACAGTCGTCGTCATGGTCACAGATGTATCTCTGCGGGATACATTCCCCATTGCCGCAGTGGAACTGAGTGCTACCACACCGCTGTGCTGGAGAGGGGAGTACACAACAAAGTAAGAACAGTTAACAACTGTATATTGTAATGATGGAAGCTAATATATGATACAGTCAATCAAGGCCATGACCACATTGTTCACTGAGCATGTAAAAATGGATTGGGATTGTAAGAGAAGGAACTTCTGTTGACCAGGGACTAGACTTACTGCAGTTGGCTTCATCAGAACCATCTCTGCAATTTATGATGTCGTCACAGTGCTGACTCTGGTTATAGCAGGCTCCATTTTCACACCTCAGCTCTGTACACTGAGGATAATCTGTAAAAACAAGGGCAAAAAAGAAAATGAGAAAATGGGTTCCCTACTCTTCTTTGTGGTTGCATAGACCTTTCTGCATGTATAAAGCCCAGCTGAACTGCGTAATACAAATAATATATACAAAATATTTCAAACAGATCTAATTTCCTGAACAAAAGGAGACATAAATCAAAACTATATCTACCACACTGAGTTATTATGAACTATTTTCAGTCTGTAAACCTGCATTTTAAAGCTTTACTTAAGAAAAAATACTTTAGACGCTATGGTTTTCAAAAGGAATTGTTTTCTCTTGCAATTCAAGGTTTGGAAACACAAAGTTCCCATTTGTTAAAAAGTACTTTGCTTTACAACAAGAATAATGTAATAGCATATAGCCCCTGCCTTGTGCTGATTGTTATCTTAGCAGTTCCATGGGCAGCTCTTACAGGGCACTAATCTCATTAAATTCCAGTAGGGACCTGACTGTTTGATCTATTTTATTACATTTAATTGTTGAGTTATTTAATATAGGTGGCACTCTGCACTTGGCTGCTCTTTCGATCCCTCTAACACAAATAGGTTGGTTTCTTATCTCTTTTACTATATAAATGAGTCTGTTGAAATACTTAGGTACTGAAACCCACACAGACTAAGCTTTGCAATGTGAGGCTGTTCTGTAATACCCAGACACAAGTAATACATAACAATCCACACGTTACGGCCTGAGGGAATTAAATGCATTCAGGTAGCCTCAAACCAGCTTTAAGAGACTAGTTCATACAAAAATAATTCAGCAATTGACAAAGGCCATAGTAAGGCTCTATTTTTTTTCCTTCACCCGTAATAGCAGAATTGGTTCAATGTATGGTATGTTACCCTGATTCTATAAAACAAAGTACAGTAAATACTTCTTGTGGTATTCTGTGTATTTTGGGGAAACAAACTTTACAAAGTTTCCAGAGTAAACTAACACATAACTACAGCTGAATTATTAGTAATGTGTGCTACCAGTACTAATACTAATACAATTGCACAGCAAAATAGTTATTTTCACATCTGTATGTAAAAAGCTAGTGTTTTCTAAAACAGAAGAAGAAGAAGCAAGCAGTCTATTGCTCTAAGAGTCTAATAAACCACCACAATAATGGAACTGTAACTGAACATCAGCTCAGCTAATCCACCAAAGAATCTGAAATGAATTTCTGACAACAAGTAGCATATTGTGGCCATTTCTGTCACTCAACAAGCCCCTTAATCTTACAAATTGATTAAAATGCCAAAGGAGCACGAGTCGAAAAGGAAATCCAATGTTAAAGACTGAAAGACTTACTGCAGCCTCTCTCATCAGCTCCATCGGAGCAGTCAGAGACCCGATCACACCTGTAGTCCCCCGGGATGCAGGCTCCATTGGTGCAGGTGAATTGCCCACTTGAGCATGTTCTGCCAGCTAACAAAAATCAAAAGTAACAATAGGAACCTATTCTTTATAAAGCCCGAACCCCAGTTTTCATTTAAAAGTTACACTAATTTCAAAATCACAAACAAGTACTGTACACCAATGCTCAGCAGCCATGTTTTGTATAGGTTTCCCGACTAATTCTGTTTTTACAATGCTGTTACGTTATCCATCCTGCCATCCATTCTTGATCTCTCATGTCGAAAAGTCATCACCTTATACAGTGAAGGGGAGGATGGTGGCATACCTTGGTGAATAACGAATCTGCAAAAAAAATGAACCAAGATCCATCCATTCATTTTCTAACCGCTTTATCCGGTACAGGGTCACAGGGGAGCCGGAGCCTATCGGGCAAGCAAAGGGCGCACGGCAGGATACACCCTGGATGGGACGTCAGTCCATAACAGGGCCCGCACACAGGCACAACCACACTCACACTAGGGCCAGTTTTCACAGAAGCCAAGTACCCTAAAAGCATGTTTTTGGACCGTGAGACGAAGCTGGAGCACCTAGCAAAAACCCATGGTGTTACATTATAACACCCTAAATACAAATCGGATCATCCAGAAAAACTTAATCTTCTAACTGCTGGACATGTTCCTTTATTCATATTTAGCGAGTAGACTGTCCTCATGCTCGACTAAATGAAAATGGACACACAGCAAAGTACAGTCTTTTGCTGTGAACTGTCTTAAAGCTTTGTCGTTTTAATTAAAGGTCACTGGAGAGACATCTTCACAGAGCGTGGCTCTGGGCCAGAAGAGTGATGGGCGGGAAACGAGGAAGGGGAGACGTACGACAGTGCTGCCTCTCGTCCGTGCCGTCCTCGCAGTCCTCCTCATCGTCGCACACCCAGCCCGCGGGGATGCAGCCGCCGTCGCTGGCGCAGCGGAACTGGCCTTCGGCACAGGTCGTCTCGGCTGGCGACACACAGCAATCATCGCGTCAGTTTACTCAGACCACCGACCGCCTGAACCGACCGCGCCGGACAGGGAGGAAGGGCGGGGCAAGCAGAGGGCTTTACTCACGGCAGCCACTTTCGTCCGAATCGTCGGAACAATCCGCTATCCCATCGCACTGCCAGCCAGCGGGAACACAGCGGCCGTTTGCACAGCGGAACTGCCCGCTCTCGCATCCTGTAGACAACGCAGACAGCAGGCTGTTATCAGAGCCGGGCAAAATGTCAAAGGACCACATATACAGTGGAGTACTGGGTCTGCCTTCAGTTCATGAGCATGGACATGAACATAGATTGAACATAGATTAGATTGCCTACATACGGGTATAAGTACTGGCAAGTTGTATCTGAAGCCCTTTTACTCACTGATTTATTAAGTGTACTAAATATTGTTAGATAAGCTGTACTTTTTTGTCAATAATGCCACTTCTAATTGTATTCACTCCTTCATCCTAGTAAATACCATTTTAAATGTTTTAATGGATTACCCAACTTCAGATGAATGCTCTCCAACGTTTCTGCAACTGTAGTGTATCATTAATACCACCAACGGCGATACAATTTTTTTTATCATTTGGAGAGCTTTTTTACATTTATATTGTTAAATGTAGACTTTTTTAGTCTTATCACTAAAATAAAATACAAAAGGTAATCTTTTTAGGACAAAAATTTCAGCTTAAGGCTTCGCCATCCCTTCCAATGATAAAGCAACTTTCCCTGACTCCTTCAAGTTCCCACACAGAGACATAAAAACTGGTCCACAACATCATTTCTGTAATGTTGCCACAAGTCCTTCTATGATCCTAGTTAGAAGGCAGTTTAGAGTTGAAAAAGTCAGAGGATGTACAGAAAAGCAAAGCGTCTTTTTCATAGATCTAGATATACCATAGATATATATATATAGATATGGTCCCTGAAAAATGTTAGCAGCACAAAAATCTGACATTAGCACAAAAAACAGTAGTTATCCTTATCTATAATCATAAAATAGTTTTTTAAACAAAATAGTATAAAACAAAAATAAACAATATATTGCTACGTCTGCTGGCTACCTTTCAGCAATAACCAAAAATGTTTTATACCACTTTATTATATTAAGACTGAATTTTTTGTTTTATAAATGATGAATCAATAATTCGAAACAGTGCCTAAGGAGATAAGAAAGTCAAACTGATCCGTTTTGCCCATTGTAGTGTGCTTATAATTTTTAATTCAGCATGTGTCAGTCTTGTGTCAGGTACATAACCCAAAGCCCCCCAGCTCATCAGAGCCAGTAGATGTCTAGATTGAGGAATGGCACTGGCACTATTAAAGCAGAACTGAATTACCATACTTAACATTTGTGTCAGCGAATACAGCATAGTTCAGTGAAGACTGCTCAGCACGTCCAGCCTGAATGGAATGCAGCATTCTGATTGTCTTGCAGTGACACCCTGATTTATCACATAAGCTGTTACATGTCAGAAACCTAATTGGGATAAATAGTGGTACCGCGTGGTACTAGAGCCCTTACACCAAATTCTTTGCGCAATGTAATGCAAGTTGGTGGTTGGTGGTGCAGGTCTAGGGGTTGGTGGTCTAGGTCTCTTATCAACTACCTTTAAACACACTCACTCCCTTATAAAATATGCGCTTGAAACGTATCTATGCAAGTACAAAAAGACTATGATAGAATTCCTTTATTGATCTACAAAAAACGATGCAACATTGTAATAATGAATTGACCTAGATGTACATTCAGTTCATTCATAATATAATTATCAAATTCCACCAAGGTCACCCAAAAATAACACAAACAAAAGAACTGCCTTGAAGCACAGGCCCAAAAGGCTTAGAAAAGTGACAACACTCTTGACAATCTAGTTTTATTTCAAGATTTCTTTTTGGTGAAGCATAATAATGGATTAGCCATTTAAGAACTTTATTTATCACTCTGCACAGTACAAAAAACATGCAAGTCATTCAGGCTTCCCCTTCACTTGCTACCTGTGCCATGACAAATCAGCATGCTTGCAGGGTTTCTTTTAAATGAAAGAGTGATTTTAAGTATACCCTCATAAGCATGAATGTACTGTAGGCCCATCTAGTCTGTAAATATCATAGGAAACAGAGCATGAATGAAGGGATTTTGAACAGCTTCCCCAGTTCTTTCAGAAATGTCTAGGAAAAACAGAACAGTGTAAAAACCTAGCAATCCCCAGATGAAAATAAGTTCAAATGGACAAGAGCCTCCTGTCTATATCAATGGCCAAGTTCATATATTTGCCAGTTATTACTGCTTCTTGTATCACCTCCTCCTATTCTAGAAAATGAAGCAAGACATTTTCGTCACCAACGAGAGGTTTGTTAAATAAATGATTGATTTTTAGCATATTGTAATTGTCATTTTAGACAGCACATAAGCTTCCGCATTTAATTTTATCTTTAAAAGAAAAAGGGGCTTGTATAACTTACTGCTTTTGCAATGTGTTTTTGCCTATTCTCCAAGCACCACATGGAACTATAAAAACAAACTTCTTAATTGTATAGCATAGCTCTCAATATTGACTAAGAATTAAGTGAACCTACTACGTCCCAATTCTTTTCAAACCTATCCATTACATAAAACTCCCAATCACAGATAACCGAGGTCTCAAGCAGGTTTTCAGAAGCTGAGTGTTTTAGAGATGGTGTATTTCGAGCACAGAGCACCTAACAATAATCTGCTAAAGAGCGACAGTCCATGCAACTGCTTTTCCAGATACTACAGCAGAAACATGCTTCAGAATCCCAGATGGCCAGCCTGTTAATAAGGAGTTAAGAAACTCCAGTGCACTGAGGTTTAAACACTTCTATGATGTCATCTTTTGATCTTTAGCTGATTAATTTAAGTCGAGGAAGAAACCCTGCCAACAAAATCTGTAGCCATTCAATTGACTGAATTTTAAGTTTCCTAATTAAAACAAACTTGATTCTGAACCAATGTGTAAACCACCCTGATGTGGCAAAAGAGCACCGAAGTTGGAATTTGTGTTGACACAGCAACCTTTTACATGACAGGAAGGCCTGGGGTTTTAAATAGCATTAACAATCCCAAGGCAACAGTTGTATAACCCAATACTACGTCCATCTTACACTTGGCACTTGAGGAAGGTCCTTGTCACATTCAGACATTCTGTTGAAGGCAGAGCATTCTGGAGGAGCTCCAGCATTGCGAAGTTTGGTAAATGCAAAAACACAATGTGGGGTAGTAAAGGAGGCAAAAAAACATCTGACAAATGCTTTTTTTCAATGTGTCTACCAGTCCCATGAGTTCACAACTCATAATGTATTTAAATATATATTTCTATAAATGTATTAATATGAATATATAAATATTTTATTGACATTTTATTATAAATGTGGATTAGGTGCTCACTTTTAAATTATAAAGTCACTGAATGTAGAAATGAATATCCATTTTTACAATGCGCTCTTCAGATCAAGAGCTCTTGTCTGAGGTTCGTTTACTGACAGATTCTCACTGCTCTGAATCACATCGGAAATATGAGCTTCTAATTTAACTCTTTCACCCATCAATTGGTAAGTAAAACCTTTTCCTGCTCAGTTTACTAAAAAAAAATTGTCCTCCATCAGTTGAAAGGTTTCCTTTGTTATCCTGGGGGCTGCTGCATCAATTTTAAAGCGCAGGTAACACATACAGCATTCAAGGCATGCAAGCAAGAACACAAATGGACTCTTAGCATGAAGGAAAATAAATACGGATCATTAAATCTTACATCTTAATTCCTTAAAATATATTCAATTTCCACTAGTCTTCCTATAAATACAATCCAAAAAATAATAAAAAATGAAAGATGGCTAGAATGAACTTTTGGAAGTCACACACAATGATGGATAAAAAAGTAACAACTTCTGCATCAGCTGTTTGCAAACTGCAAGCCTTGAAAAGACTTTGAAAGCAGACGGTTTGCTGTGGTACTGCCACTTGAGCAGAGGATACAAACTGAGAAAGAAGGGGACTTTGATTCTTAAAGGTGAAAAAAAAATATTTCATTTTCCTTTCATTTCATCATTCTTGTTTTTAAACTCTTATCACTAATCCTGTACAAACTTCGGAGCAGTGGAAGAGATTAACATTGTCCTGGACAAATGCTGATTTCTGAGGTTTTGTATTTTTCCATGGGGCAGCTTTTTTTTTCTTCTGTGCACGTCTTTTCTAATTAGCTAAATTAAATCCACAGTAGTCAAGCAGGATAAACCAACTCTGGAACAGATAAGGACACCCTACCCCTGTCTAACAAAGAGAAGCAGCACAGGAATTTTCATTAGAAAGAAGCCTCCTAATGGGTCAGAGTCTGCTGTGAAATCACAATGGCACAATGGAGGACCCAGCAGGAAAAAAAGCCTCATAACTGGATGTGTCAACACGCTAAGGGAGAAACAGAGATGGATGACTAGTCTGCGGTACAGTATATTTTCTTGAACCATGAAACCAGGCATGGTTTCCAAAGCACTCGTCTCCCATGAAACATCTCTTTCCAATCATCTGAGCCCAGAAAAAGTTCTCTCTTCTTTTATCAATACTTGTGCTGTTGCAGTGTGTTCTGTCGCTAACCCTGAATGTTCACAGATAATACAGCTGGCACCATGAAGCGTTCAGCTAGTCCATGTTGTCAGAGTGGGCTGCCGCTGCCTGTTTCATATGTAAATGAAAGCAGTCAATGTTGGAACAAGTGACTTTGGCTCATGGAATAACACAAAACACAGCAAATCTCTATAGTACAAGTTGAGAGCCCTTAGAAACAAAGAATGACATCTTTTGCATTTTCCTACAGCATAAAAAAAAATCACAACTTATCTGCCATAAACATCTTTTCGAGTCTCTTGCTAAGCTGCTGACACTTACAATCGTGTAATCATGCTATTGCTCAATAACTAAAGGCCAGTCCTTTCGTTAACGTGTTGCCTCGTTAACTTCCATCATGTAATAAAATCACAATCATCTTAATCTTCCAAGCCTGTGAAATAAGAAATTTAATCTGCATCCTTAACTATTGTAACAATATGTATGGTTGGATAAGATATGAAGTCAACACTTCCCCCAAACAGATGGGGATGAGTTAATAAAGTTAATAAAGAGTTAATAAAGCTATGAAATTAAATTTAAAATAAATGTATAATAATTATAAATATACA